TCGATTGCTACGCCTGCTGGGGCCAAAATGCTGCCGCTATGTGATAGCGGGTCTTGCATAAAAGACCGCAGTGAGCTTATATCCAAAAGTATGATCTCATACTTTTGAGGAACAGAGCCGTCAACAGTTATTCCGCCGCTGACGATAATTTTGTTTCCCATCAGATTGGCTGTTGACCCGAATCTCCCCAACCACCTGAACAACGGCATTCTGGTTGAAAGCTTTTCTGTCAATTCTTCCAACGTGAGGGAGATATCACCCTCGTCGGATCTAGATATCTGCCAGGTCCAAAAATCATTCAGGACTACGCCCCCCTGTGACATCCCGCCGAACATAATCCCTGTTTGGTTGTCAATACTGATAAGCGAGGCGCCAAATCGCGCTCTTGGGGTTCGGCCAATAATGTTTATCTCATTCCATCCGCTTTGTTCAGACCACAAGAGAAATTGCCCCAAGGTATCGCCAGTTGCTGACTTGCCTCCGTAGAGTAGAACATGCTTGCTACCTTGGCCGAGGTCAACAGCAACTGTAGAATGCCGGAAGCACGGAATCGGAAGACTATCAACCTGGTTCCATTTACCATTTGACTTTAGCCAGCAATCGCCTAATGGCATGGTTGGCGAGGCTCTTCCACCCGTAATGAGGCATTGTTCGCCAAAAACGGTCGTAGAATGACACATTCGCGCCCCGATACTTGTGGGGGGCATATCGTGGATCGAGTGGTTTACCTCAGATTCGCTATAAGCTTGTGCTGATGAGAGGCGGGTTTGGAGCCCCAATCCGCCGTGCAAACCAACCATGTGCTCCTTGATGGGAACAATGGACCCAAATCGCCTTTGACCATTAAATCTGGGCGGGCACTGGGGCACCAGCCTTAATTGTTCGACAGGAGTATCAGTTTCTCTTGTGGGCTCTTCAGAATCACCATTATTTTTCGAACGTTTTGTCGAGGCCAGAAGTAGGAAATAATGGGATGCGAAAAGGGCGAATTCTTCCCATTCGTCAAAGGCTTCGTATTTGTCGAGAGATTCCCTCTGTAGATCGTTCAAGAATTGGGAATCGCTCCATAGCTCCCATAAGCTCTTTGCATTTGCGTATTTCCAGCCGGCATCAACAAAACGTTGTTCTTGTTTTCGTAGCGAAGGATACTCGTGGATGGAGTACAGAGGAGTTCTTAGTTTCTGGAAATGATTCATCATCGTCTGCGAGAAAGGGTGCCCAGGTCCATCGGGGAAATATTGCTCGAGTAGACAGAAATTCGTGTCTGCTATCCATCAGTATATATGTAAGGAGGTCGCTGGGATCACACTTGTTCGTACCATCGCTTAGTGTCGATGCCCACTGAAGGAGGGCATCTGCAGATTTGACATCCATGTAAGTCAGAGACACTTCAGCGGTGCAAAATATAGAGAAATCACTAGGAGAGCCGAGTTCAAACCTCAGCGACTTTTCCAATTCTGAGAGCTCGACCAGGTCGCAACCAATGCCGATGTACTTCCTGCTGCGTAGGAGCACGACGTCATCTTCGGCTGGATACTCGGCATCTGGGATAAGGCTACTAAGTGCAGCGGTTTTGTGTATCGTGTTTCGTTTCTCGACCATGAGCTTGTGGTAGTCGACATCGATAAACCGGACATTTTGGCATAGTGCGGGATTATGGGTGAGGAATTGAAAGGGCAATGGATCACTAGTTAGAGTAGAAACAGGGCCTCCGTTAGCTTTGCAGGACCAATTGAGCCTATAAATGCAAAGTGCACCTACAATCCGCAGCCGAAATTTATAATGACCTTTGGTCGATCGGAAGGTCGTTCAAGAAACACTTTCACCGTATGTTCAATGGCATACATACGCAGCCAGTACCCTCGATTGATCAATGGCGACCGCCGCTGGCGCTTCTTCACGAAGTACCGAATAAAATGCGGCTCGGGATAGTATAGCTGTTCCACACTCCGTTTCGAAACAATACTGCTTCCATTCGTCTAAATGTAGACCGCTTAGTAAACTTAAAGACGTGTTCCGGTAAAAGCTGGGGTTCGAGGACAGCTCACACCCATGACCAGGCCTTTCTCCAGGTCTGTTTTGGCATCTGGCTGCCCGGAACCTGGGCATCGTAACCGAGGCATCTTAACCCAAAAGCAGGATGTCCGTTCCTCCCTGGCGAGCGCTACATTCTTCCATACAGCACTGAGGTCCTATGCCCCTCTGAAAATTCGTTATCGGCTCTGCTATCAAACACGCCAAGCCGGCGGTGCTTGGCCAAACTCTCCACGTGACGCCATCGAGATGTGGTCCGAGCGTTGGCGTTGGCGTCATTTGACTTCCCGCAGATTTGGTGGTGACCTACTCCGTACCAGAGTATCTGAACCTCACGACCTCGCTGCAGGCAACGGGCGAATCTCATCGTGCAGCTTCCCGGAAAGCTCCTTTGTTTTTCTCTCCATCTCCGTATCCTCAACCGCCCCGACCAAACTCTGTCAAAAGCGCATTCGTGATGAACGGCTTATAGCCTTTCAAGTGGAGAGTTATCCGGCGCGGAGGAGCCTTGGGAGTCTTGTCGTCGTGATTCTGCCCACACCACCTTGTTACCGGGCGGATATCTTCTTTTACAACCCTTTCCTTCTATATCTTTCGCGATTGCAACCCGTTTGCCTAGCATGTCGATGAACTTTGTGACTTTCAACCAGGACTACAGCTATCTGGCTGTTGGTGTGTGCAGACATTCCTGCCCGTGAACAGAGCATGCATTCCCCCGCACTCGCTGCTGACGCTTACCGGTTTTAGGTACCTCAAAAGGATTCCGAATATTTACCACAGATCCGTTCGGGAAAAGCTATGAGACCAAGGAAGAGAACATAGCTATCCTAGAGATGCTCTTTTCGACGTCTCTGGTCGCGGTTATCCTCTCACCTCGACGATTGCAGATCATGAACACTAAGGTATCGCATTCAACAATCCAGAACCTTTTTACTACAGGTGTAGGAAGCTTCTTTGTCCTGATTGCTAACTTTTATGCTCCTCTCAAGCGACAATCCGTCATATGCGAGCTCACCTTCCCGACCACTGTTCTAGCCATCCGATTAAACAGGAAACGTCTTGTAATTGTATTGGAAGACCAGATATATATCTATGATATTCAGACTATGAAACTCGTTTATACCATTGAGACCTCGCCGAACCCAAATGGTAGAGTTGCTACTACACGTTAGTACTGTTGGAAAACCGGGCTAATTCTATCCCTTCGAATTTCTAGCTATCTGCGCCCTTGCACCATCCTCAGATAATTGCTACCTCGCCTATCCTCTTCCTCAAAAGGCCCCTCCACCAAGCTTCTCTCCTCCCTCCCATGGCCCCCCTTCAAACACCCATATCCCTCCAACCAGTGGAGAGGTTCTGATATTCGATGCATATAAACTCGAGGCGGTCAATGTGGTAGAAGCACACAAGTCACCTTTATCATTTCTTGCATTGAACAGTGAAGGCACTCTTTTGGCAACTGCGTCTGACAAGGGAACAATTATCCGCGTCTTTTCGGTTCCCGCTGCTCATAAATTGTACCAGTTCAGAAGAGGGTCAATGCCGTCACGAATCTATAGTATGTCCTTTAACATAACGTCCACCTTGCTGTGCGTGTCATCAGCGACGGAGACCATTCATATTTTCAAACTGGGACAGCAACAAGGGTTGTCGAAAACCAGCAGTCCAAGCCGCATACTGGATTCCAGTCGAGGTTCCGGAGATGAGCCTGCTGTCGAGTCTGCAAGTTCCGAGATGTCATCTCGAAAACATAACGGCACATTCATGGGAATGATCCGACGTACCTCCCAAAATGTTGGCAATAGCTTCGCGGCCACCGTTGGCGGCTATTTGCCCAAGGGAGTAACGGAAATGTGGGAGCCAGAACGCGATTTTGCCTGGATTAAATTACCTAAGTCGAATGGCGGCAATGGTGGCTCTGGACCTGTACGGAGTGTTGTCGCGATGAGCAGCAACACGCCTCAAGTGATGGTGGTGACAAGTGAGGGTAACTTTTACGTTTTTAATATTGATCTTTCAAAAGGAGGAGAGGGAACGTTGGTGAAGCAATATTCGTACGTTCCTTCATTTGTACTTGGCAAATGCTCCCCGAGCTTATGCTGACGTTTTTACTAGGGTGCTTGACTCCAGTGATAGAATGGGCTCAACAGATTTAGATTATTAAGATGCCTCCTTTACGATACCAGGTCGGAATTTTCTGTTTTTTAGCCATTTTGGTCTACTTTACCTTAGGTTCTGTGCTCCGGAATTATTGGGCGTTTCGTGGTGCATTGGCAGCGACCTTTCTTTTTCCTTTTTTTCTTCCCCCCTTCCGATATGATTTCCACAATGGGTTATTAAATAGCAATTTCTCATCTCGTCCAGCTCGAATTTTGCTGGTCCACCTAGTGGAATACATACTGATTATGTATGTGCGGGAGGTTAGGATACATCAATCCAAGATACCAGATATATTACTGGTGAGGGTATCTGCGTAGATTTTCGTATCAAAAGTTTTCGTCCGGCAATTCTTCCCGCTTCCTGTGAGTCATTTTCGTCGGGATCCCAGCGGAAGCAGAGAAAGGTCCAAACTCAGCCCAATAATACGTTGAGAAACAGGGATACAGTCCAAACGGGTCTTAGGGAGGGCTGAGATCATATGAGGTTTTATCTTGCAGAGTCGGGGAGACGAGCGGAGCTTTGCATTCTCAGCACACGAGCCAAATCCCGCCTGGAAGGGCGTGGGCATCGACTCGGAATTTAACTCGAGAGAGATGGGGGTTGATTAACAGAGCTAAAGAACTATGCAAAACCTGCATTTATGCGACTTTCCAGCAAGGCCACACGGAAATCTGCTTCATAAGATGGGGGGCCCCCGTTCGTCTGACTGACTTCTAGCTGTTTCTTTTTTATTTGCTCAAAAAGTTTGTCTTTTCCGCCAACTCAAAAAGTGTTGCATTCTCGATTTGCTGAAGGTGCCAACAGCGATGGAGCTGCAGGCTATTCACCAAGGCCCGAGTCGAGCCGGGACTATGCCAAACGTGAACGCTATAGAGTCAGAACCCAAAGCTCCATCTGACAACCCTACGTTGTCTGTGGAGGACCTGGCCGCTCCACCCACCGCTGCTACCATCCAGCCTACCTGGAAGCATCCCAAGACGAATATATGGCGCTTTATCTCGTGTAATTATAGCTTTATCATTCTTGGTGCCAATGATGCCGCTTATGGGGTAGGTTATCAAATATCCATTGCCAAGAATAAGCTCCAGGTTGACTATATCTTCTAGGCAATTATCCCATATGTATGTTGAGCTGCTTTCAACTACCGTCATGGGCATGGGAGAGCCGTTTCTAATCTGTTGCGCAGCTTGAATCGTACTATAATGTCTCCTACACAGTGGTTTCTCTTGTCTTTCTATCGCCGATCGTGGGCTACGTGACTTCAGCTTCAATTAATAATATGATTCACATGAAGCTTGGTCAGAGAGGCGTTGCCATGTTGAGCCCTGGAGCACACCTGGCGGCCTATATCATTATCTGCGTGCACCCTCCCTTCCCAGTGCTTGTCATTGCTTTTATTCTGGCAGGGTTTGGCAACGGCCTGGCAGACGCCGCGTGGAATGCCTGGGTGGGTGGAATGGCAAATGCAAATGAGTTATTGGGCATTCTCCATGCATTCTATGGTTTGGGTGCTACGCTATCACCGACTGTTGCAACCAGTCTCATCGCAAAGGCGCACTGGGAATGGTTTCAATTTTACTATCTGATCGTTGGTGCTGCGATTTTAGAGCTGGTATTCATGACGGCAACATTCTGGACAGCGACTGCAACAAAGTATTGTGCTGATAATCCTCCTGCAGCAATTCCGGAGTTTGATATTACTGCTCATGCACCAGAATCGACAAAGAAATTAAGTGTGATATTAAACAGAATTTTCGGTGGTAGTCGAACTGCGGAAGCACTCAAGAACAGAGTCACCTGGGTCTGCAGCATCTTCATCTCAATTTATGCAGGCGCAGAAGTCGGCCTTGGAGGCTGGATCGTCACATTCATGATCAACATCCGCCATGGAAGTGCCTTCGCGTCGGGTATGAGTGCAACCGGATTTTGGCTTGGACTTACCGTGGGACGCGTGATCCTAGGATTTGTAACTCCACGAGTCTTCAGGTCTGAGAAACATGCCGTCATCGTGTATCTCTTGTGCACTATCGCCCTCGAGTTACTCTTCTGGCTGGTCCCTCAGTTCTATGTGTCGGCGGTGATGGTCTCGTTCGTCGGCTTCTTTTTGGGACCTCTATTCCCGATCGCCATTGTTGCTGCGACAAAGTTGCTGCCGAAGCACATTCACGTATCAGCTATCGGGTTTGCAGCGGCTATCGGGGCCTCAGGATCCACTGCATTCCCTTTCGCAGTGGGTGCCATCGCCCAGGAGAAAGGTGTACAAATTTTACAGCCGTTCATACTCGGAATTCTAGTTGCGTGCCTGGGAATTTGGCTCTTTTTGCCGAGTCTATCAAAAAAGAGGCAGTAAATAATAGGTGTTCTTATAGCATGAGAGATGAAGAACGAAAGTTTGAAAAGTGTGCGTGCGCACTGTTAAGTATATCCTGAGTACTATACGGAGTACACTCTTGGAAAAGAGCATTAAAATATCCTGATAGGCAAAAGCTGATAATAACAAAAATAAATATTAATATTTGTTGCCGGAGTACTTACTGTGTAAAGTGCTCGAAAATTATTGTATACTTCCAGTTTGCCCGCATTTGACTTTTCCACAGAAAATATCCCTGGCCCACTTCCTGCATCTCCCCCTGTGATCATCTTTGATGGCTTCGTTAAATAAATAACCGAGCTGTATCTATCAGTCCCTACAATGAATCGACCCTCCCATATAGACCAGGCACAAAGCTTAGATGATCAGAAGGAGAAGTTTTCATCTAAAAGCCTTTCCACATCCCGAGTACGGCACAAGCAAAGGAATCGGGCAAATCCTTTACAACGCGGGATCGAAGAATTCTTAACGTCCCACATCTCTTCGTCATTTCTCATTGAGCACAATATTCCCATTTCAAATCTAATTTCCTCTCTGCCTAAGCGCTACACAATATACCCGCCACTCCTCCTTCTCCCTCAAAATACTTTCAACTCCGACCCTCATTGGAAGAGGTTGCTCTCCTCCTTCAAGCAGGACCAACTGAACACTTTATATGCCTGCATTGCAGCGGCATTTTCTGCCCAGGGCGTGACTCATATTGCAACTAACGCCCCAATTGCACTTACGAAGGGCGATTCTGGCGATGAAAATCGAATGAGGAGTCCCACGGGTGTTACACCCTTGTATGGCGACTTTGGACATTTACCAGCTGATCCAGATACGGGAAAGGAGGAAAATCCCAGTGCTTCGGACTTGCAATCAGCATTCTGGGTCCAGGTGGTGCAGAATTCTGGAATCATTCAGATTTGGGCGCCGCTCTTCTCGATGTTTAGTCGGGGTAATATCATTGAGAAAGCGCGAATACTCGGCGCCGCGTCAACGTTTGAAGGCCTCACGGAGGCTGAGTTGGGCCAGAAACTAAAAGACATTGCGGTGGTCGACATGTACGCCGGAATTGGGTATTTCGTGTTTTCCTACTTGAAAAGAGGTGTTGGAAGAGTGTGGGCGTGGGAGCTGAATGGCTGGTCGATTGAGGGACTGAAAAGAGGTGCTCAGGCGAATTGCTGGAAGATTAAGAGTGTACGGGTGGACTCGAGCGGGAGTGTAGAGGGATTGGATGAGCTAATAGAGGGATTGAGTGACGAGGACCGGGTTGTCGCATTCCATGGTGATAATAGGTTTGCTGCGCGCATCCTATCGCAGGTGAAGGAGAGGCTGGAGAGAAAGGGGGCCTGGAAGAGTATCCGCCATGTGAATCTTGGTCTACTGCCTACATCTCAGGATTCTTGGGAGGGAGCAGTCGGATTACTAGACCATAAATACCAAGGTTGGGCTCATGTTCACGAGAATGTTGCGGTCGACGATATCGACGAAAAGAGTGACTATATTGTTCACGAGTTTGAGTCGCTTCTACAATCAGCTAGAAAAACCCGGCCATCATCGAGCTCGAATTCAGCTGTAGAGTGTCGAGCCGTGGAAAGGGTGAAAACATACGCCCCAGGCGTCATGCACTGTGTATTTGATATTCGTGTACCGCAGGTTGTAACTATGGGAATCTCTAGGATGCAAAACACTTGATGGACAAACTCGCTCGAAACGCTCATGGTCAATGCTTAACATGAACACAAATCGCGGTCTATCGCCGAAGGTAGCCAAATCGTTCATAAAGGTTCTTCAAATAAATCAAACCCATACTCCTCGCAAAGAATACATAACATATGCAAGATCATGGCATAACCAAGAGTATGCATGCGGCGTTAAGAGGCGCTCCTCTTAAACTTCTCGGGGATGTTTGCCTCCACTATAGACATCATCTGAAGTTGGTCGAGTTTGTTCTGGGCGTGCTCCTCCTCGTCATGTCTGCGGAAATGCTCAATGTCCTCCGGATGCGTTAGATCCTCCGGCCTTGCATTTTCACCATGGTATTTCTCGAAGTGGTGAATCTCATATTCATACTCCATATCTCCGTGATGTCCGGGGCCGACGCCAAAGTCGGGAAGTTTCTTGCCCTCTTTGGAGAGTCTCAGCCACTCTTCCTTTGTGATCACGCCAGTCCTTTTTGGATCAAAGATCGCAAACACCTCAGTCAAGATTTGTTTCTTTCGGTCTTCGGTTAAATTAGAATTAGATTCGTCGTCGAGACCATACGTCTTTCGCACTTCTTCGGGAGTCCATGTTCCAGTGCTGTCGTAGTCATGCAGAAGGAAGAAGGAGGCGGCATCGAAGTCCGAAATATGATGTTCCTCTGTGAAGAGTTCAGTCGTCAGCTCTAATCTGAAATATAGCGGCCAATGGGGTGATCATGCAGCAAGCGAAAGATACTAGTTATAATGATTTGTCTTCCGTACCTATCATATGCCTTGTCTCCCAGTCCGCGTCTGGGGGAACCTCCGGTATATGGGCAGATATTAGTGGCATCGCCACTAATAATGCTATCAACAAGCTGTGTATGACCGCCATTTCAACAACCAGGAATCTAGTATCTTAGCCGTTTCGGCTGCATGGGCGCAAATCGAAACGTGCCATAACGCCGGGTTACAGCCTGTCCTCTTGTCTCTCGCTGCCGCCCGCGCGAGCCAAGGCAATGTTTGCACCGTTTGTTAAGCAGCTAAACGCTGACGTAAGCACTGCAGCCCACCTCCCGAGATTGCCCAACGACAACGCAAAAAAAAAGAATGTCGTTGTGATGGAGACATCTGTCCGAGCCCTTTCTGGCTTGCGGTTTACGATCAATGTGTCTGCTACCCAAGTATTGTCGCCGCCCAGAGTTACTTCGAAATCGAATCGTGTCGAGTATAGACGAATTGGAAGATAATTGACGCCCGCCAACCCGGCCGCAATGACAAGAACCTAGCTCGATCATGCAAAGCCTCTGGTTCCGATCGGCCCCCCCGACCTGTACTTGCCGTTGTATATCGTGTCTAAGTACTGGTTCCAATGCGGTATCAAACAGGGCGGCCGCAGCGGCCAGCCGGAGACGTTTATTGCTCGGCAATTCCATTACAATGTTCTACTCTACCATTTTTGTGACTGCGGTGATGCTGGATACCAAGTCTAAAGGGAAGCGACGGCTTGAGCGGGAAAAGGAGATTGAAGCAGTGAAAGCGGAAGTCCGGGAAATGAAGGAGGAAGAGCATCGTATATTGGAGTCGTTGGCACGAAGATGGAGACCACTCCAGCGTTCTTTCCGGTCGGCGAGACGTCAATATAGCACGGCTGCAAGCCCCGTGGCGGAGTATGAACGATACCGGAGTATGGCCTCGCAATCAACTAAAGAACTGTATGAGGATGCTCCTGAAATTCCCTCCCAGACAATTCCCGAAAACGAGGATGAACAAGAACCTTTCGAAGGAGCACCAGAGATAACACCCACGCGAAAGAGGGCTATACGACTACTTGCTATGAGAATGCTTGGGATAAGATTATTATTGCGGCCTTCTATAGCGCATACATATGGAACCGAAAGCAAGACTCGTGTCCACAATCCCAAGCCGGTCAATCTGAGCGTAGACGAACTACTTGAAAAACTTGAAGTAGTACAAAGGCGGCTTATGCAGATTAAATTCTCTTCAAAGGCTTATTACGGCGACGTTTGCGTCGATATCAATCTCGACGACCATGGACGTCTGCTTCAGACGAGAAACGCAGCGTCATATAAACTACTGAGTCTTTTTAATTTTTACGAGTCTGGGAGTATTTCTGTCGATCATCTTATTTCAGAAGTTGCGCGGATACTTATCGCCGCAGAGGAACCTCTATCTCCGAGGGGTGTTGAGACATTGATTTCCAAGTTTGCCCGGGCCCGAATGAATGACGTGGTGAAAATGGCGATGGACTCCTTATTTAAAAATTCATTTCCCTTGACGATTCCCGTTATAGTCTCTTCGCTCAGTTGGTTTAGCAAGGCCAGGGATTTATCTGGATTTGAAAACTTTTTAGATTTACTACGGACGCCCGACCCGTTCGTCGATATGCCTTTGCGCTGGCATTCCACCAACATCGGTGGTGTTGAAATAGCCATTCCTCCTAGTTCGACGCCTAGCCCCTTCGTTCTCAACTCCCTCATTGCATGCGCTCTTCAATTTGATCAACCGCACAAGGCCGACGCATGGCTTGATGTATTGCGTGCGATGGGCTTTAGTGACACGATCCCAACTCTAGGAGCTTATCTTCGATATTATTCACTTCGAGCCGACTGGACTAAGGGTCGACATGTCTTGATGAGGGCTGTCTTCTATCTTTTGTCAAGTAGGAATCATCCGAGGCACGAAATTGAGCGGCTGATCCTCTACATGATAATACTATGCGAAACCTGTGGGAGGAAGCAGATCGCCGATCTAATTGTCGATGCAGCAGTCTCCTCTGGGGTTAGATGGGAACACTCAACCTCATCACGAGATTCCAGGCCAGCGTTATTGTGGGCAGTCCAGAAATGGCGAGATGCTTCTATCGATTCCGTCGATAGTGTAGGCGACCTCTCTCCAGGAGAAAGATACTTTCAGTTTGCACGAAAAATTGAACCGGGCATTCGAAGAGTGGTCGAGGAATTTCTTCCAGAGGATGATCTAACGCAGCAACGAATGAGGCTTCAAGAGAGCTTCAATATGAAGTATTACAAGTTAATAACCAACTTTGGCGACAGTCCCTCTCGTCATACCTCCACAGTCAAAGATCCAATAGACGAGTTCGAGTCGACCAAAACAGAACTAAGGAGACTACGGGGGGTCGTCAGCCTCCAAGGCGCGGTAATTGCGAAATTAGAGGCCTCTATATCATCTCCACCTAGGACACACGGCAGGGCATCCTGGCACACCAAATCGTCAATACATGCACGAACACAAGACAACATGGCCAATCGGGAATTCGGCGGCTTTCCTAACAATTTAAGGGATAATAGATATCGGCTAGGTTCCATCCTTAATCGAGGGGGTTTCGCTCGAAACAATAAAGAGGAGAACCAAACCGCGAGCGTTGATATCCGCGATGGTACCGAGGTGCCCCGATAGTTGCCCTGAATCCATAACCTTAGGACATACCGACAGTCGTCTGCATAGCTGGATACAGTGCATTATGTTAGCATCCAATCCATACCTGCTGCCCACAGGACTCATTTGTAACCCGTCGTCCCTTGACCATCTTTTACCTTTTCACCTGCACAGTCTACAATGAAAACGCCGGCGGCTTTTCTTTTAGTATCTGCCCTGCGTGGCACTTTGATGTTCAATGATTTCCACGGCAATAACCGAGTTTTTTTCCTCGATATACCTGTACGAATAGTTACCAATCTTTTGGTTATCATATAAAATCATTTCCATGTTTTATATTAGGAATTCTTCGCTCCTCACTGGGTGCCCGGTTTGGTACCTCACACCTCGGGAACTTGGATGTGTCAATGGGTTGACGGTTTTAATTATAAATGGACATGGCATGGCGTTTCTGACTTCTCTGGATATTAACCTTTAAATGATAGGAGGCTTGCTGCCTATGTGTACATATATATGAGCCATGGAGTCAAAATAAAATACAATAAATTATTGCCTGACTGGTTGGATGTTATACGGTGCATCTGAGAAGCATTGACCCTGCAAGTCTAAAAAGAAATAAAAGTATATCAGGAGACCGAGATACTGAAAATATACGCCATCATAATCTATATATGATATTGTTCTAGGTCAAAGGGGTTGAATAACGGAGAATTCATTAATATTATACATACTCCCCTCAAATAACAAGAAACGCCTCTAGCTTTATTGGATCCAATCTGAAAAGGTCGGAGCAACTCTAGGTCGGAATACAAGGAACATAATTGCTAAAAGAAAAGAAAAAGAAAAGAAAAGAAAGGGGAAAAAAAACACAGTTTATCGTTGCTTCCTCGATTCTGAACGCATTCTCTCCTTTCGTGAGAGCCGCTCTGCAGCACGAAGTAGAGCGGACCTAATTTCGCCCTTGGGGAAAGTCGAAATATCATAATATGATGGCGCCATATCCTACGATATAGGGGTCAGCGCACTCGAATATCAAACCTCAAACATCAAGGGGGTAAGCCCGGAAATTCTAGGGACACAACTTACGAGTAGCCATTCACCCTTGATAGCGGTCACCGTTCGGATGAAGTTCTTCGAGGTCAAAACGAATTCGTTATACAAAACCCACTCCGCTTCGTGGCCAAGCACTGTACTTGGATGCAACAGTACAGAGTCGTTATTATCCTTCACGGTTCTATACAAGCTCTTGCCTTGACTTTCTTTCTTGGCAACTTGCATGAAAAATCCAGTGACTAGAGCTCGACGAATGTTTTCATAGTATTTTTTGTCCTCAAATGGCGTAGACACAAGCTCGAGTTCATTTCGCTCCATTATGCGTTGTAGTTGCTGGCGTACGTTGTCTGCAGACTGCAGAGCGCGAAACGAGAGGAAATGATCATGACACCACTGTCGAGGGTTTGCCTGTGCCTCTGGACTTTTGAATGCGTGGTATACGTTAAGGAGAGTTAAATGATCGCCATCAGGGTGCGCAAATAATGCCTTCATGTCGTCCGCGCGTTTTCGTTGCGAGGCAGGGCGTACAAAGACTTGCGGGACAGAAAGAAGCGACGTGATCGAGAGGATCTCATTGGAGCAATAATACTCAGCAGAAGATATTAGCATCACGGCTAGCGCAGGGTCCAAGGGGAATTCCGAGGCTAGACGCCCCAGATCCGTGAGTTCTCCCTCGTCGTCCAAACAAGCGAGATAATTCAGCTCTTCCAAAGCGCGCATGAGCGTCTCGGGGGCAGGAGGGTCCATGAGATCGAAATGAACAAGGTCCTCTATTCCGAGTTTCTTTAACTCTAGTACCGTTGCGGACAAGTTGGAACGGAGAATTTCCGGATATGTTTGGTCAATGAGTTCCTTCTTGAATGCACCTTCAGTGTATAAGCGGAAGCACTTTCCGGGCCGTGTTCGACCTGCACGACCTGCACGCTGTTGTGCCGATGCCTTGGATATAGGCGAGACTAAAAGTGATTCCACACGGATGCGGGGATTGTAAATTTTCTGCTTGGAAAACCCAGGATCGACCACATAAACTATACCGTCGATGGTAAGGGACGTTTCGGCGATATTGGTGGAGACGATGCATTTTCTTCCAGGGCGTCCGTTCGGCTTACGAGGCGGAGGGGCTGGATCAAAAATGCGTTGTTGCATAGCAGGTGGAAGCGTGCCATACAGGGGATAGACTTTCATCGGGCCAGCATCCGCCTCTCGGATCATTTCATCTACCTCCAGGGAGATCTTGCGAACGGCGTCTTCAATTTCTTCTTCGCCGGTCAAAAACAGGAGGATATCGCCTTCCGGCTCGGTGGCATGAATCTGCAGGACGGTTCTAATCGCAGCTTCCACGTAATCTTGCTCTGGTTCTGGTGTATAGAAGATTTCGACTGGATGAGTACGACCAGGAACAGCTAAGAGAGGAGCGTCGTTGAAGTAACGTTGGAACTTTTGTGCATCCAGCGTCGCAGACATAACAATCAGTTTTAAATCGGCTCTGCGCTTTACAACATCCTTGAGCAGCCCCATCAGGACGTCTGTCGCCATTGTGCGCTCGTGGGCTTCGTCGAGGATAATTGTGCTATATCGAGTAAGATCAGGGTCGTGCATAGCTTCTCTTAGCAACATGCCGTCGGTCATATATTTCAAGATAGTCTTAGGGCTGGTCATGTCTTCGAATCGAATACTATAACCGACCTCATCTCCAAGCTTGACGTCCATCTCGTTGGCGACGCGCTCCGCGACTGACATTGCTGCTACTCGACGAGGCTGGGTACATGCCACTATTTTGTTTCGGAGTTGAGGAAGGTCGTCGTAAAGTACAAACTGAGGAATTTGCGTCGTTTTACCAGAACCGGTTTCACCAACGAAGACCAGGATCTGCGATTTTTGATAGAGCTGCAAGAATTCATCTCTGCCAAGAGGGAAAAGGTATTAGATTCATGGGAATGAAAGAGGACGGAAAGCTCATCACAACGCACCTTTGCGCATGGACAGGCAGGTCTCTACGCGTTTTCAAGATGGAAAAGTATCTCTCGCTTGCAGGCTTGCCGGTGAAAGGATTAACTTTGGAGTTTTCCACCGCCCTTGCCATCGCAGAGTTCGTCTTGTGCCTCTTGAATTCGGCTAAAGGAGAGTCCGTTGAAGCTCCATTAGCTCTGCCGTTGCCGTTCGCCGAGTCTTCGAACATATGGGCAAGGTAGGGGTTGTCTCGCGGATCAACGTTTGTGGCGGTGGTTTTCAATCGTTTCGCTGGAGGCTTCTCTTCTGTTTCGGGGCGCTTTTGAGCCATAGCTACTAGTTCTTATAGGCAGGAAAAGCTACGGGCAGGTAAAGATGGAGTGAGGACTCTTTGATGCGCAGTTGGCGATGTGATAAAAAAAAAAAGTTCGCGTGGGGAGAGATAGGAAACTTAGCCGAGTTCTCTTATCGCGCCAAACTTGCCCTGGCACACGCCCGTCACAATTCGTCGAATCTGCCAAACATCGAGCAAGCTGCGCAGAGAGACACGATGAGCTCCCAGAGCGAAGATCCCGCGATTACTTTTTCTGCTTGTTGATCATTTGGTTCTCTCATAGTTGGATAAACATGACGTGATTGCGAGCTCTGCTAACTAGCCAAATAGAACCGCGAACTCCCTCCCGTCCCGCTCCACCAGGCCTGAGGAAAATATTTCTCCAGGGTTTCGGGAAGCAATTCGGATCGGTAGGAGAAGCTGCTTGGTGTTTAGTGATATCTATGCACGATGGAAGCCTCGGACAGTTGGACTCCCACATTTGTAGTGGGACAGCATGAAAGTGACCGAAAACTACCTGTGTCTCTGGACACCGTCCAGCGGGTCCACGACTGCAATGTATGGATGATTTCCTCTCACTTTATGCTCAGAAAATGGCTAACCTTGCTGAAGTATGATGTTGTCACAACTCCAATTACAACGTCCGAGTTTCATTCCAACGTCCTCACCTTGATTGCCTCCCATCTATGTAGCCTGGAGCGGCCGGTCCAAGATGCGTGTGGCACGCTGGCGACATCCCAGAACACCAAACCTCTTGCAATTCCATCCTTGTCGCTTTCCGATTCGCATCTGAGCCCGAATGGATCCCTAGGCAATGTGATTGCCATCACCAGCAAGTGGATTGATCTCTGTTCGCCGGATCCTCTAATCGCGGACGTCTCTCGCCAAATATTAATGCATGAGGTTGCCTATGCTGCGTTCTGCGGTGTGAGCTATGTCATAATTCAAGGACCCAGATTACACCATGGGAGCCTTCGTGGCGAAGGCTTAATGTATTATGCTCGCACGATCCAGGAAGTGTTGAATGTTGCGCCCTATATCCAAGTACATATTTGGTTTCAGATGACCGATAACCCCAGTGCGGAGACCACTGACATTGGCAACTTGGCTCCCTTTGCGCGAGCGGAATATCTACACCAGCAGGACCCAACTGTATCCATTGATCCGGATCAATTTGGTACTTGGGATGCGTGGGATGCGGTTAGGAGAGTCTGTAAACATCACTCGCGCCTCTTCGTAGGTAAGAAACAGATTTGCTTCTTCATTTCCGCGTCATTTGTACTGCTAGATACCCTTTTTGCACCATTCGCTTCGTCAGATGTCACGTTTTCTCCTTTCTTTCCACCCGGTAAATCATACTAATATTTGACTTCGTAGCCTTGACGCTACCTAAATATCTTCCTTCTGCACCTGTGCAATCAAGGTGGCTCTCTGAACCTGTTCATACTCTGACCATTGACGGCAATGTGTTCGTGAAAAATCAAAAGGGATACCCAGTCCTTTCTAGGGTGCATCAGGGTCTGATTTCTCGGTTCATGCGCCTTAAGGTGCAACCTTGGATTATTCTATGTGATGTTGGCCCTATTCCCGATCCTTTTCAGCAGAGTGATGAATCTCCCACCCCCGCGGAAGCAGTGCAAAGGCTCGGTCCCAATTTTAGCAAAAAGAACTACGACCCAACGCCTCATCTTTCATATATACGAAATCTCCAAACAAAACAACCGCCCCGCACGCCTATGGAGCGCTTCGGAGTGGGGTATCAAGACTTTTTGCAAGCGCCGTTGCAACCGCTGACCGTGAATCTGGAGAGTGTGACATATGAAGTGTTTGAAAAAGATCCTATTAAGTATGAATGGTATGAACGTGCGATTGCAAAAGCTTTGAAAGATTGGATAGCCAAAAAGAAGACAACTTCTTCCCCAGATGGACGTGTTGTTGTCGCAGTGGTTGGGGCTGGCCGTGGGCCTTTGGTGACCAGAGCGATACGGGCAAGTGTCGAGGCAGGCGTGGATATTGAAATGTGGGCTGTTGAAAAGAACCAGAACGCATTCGTCCACCTTCAACGACAAAACAAGACTATATGGGCAGGGAGCGTAAATTTGGCCCAATCTGACATGAGGAGCTGGAAAGGTCCCCATCGCGTGGCCTTACGGGGATCTGATGGACAAGATGCCTCGACGCTTCATTACCCTGTTGACATCTTTGTTTCCGAGCTCTTAGGCTCTTTCGGAGACAATGAATTGTCCCCGGAGTGTCTTGACGGAGTCACGCATCTCCTGAACCCAGACCATGGAATTTCCATTCCAGCATCATACTCCGCCCACCTTACTCCTATATCCTCTCCTCGTCTCCATGCTGATGTTACTGCTCAAAGCGCCTCTAACCCAGCAGCCCCAGAGACACCATACGTTGTCATGCTTCACGCATTTGACTTCCTCTCCACGGTTCAACCCGCCTCAGGAACAGCCGGTCCAAAATCTTCAAACGGTCAGAATTCCTTGCCTTCAAACAAGATCACCAAGACCCCTACGCCTCCACCTACGTTCGAAACTCCAACGCCTATCGTCCATACAGCTTGGTCCTTCTCCCATCCAAACTCCAATATCCCACCCCCTTCCAGGTCGTCATCCGTCCTGTCGAACGCACACAATGTGCGTCAAACACGGCTTACGTTTCCCTGCCGAGAACGTGGTGTATGCCACGGTCTGGGTGGATATTTTGAAACAGTGCTGTATGACGATGTGGAGTTGTCCACAAACCCAGTAACGATGGACACAAAGAGCGAAGGGATGATAAGTTGGTTTCCGATCTATTTCCCATTAAAGGTAAGCCCTATCGGACCTGGCCTCTAGCAAGTTGATGATTTCGGATAATACTGATTTTATGCTTTGTTAAAACACAGACGCCCTTGCACGTTCCTGAAAACTCCGAAGTGGTTGTCACCATGTATCGACAAACCGATGACAGGAAGGTGTGGTATGAGTGGATCGTGGAGGTCTACGAGCTACGTGAAGGAATGGGGAATGGTGTCCGAAAGCTGCGTGTAGCGATGAGTGAATTTCATTCAAGTATTAAGGATGGATGTCTAATGTAATCGGCATCGAGCCAGCTACATGCAATCTGATGAATGCAAATCATGCCACATAACTACTAGATCACTCAAAGAATAATTGGATACTACAAGCTGATTATCGCATACATCCTGATCGCACATTTCAAGTCCTAACAGATTAAAAGCTATCACGCACTCCTGCGCAGTCCTTGACACGTTTCGCCGATGACTCTGTGGCTGATTACAACTTCCTTACGCTTCTCGCAGCTCGTCATGCCACTCGTCTTTTCATTTCGAGACTTATTCTGAGGTTCAGCAGGGGCTTCAGTAGGCTTGGGTTTAGATTGCTGGCCCATGGAGGCGGTTTCTTGCATAGCAGCCATCCAAGGCGGTCAGACTATCTTTAACATCTCCGCGGTCGTTCTTGCGAGGCCTGGAGGAGAGACGACGGATAGCGTTTTCTTTAATTCTGCAAGACTTTTCTCAAATAGGTCCAAATTTTCTATGATTTCACGAGTTAATCATATGCATTGTTGTTCGAACATAGTTCGGTGAAGGCCATCTGTTCGCGTTCTGATCTTGTCCTCAGCCATATGAAGTCTGTCTTTGTTTTATTAGTCGACAATGTATCTCTAGTGATACATTAGCGTGATTGTGCAGCGAGTTTTCTAGCACGTAGGGATAGGACGTTGTACTCAAGCAATTATAGAGAAGCTACATTGTGAAATGGACGACAAGGTATTCCACAAAGACAAGGAGTCGCTACGTCTCTGCGCCCACTACCTCCTGTATATCTTCACAAAGGTAGGGGATTTCGGTGTAGTATTGCAGAGGAATTCTGCCATCACGATCAGTAGAGACACTGCGAATGTTGATATCAACAACCATTTTGCTAATCAGCCATTCAGGCGCTGAGTCTGGTTTCTTGAGCAAGTTGGCCTTGTCTGTGAGGTCTTTCTCGACGTACATGTAGAAGAAGAGGGTTTCCAGTGAGAATGAAAAGGAAGCATGGGTAGTCGTCTATAGGTCGGCATGTTAAAGTGATCACCTACACATGGCGCCATGTCCCATATACTCTTGGCTTAAGTTTGGGTATCAAAAAGAAAAAAGGATAAAACGAAATCCCAAATAAGAAAAACAAAGCTTGAGCAGAGCTTGACAAAAGCCAACAACTCGAGCCAGGTATTTGAAAACTCCTCGACTAAACCGACTCCCAGACTTGATGCACCATCAGGGCTGGCAGACTCGCTGAATAAGAACCGCGCGTAAGTGCTAACATGATGACAATCAGCCTTATCATTCCAAAGAGGAGGACCTGAAGCCCAAGAAGTATTAGGTCTATGGCTTGGAAACATGGAAACGTATTACTAGAAAAAATCTTTCAACAACACATTAGAGCAGGCTGCCGTATCATAACAGCTATGCCAAAAACTAGGACGAAGTAACCTGATTCTCCGCCTCCGTCAAACCTTTCCGAATAGCGAGAACGCTGTCGACGATAACCGCGTCGATGCCCTCGTTGACTTGTAACTAAATCACGCCAGAAATGTTAGCGACATTTCTTATTAAAAAGATTTACCATGTCGAGGGACGCTTTCTGAGCTCACCTTGACGTTCGCCGGATCATTATTCGCCACCCCGTACGAGACGCAAACCAATCCAGACTCTTTCACCACCTTCACCAATCTGGGACTTATCACTAGTGGTTCTGCCGTCGTGACAACGCCCAAGAGATTCCACCTGGACGCAAAGCGAATCGCTTCCTGCAAACTACTCGCGCGGATATCTCCGACAGCCCCGACTCCCGAGTCTGTCAAAAACAGGACAGGGATAGAGGGCTGTTTGAAGGAAAGAAGCAGGCAGATGTCTGGATTAAACGATGAGAAAATCATGTTGCGACCTTCGCCGAGATCGTAGACGGTGGTGAGCACGGTGTCGACAAATGAATTAAGCTCGACAGCGTAGGTGTCCATCTCTTCTTCCTCACTTTCGTGAAGCATAGGGTATTCTGAAGATTTCATTAGATGGCTTGGCATGCAAACAGCAAGCGAAGATAAAAAGAATCTTACTCATTTCCATGTTGAAACCAACCGATTTCGGTAGCTCTTTGAATAAATCCCTGAGCGTGGCGAAAGGGGCTTGAATATGACTTCCGCGTGTGTTGCCTTTGAATCCCTTTTTCTTAAAATCTCTGGTATGCTTCATCCTCTCATCAAAGTTTGGCACACCCAATTCTTCACCAACCGACATAGATCTCTGCCGTATAGGAGCCTCTCGCAAATTGTCCAGCGACGGATTAGCACTTCGAGCGCTCTTGGTATTCTGAGTTGCACGGGGAGTTCGACCGTCGCTGACATGCAAGAACTAGCAACCGGTTAGCGTCTGTGAAAACTCTCCTCAAGTAGTCTAAGCTACTGACTTGTTCCAAAGTAAGGGTGTGCACCGGGGCATCAATTCCTGTCTCGCTGACTAAAAAGTCATGATAGATAACAGGAACATGATCTTTGGTCAGCTGAATATCTACTTCAATTAGCCAAACACACCATTTCTGCGGGAAAGGACAAGTAATATATACCAAACTATATAGCCTGTTAGCCACGATACACAATTCGACGGTATATTTCTAAGCAACTCACCTCAACATAAGATGCTCCAAGGTTTGCAGCAGCGATAAAGGACTGTTATGGTTAGATAAACACTATTCCAAGATCCCTAAATGCAACACACCTGGACCGTGTTTTCCCCCAACTGCAATGATTTCCGGCCAGCGATGTTCTTTCCAAGACCTTTACAGATTACATAGGTTAGGAGTACACATAACCAAAAGGATGAAAACGCGAAGTGAAGTCACCTCGATGTCCGATAACCATTGTCGAAGCCATGGTCTTCCAGTACGTCTGATCCTCCGTGACCGACATCTTCGGATGACAAAACGGAGTAATGATCAAGAAGTTGAACGTAACCGACCCGATAACGTCAAGGGTGTTGGCAGCGATAATGGGCACGGTGGAGTCGCCTTGGAGACTGATGCGCTTAGATCCCACGTGAGGCTTGATGCTGGATAACAATGCAACTCCTCTTCCAAGGACACGATCTTTTGACCCAGCATAAGTTGGGACCAGGTCAAAAATAATCTTCGCCTTGGTCGCATCGGCGGAATGGAAAACAATAGGTTCGGTAGACAGGTTATCCTGGATCGGCAGGTCAATGATCTCTGGTTCACCATGAGCACCACTTGCAGAAACAACGATGGATAGAGCAGTGTCAAGTTGAGTAAGATGTGCATTTGCCATGGGAATGCGGTCAAGGTTGACCGCCGGAATGTGCTTCCTCATGTCCATTGTCCCAAGACTGACCAAGACCATGCTCTCATCAGTCAAATATCTATGGCCAAAGGTCTTAATGGCCTCCGCGGGCCGACCATTTCCATTGGTGTTGGATTTGCGATCGGCCAGGGAGGATTGAAGCGGCGGAGACGAAGAGAGGGTAGTGGGCACAGAAACATCGGACTCGCTGCAACATTCGGTGGTGGATGTAGCTTCTGCCAAAAGCTTAGCGATCGAAATATGCCCTCTGAGTGCAGCATGTTCTTTGGCAGTCCATCCTGAAGAATCAGGTCTCTCGAGGTCAGCACCAGCTTCAATCAAAAGTTGGACAACACCAATATTTCCATCGACGCAAGCAATGAATAAGGGTGTCCAGGAGTAGGTGTTCTCCGCAAGCTCTGTGTTTGCCTTTTGGTGCTCTGTGCCTTCGAGAAGCGCTTTCGCACATTTCTCGTGGCCGAACCGAGCAGCAACATGCAAGGCAGTTTCTCCTTGGTCATCTTGATAATTGATATCAACGTCGGCGTCAACCAAGAGCTGGACAATGTCAATGAAGTTCGCTTTCGTAGCCAAAGCGAGAACGGCACTAGATTTGGAAACGTGTTTCCGGATGGCCGCCTTTTCCTCGCTCCTGCCCCTCCAGTTCTCCGCATCGAGGAGAGCCCGGGTCGTGAGAGGGTGCCCTCGAACGACGCTCAGATGTAAAGGGGCCCAACCTTCTTCGTCTTGCCAGTTAGGGCCGTCGATGCCTTCCGAGACATCAAACATATCCCATGCCTGAAGGTGCTCGATGATCACTTCGCAGACAACCTTGAACCCATACTGCGCACCGTAATGCAACGGGGTGCGGCCAGAGATGTCTTTGGCCAGCAAAGCAGAACGATGGCGGGGCTGGAGATTGTCTAGCAAGTACTCGAGAAATGCGACAGAAGGGTCATCACGCTGCAAAATCGTGGATTGGTCTGCCTCCTTTGTCACGGGGACCTGAGGTACAAGAGAGGGCGGAGCCGCCGGAGTTATATAATTCGAGTTATCAACGGGGAAGTTAAGAACCGTAGATGCAGAGGTGTCAGAATCGGCGGTTGTTTGTGATCTTCCAATAGAGATCACTAATCGATGGATACAGTTGCGTTTGTTAATATCATCTTCTTCGTCAAGGTTTTCAAGCTTTCCAAGCAAAGCAATGAGGCACGCCTTTGAACGGTTAAAAATCGATCGCTGCAAAAGTGATTTCAATACTCTGGGGTATACATTGTCGCCAAGATCATCGGCCGCGATCTTTAATGTCTGCAGTAGCTCTAAAAGGATGTGGGTGTCATCCCTACGGAGAGCCTCATCGACAGCATTAAGCAGGCTTGCAGGGAGGTTTAGGCTCTGGCGAGACGGCACTTTCTTCAAAGATAGAGAAGAGTGGGTCGAACTGGCATCGTCCATGGATTTTTCGTCTCCGAGCACCGACAACCAGTCGTTAACAATTTTCATACGGTTCGTCAGCCGAGCGTTGGTTGCAAACGGCGACGGATCAACCTTGGTGGGCAAGTATCTCATTTGCGCCTGCGCACCGGGGAGCTTTTTGTCCAGCTTCTTGGTGATTTTGATGAATCCTCGACGATTCACCTCGCCGTACCATTGTAACTTTCTCAGCTGTCCACGCAGCTCCAACAAAGCGGCCAAAAGATCATCCAAATCTTCAGCATCAAGCCGGTGTGAAGGCATCACCGAGTGACCGAAGCGGTCTTCAAGCAGCTTCAATCTACGGGAACAATCTGCAAACTTTTTGTTGTAGAATTGATCCACATCTTCGAGGTTTCGGTCGAGGGAATAGAAGAAGCCTACGACCCGTCATGTAAAGGTTAGCAAATCTGAGACCCTTTAACAAGAGTAGCGACCAGTTCTGCGGTTTTTCATACCAGCCAGATCAGGCTCCTCTCCATTTTTCTTCGCCTGGATCGCGGACTTGATGAGCTTCTTCAAGCTCTTGTATTTGATGTAGCTGGCACTCCATTCCGGCACCATATTACGGGGTAAATTCCTTCCAAACTTCATCTTGACCCGCTACTCGAGACGAACAACTCCCAATAAACCCTGAGGGGAGTTGCTATAAGCCCTTCCAGAGGATTTTCGTCTCGTCTAGCCTTGACCCTTATGCGACAACCAACCCGTTTCACGATGACGCCAGAGCGGAAAAGACCGGGTTCAAAGGACGACTTGAAGAAATCGACGGTTAAAAGGATAGGTTCGAAATTCCCCCCAGACGAAACGAAAGAAAATAGCCCGAGAAGGGGAGAAGAAAAAAAAAAAAGGTAAGATAGTGAGGGCAAAAACAGAGCGAAAACTGGTGCAGCACCTTGTTTCTCAAATAAAAGTCGAACGGCGTAAACGAACCCGGAAAGAAAGGCAAGCAAACGAGAAAATGGTTGAGGGCGCCATCGGGATCGAGTTGTGTCAATACATCAGGCGGAAGATGGCGGTATAAACCCGTTGTCTTTGGATATGACTGCTCAGCAACAGTTCGAAAAAGGAGGTGAGGTGGTCACTAACTTGTTAGTTGGGGGGATAAATGAGGTGAAGGAGATGGTTTAAGTTGGCCTGAGATTTAACGAGCAATTAACAACGTTTGAGAAGAAGTCAAAAAAGCTTGGTCTGTTAGCCTGTCGTGGCGTAGTGGGGACGGGGAGGTTCATGTGCAGAGACGATTGGAGCGGGAGGACCGCTGGGCGACGGCGAACCCAGGTTGACGATGAGCAAGGGACCAGGGGATGGGGCAAACCTACCACCGGAAGATGTGGCGGGCGGCTTCGGCGAGTGATTCTTGTCGTTCGCTCTGCCGGAGAAGCGAGGATGCGATGGGAATCGAGGCGGGAGAAGCGCACCGGCGACGACTCCTTGGTCGATGAGCTGGTTAGCTCGCTCTGTACTCCGTACGAGTTGCACTTTTTGCAGCTAACTGAGGCGGCGGAGAACAGCAGCTGGGTTAAAAATAATAAACTAAACCAACTAGCTCGTGAACCTGTCGAGAAAACCGACGGTCATTGGACAATTGCCCTCCACCCAGTGACACTCTGCAGGCGCGAGACGAGAGAGGTGCAGCATCGCAAACGGCCAGCTCCCTGTCTCCGAGAAGACCCTCCCGGTTGCTGCATCCATCCTCCCCCATCCCATATTGATTAACCTACTAACCCACCTAACGCAGGATCATGAACACCCGCAAAAAGCAATAAAGCGTGCCTCCAGGCTCATATCCCGTTGGACAGGCGAGAGATTCACCATCCGTGTGGAGAACATATGTACGATACAAACGCCGAAGCTGCTGCTCATAGCCGACAAATCGACCGACAAAAGCTCCTCTAACAAACGATCCAAACGGTGGAAGATAAATCGATCGTCTTTCCGCATGACCAGGTCAGCCATTCTCAAAATCAGGAAACAAGAATAAAAAAAGGACCCAAAAGCCCCAACCTAAACATGTCAAAAAAAAAAATCATATTCACCACCATCACTACGGTACGCAGCGCATATTTCCAATCGAAACAACCCCGCTGGACCACACTTGAACTTTCAACCAATATAGTGGACTACCGGCACACCCTCCTCTTCCCCCCTTCCAACCCATTTCCTGGCAAAACGAGAACACGCCCACCATGTGTTCCAGTGGAAACGACACACCCTGAGTGATCAAAGCGCCACTCGACAGAGCAAATGCCGCCCCAGAACCCCTGTATCCTCGTCGCCAGGGATCCGAGCTGTGACGGATGCCAAGGGAGCGCCCAGAACAAGCTCTCGACGCCGAAAACGACCGAAGTTCCCGGCCTGTGCCCAGCGGTCAAGTGACCAATCAACTAGGAAATGGGAGACGGGTGGCATTGGCCGTTGGGACACGGGGGGTGATGTCTTGATAAAGCGGCCGTCCTCCGATTGAGGAGCCCTCATGCGTTTCCAGGAGCTGTGACCCGGGATGATGGACATAATATACTGGCTGCTTCGTATGATGGTGAAAACTACCAAGGATGACGTGCGACGACAACAGCCAAACCCTGGTCATAAAATGTATATCTGGAGACCAGGGAGACATGGATTACTCTCGACTACAGAACAATCAACTCATATCATCATAATCTCAGAAAGTACAGCACGCACCACTCGGTCGCGTGAGAAAACGAAAGAGGAACTCGAATGGAGACACAGGAAACGCCCGCCACGTACGCCCAATGCCAAAACCCAAAGAAAAAGAACAGGAGTGAATGGAGCGTAAAAAAGCCAGAATAAACGTCCACCCTGGCGCCGTAAACACCAAAACCATTATCAAAAGGGGAAAAGCATGTAAAAGAATCACCGAAATCGCTCGCCCCGGCGGGGACGAGTTTGGTCACTGCACCCAACAAAACCGAGAGGAAAACGCAAAAAAAAAAAAAAAAAAAAAAAAGGGGCCAACACCCCTTGCCATTCCAAATCACCAGTCATGTCAATAATTTCCAATGCCTGCCCCCGATGTATATTATGCTCTGGATTAAATAGTCATTCCGAGAAAGAGGAGGGAAAAAAAGGTAAACAAGGATGGAAAACCAAGAAAAACCACGGTCTACTGCCACGTATCGCTTTCAGTTGATCAACGCTTTCAACGCCTCAACTCCGCTTTCCACCACAGCCGGATTATGCGATTGTGTAAGGCACGTCTTCAACGTATCTAGTGCGCCATTCTCGAGTAGGTCCTTCTTTGCCCGCTTGCCAATATCGCCGGTGGCCCGGACAAGGTTGTTCAAGCAAACAACGCCCCGATGCACCAAGCCATCGTCATCGTCGGCGCACAGTCCTAGAATAATCTTCAATCCCCGCTCCCGATCAAGAATGGCAGACACCGCCGATTCGTATTCAGTAAGCATAGCCAGAGCGCCGCCGGCCGCTCGGCGGGTCGGAAGGTCCTCCACGTCCGCGAGAGCGAGAATTATATGTAGACGCTGGCTCGCGCGGGCCGATCTGTCTGCAAATTTACCGATACCCTGTTCGCAGGTCATCAGATTGCAAACGAGCTCGCAGGCAGCACGTTGGATATAGCTGTGACCTGACAAAAGTAGGTCCTCGATAGTGGTCCATCCGGCACGGACGATGCTCGCTCCGGCGTTTCTGTCGGGTGACGATGCAAGATTTGTTAGGGCAAGAAGGCTTTCAAAAATTGGGAGGAGGTCGCGTGGCTGGTCCGTAGAACTCGTCTCTGATGGAGTAAGGAGAAGCAGTAATGGCCGAACCGCTGAAGTGATCTGGGGGAATCCCGAAGATGGGAAAACGTGAGATGGATTCACCGAGATTAAAATTCGTGCAAGCGCGTGCGCAGCATTATAAGTAGAGTCATTCAATTTCCGAGCAGCGTCCCCTCCTGGATTAAGGGCCGCGACGAGAAGTTTCACGGCACCTTGCTGAGCTAGCTTTCCTCTCGATTTAGGGTCTCTCGACAGAGCCAAAAGGATCTGATGGTTAAGGCTCTTTATCGACGAGAGATTCTGCTTTTCACAATCAATCAGTAGAGGCACAACGCCGGCATCAATGACGGCAGTGCAACGAATTTTCACGTGCTCTTCATCGTCTAGTTTATGAGGTTGCGCTGGCTTCGAGGTATTCGCGTACGCTTTAAGTTCCGAAAGCTTCCTCTGCTCCTCTGATAGATTCGGTCGATATTTGGTGACGTTCCATATCGTCATGAGCCCACCATACAACACCGTATTCTCCGCCTTCCTGTTCCTCAGAATGTGAACCAGGTTCTTGAGAAAGTCCGAGTCCTTTGCTATTTGCTCTTTCACTTCCGGTTTCACGGAGGAATACGCCAGTCCTTCAACAGCATGACAGATCCCTTCTCCCGAAGGTTGTTCAGAGAGCAAATTTTTAAACCGTTCCACCAAGTCATGGGACTCAGTGCTTGCTTCCTGCATACGGCTCGACAAAGCTTCTGATTTTTTTTCAGAGGCCTGGATTTTCGCTAGAATCACTGCAGAAAGACCCGCAGCTTCCTGCGATCCGTTGCTGAGGGTATATGACAAACATTCTGAATGGTGCTTGTCAATAGCATCCCTGCAAGCTCGATCGATGCAAGCCGCATTAAATAGCTCCAGGACTGCTAATTCCAAAGCAGGGTGCTTTTGTCTTTTATAAAGCAAGGGAGTAAGTGACTGTAGAAATCCCTCTGATAAGAAAAGGGTTGACGCTATGGCGGGTACGAGAGGAAAGACAACTGCAGCAGCGGAGAAAGCGATGATGTAGTCTTCGCATCTACGCCTTGCGACGCGCGCCTTCACAACCTTTGTGAAAAGTTCTTGACCGGTCTCTTGGGACGCCTCCAGGTACTTTGCAGTCGCCAAGGTCGCTTGGCTGCGTACATCAACTGGAAGTCTTAGGTCAAGAGAAGAAAGGATCACATCGAATCCTTCTTCGTCGATTAGATGATGCAGGCATTGTGCATGGACAGCGAGAAGTCGCGCGATTCCTTTGAGGGAGCGGCCGTCATGGTCATGACCGGATTCCATCAGCTTTGCGATAAACAGCTGGAGAAGCTCCCCTTCACAATGGCTCCGATTGGTCTCTGATGGCCAGAGCCCTTTATCCAGAATGACCGTGTCCAAACAGACCACAGCGCCATCACCGCGATCGTATATCTCATCGAAGAACTGCGTCGCAGAGCTCTGCAGCTCTGCAGCGAAGTACTGCCGACAAGACGCGCTTTGACGAACCAAACCACTGATTATATCATCCTGCGTGGCGGAGTGTTTGGAGGCGGGAGATGCGAGGACAAGCTTCAAAGACGCGAGGGCTACATCAGTAGGCGGCTCAAGCCCCTCTTGGCGAAGGTATCTTGCTGCCTCCTTGCCGGCGTCTTCATCCTGCTGGTGGATGTAACGCCGACAAAGGTTCAGCAGCGTGTGGTTATTCTCCTCATCTTCTCGAACTTTCAAAAATGCCGCTTTAACTTCGGCGTTTTCAGGAGCGAGAGCTATGGCTTCGCGGAGGTTGCGGGAGGCAGCCTAGAGAATAACCCAGGGGCCAAATTAGCATGGGAACTCATCTGCAGGTCTTTGAGAAGGGATCCGGGGACGGACCTCGCGATGGCCAGCATCTACAAGCTCAACAGCTTCCCTTACAAGTCGCGCCGCCTGATCGTTATTAAGCACCGAAACCATGGGCGGCGTACTTGAATCTGAGTGGATATTTCCTTTTTTTTTTTTTCTTTCCGTTCTGTCAAAAGAAATATCGTGTTGGTTTTCTTTCAGTCTCAGTTCGTTTCGTGGGAAAATCGGGGAAGAGTTGTAACTCTTGTGTCAGTCGCCTCCCTTCGCCTTTGACTCAGAAAACCACGGGCGGAATTTTTATGCAGAAGCTGCTCGACAAAGGTAAATATATCCAGGCTAGTTTAGGGACTCCGGGGGGGACGGTGACCACCCAACCAAGCACGGGCTGGATTAAAACTCCGGGGATGGGGGGAGGCGTGAGGATTCCGTGGCGAAAAGCAATAACACGAACGGGACGGTCTGTGTGATTCTCCGTACGAGCACAACTGCGGGATCACCCCCGCCGCGAAAGGCAGCAGTTCTGTTGGGAGCTGGCTGGCCTCTGAGAGGCGTGTCTGTTGGGGAATGAGTCAGGAGGGTGGGCGTGCTTAGAACAGGGAGCCGCTGTCCCTATGAGGCTGTTGAGCGGGATATGCAGATTGGTGAAGGTGAGGAAGAAGACACAGATGGAGGATCAGACGCGAGAGATGGCAGAAAAGAGAGTCTCTTTCCTCACGCATGCAAAAAGTGTCGTGAAAAATGATTTATCATGGCAGGCGAAAGAGGGTTTGGTGAGCTCTGGAACCGCCCAAGATAGGACATGCTCTGAACCATTCCCTTTTCATGCGCAGTGGAGCTTATCTATCTCTTGGAAGTTACATCACGACAAGGCACCCGCACAGCGGAGAGTTGTCCAGTAATTACGCACAGTATGACCCAGCTGTTGAATGCATCCATCCAACCACGCACGAGCTCCTGGACATGGTCTGGCCTGACTTGTGCAGGTGCCCGGCTGGCGCTGGTTGCTCGCCGGGCGCATTCTCCTGGTAATGAAGTAACCAAAGCCTTATCGGATCTGATAACGGGATCCAGAGTTCGTTGGTATAACTAGTTGGTTGGCTGGAACTCCTTGTTGGTTTGTTACCTGGCTGTGACGGCGGATATTCGGAATGCAGATGTAACACAATGGGGGTTGGGAGCACTCCATGCTATATAATAGACAGCCCCGGGCGACTGAGCAACTCCATACATCTAGCAACAATTCAAGCTCTCACCCTCCTTCGCCTTGACCTTCACCGATCAAAATGACGGTGAGGACTAAGCTGTGATATTCACGCCCAAAGGCGAATACGAGGATGCGCATTGCTTGGCCTGATAAGGCGTATTGTTGATTCCCTCCCCTGTACAGGGTTTAGTACAGAGTACGTTTGTGTATTACGTCTGTGAAACCCCGCTTATGTCATCAATGCACATCGAAGCTCTGAAGCATCGCAAAGCTGCGGGACGATGACATCGCATGGGGGTTTCAACCACGAGGAAGACGGGCTGGTCATGCAAGATATTCTCCCCCCCTGCTAAACTTCGCGCAAAGGAGATTCTTATTTGCACGTTTCCGGCGTTTGAAGAGAGGAGCGAGCCTGGTGTTCCTCCGTCAGGACACTCGGCATCATGAACCCTGTTGATTCTTCCGATCACTTTGAAGCTGGTATGATCCGAAGCTTCAGATTTCCATCACCATGCGAAATAAGCCCCGCAGGAGAGAGAAAAGAAAAAAAAAAGAAATTGATAAAATAGGATCAAAGCTGACTGAGTGATTTTCTTCCCCAGATACCGCTGCATCACTCCTAACCATTGTGCTCGACACCAACCCGCACGCTTGGGCCCTGCTAGAAGACACCCTCCCACTCTCCACAGCTGTCGCCAATCTCCTCGTCTTCGTCAACGCCCATCTCGCTTGCAACTATGCGAACAAGGTGGCTGTTGTCGCCAGCCACTCCCAGGAGGCCCGATGGCTGTATCCGACCCCAACCACAGCCTCATCCAACACAAACCAAGATGAGCCAGCAGACACAGACGGAGACGTCGCCATGTCTTCCACAACAGGCGAAAGCCCAGCATCCAACAAATACCGCCCCTTCCGCATCGTCGAGGAGCAACTAACCCGCAACCTCAAAGCCCTCCTCGCCACAACCTCCCCGGCCTCCGTCAGCTCCGCCACCTCGACCATGATGGCCGGCGCTCTCACCCTTGCCCTGAGCCACATAAACCGCGAGACAATCGCCTACGCCGAAACCCACGGCACTTCCAGACTCGACAGCGATCCTTCCAATCCCACCCCGACGGCCACCGGCCTCCCTCCACCACCAGGCTCCCACCCAGACCCAACCTCACAATCATCCCGCTCCTCCCCGACCGGCCTCCAGTCCCGCATCCTCATAATCTCCGTAAGCAGCGCCACGGGCTCAGCCCACCAGTACATCCCTATCATGAACAGTATCTTCGCCTGCCAGCGCCTGCATATCCCCATCGACATCTGCAAACTCTCCGGCGATGCCGTCTTCCTCCAGCAAGCCTGCGACGCCACCCGCGGCATCTACGTTCCCGTAGACCACCCCCGCGGATTCCTACAGTACCTCATGGTGGCTTTCCTCCCGGACCAGCGCTCACGGCGACATCTGATCCTGCCCACGCGCGTTGACGTTGACTTCCGCGCCGCCTGCTTCTGCCACCGGAAGGTCGTCGATGTGGGCTTCGTCTGCAGCATTTGCCTGAGCATCTTCTGCGAGCCTCCAGAGGGCGCGGACTGTCTGACCTGCGGTACTCACTTGGAGTTGGGAGATTACGGTGCGAAGCCGGTTGTCATCGCGAAGAAGAAGAAGCGTAAAAAGGGTGCTACAAAGGCCCTCGTCGCAAATGGAGGCTCGTCTGGCGGAGCGACTCCAATTTCTAATCCAACATCAACACCTACTTTACCTTAGGATATCACCAAAGACAATATACATACCAACCGGACCCATTTTGCATCTTACCTTCGTCCAGAAACCCTATTCCGTAATCCTCAGAGTGAGTTGATCTTGAAGATTACCTCTAAGGGATTCTTAAGACATGTACGCAGATTACATAAAAAAATGAATCTAAAAGGGTTCTAGAGACTTTATAGGATTTCCCTAGCACTACATCTCAAAACCCAATTGGAATTTGGCACTACGCGAGGTTGTGAAGACAAAAACAAAGGCTTCCTCACTGCCCTCGCATAATTCCAGATCCATTTTACCAACCATACCCGCCCGTTTTGTGTGCTGAGAGGAGCATATGACAAAATATTTAGGAAGAGCACGGAAGAGCAAGTTTAATGGGGTTCAGGGTCAGATTAGGTAAGAGGATGCCAGCCTCCAAAGGCAACACAGCCGTCTTTCATAGGAACTTCGTCCGGATATTTCCCCCCCCCTAAAATTGACCGGAAATCCTAGGGTATCTGGCAGCAAAGCTGGTTTATGACTTGCTTGGCTTGTATCTAGATCTACTGCGAGAAATCATCAGCACTCTCAAACTACTTTGTAAACTGTTTTCGTTGAAATCATGGGAACGGGAAGGATGCTGGGCGCATTGCGAGATGCAGTTTACCTGTTCAACCTAGTATATCGTCCTCCTTGTGCCACTTTGCTGTAACCTTTGTTTCGGGACATAAGGCAGCACGGCTCGGGATCATCTGAAGTCATTGAGGCAATGGCCTGTGAAAGAACGGTTGGCAGTTAGCTCAAATAAGGCTCCCTATAATCATTTGGGGAAGTAGTTCTCACAAAGGAGTCCGTGTTATGCCCAAAAAAGAAAGCTATCCCTTCGGTTGTCCTTTTGACAGCCATGATTCCTATCGCAGCATGGCAATGGCTCGCTTTGACACCGGGATGACCTACAGGCCAGAGTGCAGCACAAGAACAAAGTTAATACTAACGCATCATACAGCATAGAAGTGAAATTGCGTAGGCTAGGGGGGAAGCGGAACAAAGTCAATAACGTACCCATGAACTCATTCTCGATCACGGCCTTCAAAGCTTCATCTTCAGTGACTTCCTCGAAAGTTCCCGGCTTGCCTGGGACTTTTCGAATACTGCTATATATCCGCTCTGCACACAAGCCCGCGGCCATTGTAGTAGCCATGTGCTCGCCGGTCCCGCTTGTCACCGCCGCGGCCGAGGTTGCCGATTCATCCTTTGGCTCTACTGGAACGACAGCTGTGCCAACCCCGACCAACGCAGCCGGTCCTGTTCGTCCGCAATGTTTCATGCCAATACCCCCTGAGGATGAACCAGCAGCGATATTCCCGTAGCAGTCTATCGCGATAGCACCAACTGTGTCACTGATATCATCATCCCTACCTACAAGCAATTGTGCATTCAGCCGCTTGAACCTCCCCGAGCTTTCAACCTGCAACGGGGCGGTACCGGCTTCCGTTGCAGAGGATGGTGGTGGTAGACCGATTGGAGGTGGATAGGCGGCACGGATATCGCCTGAACATTCCCCTGGGAGCTCGTTGGCTGGTGTATCGGATGTTGACGGGACAGGTTCCCAATGAACGACGTTGTCAACATAGTCTGGGTCGCTTTCCGCATTTGCATCGGGCTCTGAAGCGCCATCGTCCGGCAAATTACGATCAACTATGGTGCTAATAGCCGCATCAGTGTCCACATCCATCTCGCAGACAAGATTTTCTCGAACTGAGCCATCGGGGCTCGATTCAAGATCCATACGTCCTACGTTGCTTGGCGAATTGGCGCTGCGCCTCGAGCGATGCGATGAACTGGGGCTAGAGCCTACGCATGCTTGGGAAGCTCTGGCTGTACTTAATTTACGAGGAGAACGGCAGGCAGGATCCCACACTTTCGCCTGGCGTTGTAGCTCCAGTTGTTGTAATTCGTGGTTCCAACGAAACCAGCGTTCTCGAGCACCCCTGGAAACAAGCGAGTTTGCGGGAAGGACTGATATTCCCTGCTCGTAGGCAAATTCAATCGCGCCAGCTCCTGCAATAAGGTTTGGAGGCACACGATTGAAGGCCAAGGGCTTGGTGGATGCGTCTAGGATGACACGAGCGAGAGTAATTGGATTTTTGACGTCTATGAAGCAACGGCATCAGCGCAAAACTTGAATGATCCGAGGGATATAAGTCACTAACGCTCAACTGCTCCGACTGCTCCGCTACGACCAAGGTGATCCACAATAGTCGCGTCGCATTCGACTGTGCCGTTGATTGTAAGGTTGCTACCATAGCCAGCGTTTGTAATCTCGTGGTCTTCGAGAAACTTGACCGCAACTTCAACGGCGTCCACAGCGCTGCCTCCGGATTTTAAAACGGCCATAGCAAGGATAGCCGCCCTTTATAGCCTTAGTTACGGCTGTCCGATTTTTTTAAAAAAAAAAAGAAAAGAAAAAAAATGAGGCAAGAATCTTTCGAGGAACAGCTTACTGATTGCAAACCCATAGATGTATTTCCTCACTTTGGTGGCTATGAAACCCTGCACCGGCATGAACATAAATGGCAGATATGCCTTTGGCTTCAGATGAAGCTGAAACCATCATGTTGGTGATTTCAAGGAACCTCAAGAGTTGGTATCAAGCCTACCCAGGAGATTATAACACGTTTAGACGCGTGTGGTATCTTGCAAGGCAAATTTTCAAACACCAAGAGCCTTCCTGGATGCAACGCGCTCAGGAGTCAGTCGGGCAAGGAGTGGTGTGAAAGTGAGATGAATGAGCAGGATGAAAACTAATCGGGGCAGGTTGGATATCTTGCACATAGAGCACCCTTTATCACTGGTCTCAGTGGTCCACAGCTCTAGTTGAGAAGCTCCCAGCAAGGCATATAACAGGGTGGAGAGGTAGAAAGGGGATTCATGTATAATCTAATAGCAGAGAATTATGAGCTGTTGTCCAGAAAATACTTTCATCTTCACGTCACTGGAGGTGATACCAACAGGATCAAAGGGCAAGCCACAGCACGTGCAGCGTAAAGGACACAGCAACGTGCCTCTTGTGCGTGAAGTGATAATAGGAATATACAATAACGAATGGCTAGAGAGCAGAGGAGGTAACCAAATGAGAAGCTCTCCTCTTACGAGATTCAGACGGGTATAAAGAACAATGGACAGGGGAGCGAGGCCTTGAAGGGTCGTGTTCAATTCTGCCTCAAGCCATGAGAAGCGAACCTCAAGGATACAGTGAGATCATATAGCCACGGAAGCTGCCATAATTGTACTGCATTGATTAAAAACACCAACTTCCCTATCCCACAGCCCGAAGAGGAGGAAAGTCCAGATGGGCAGATGCGCCGATTCGCAGTGATTGCTTCCAGCAGGAAAGGCATCCGATCCGTTCCTCCCATTACCACAGCATCAGCTCTACGGGCTTCTCCATTCCGTCTGACATACGGCCCCGCATCGACCGAAGTACAGCGAATAATATTCAATATAAAGCTGCCAATATATCTTCCACTGTTCGGGCTAATACAAGCCACGAGGTTGACCGGGCGGGAAGCGCCAAATTGTTAATCCGATCCGTTATTAGTAAGCGAACCTCTAAAAATCGCAACTTATATATCACAAATGAGGTTGTATGGTGCCTTCGGGCATTTGGTCTTATTGAAACGATACAGAGAAGATTAGCATGGCCCCTGCACTAAGGATGACACGCTCAATCAAAGAGAAGCTCCAAGTTTTTTTGCCGGAGCTGCGTTGGGGTGCGGTGCGAATGCTGGCTCCTGTCTTCCGGCACGGTGCAACGGGACTCTCGCGTTCGAATCTGGGTGCGGCCCGGTTTTCTTTTCTTGTTTCTGTTATTCCCAACTGCTTGGGGCAGATAGCACGATAAAGTAGCCTGAGAAATTGTAACGGGGCCGAATCAAGTCCATTCAGCTATTGCAGAGTCTGAAATGAAATATGCTAGGAGTAACCATAAGGTACTTAAACGGAGCTGTGCAGTAACTACGTACTTTGTGTCCGCATATCCGAGGTGCTTGCTGTCCGTCTGGCTTAAGGGTATGCTCCAGTTAGAATAATACTTTAAAGCCTTCCACATATTTTGCTGCTCAACATACTTGTCCGCTAGCAAGTCAAGCACACCAGTTGCAGCATACTTTCAACAGCTATTTGCTAAAGCAAGAATTACAGAGGACAAGGAAATTAGCTCGCCATCGTCGCCATGGACGGGGCAGTTATCCCCCCGGTTTTGCTTGGCTGGAAAGCAAGATATACTCTAATGTATTCAGTTATTTACATTTTCTCTTAGCATTGGCAAAGGTGCCATGGCCTACTCTTCACATTTCCCATCGAATCGTAGGTCATAGCTTTGCAGCGTATTCTATGGTTATCAGAGAAAAACGTGTTTCTGGTGTTGACGAGTGCAGCCAAAAATCCATCTCCAGTTGAGGCGTGGCTTGGCACCAGCGAACCCCCCAAATGACGCGGATGCTTCACCCACCACGCTGCTCCTCTCCGTGCATACATATCCGCCCAATTCCCACTCCACGTCGCAACGGAGTATGTTCTTTGTCGACACTACCTCGACCGTTGAGTGACATTGTTTTCGCCATTGTTTGAATTCCTGAGACTCTGATTGCCAACTCGTAGGCTCAACAGCAGCCAGCTAGGCCGCCATCTCCACACATCCCGCAACCATGGCGTCGCAAACACCCGCCGTTGTCATGGACAAGTACGATGATCTTATGTTTGTTCCTCTGTTGCCTTCTTTCAAGCTAACAGATATTCTACTTTTAGCGGCACCGGATACTCTAAGCTAGGTGTGTTATAGCTTTCGAAAATCAGGCGTTACTTCAGCTGACGATCCATTCAAGGTTTCGCCGGAAACGACTCTCCCTCCTTCGTCTTTCCAACCGCGATTGCCACAAAGGCCAGTGGAGGAGCAGCAGGGACGGGCTCGGGTAGACCGCCAGTCGCAAATAAGCCGTCGTTCTTGACTGGAGGCGCGGGGTCAAGTTCTTCGTTGTCCGCGAAGAGGGGCACGGAGGACCTGGATTACTTCATTGGAGATGAGGCGCTTGCTGCAACTTCAGGGCCGGGATATGGCCTTCATTATCCTATTAGACACGGCCAAATCGAGAATTGGGATCATATGGAGCGTTTCTGGTCCAATTCTATCTTCAAGTATCTGAGAGTGGAGCCGGAGGATCATTACTTTCTTCTCACCGAACCGGTACGTTTGACCCCCTTTACCTTTTTGCTGCTCGCCCGAGTGAGTTAATTGACTGCTGGTAGCCATTAAACCCGCCTGAAAATAGAGAAAATACTGCTGAAATTTTCTTCGAGTCTTTCAATTGCGCAGGATTATATATCGCTGTTCAAGCCGTGCTAGCTCTTGCTGCATCATGGACGTCATCCAAAGTCACTGATAGATCTTTGACAGGTACCGTCATTGACTCTGGTGACGGTGTTACACACGTTATCCCCGTGGCGGAGGGATACGTCATTGGATCCTCAATCAAGAGCATTCCCATTGCCGGCAGAGACATCACATATTTCGTTCAGAATCTACTCCGTACAAGAGGAGAGCCAGATAGCTCAATGAAGACCGCAGAAAGAGTCAAGGAAGAGTACTGCTACGTCTGCCCGGATATTGTGAAGGAGTTTGCCCGCTACGACAAGGAACCAGACCGATTCTTGAAGCATACCGTCACTTCTCCTAACGGACGAAGCGTCACTATAGATATTGGCTACGAGCGATTCCTTGCCCCGGAAATCTTTTTCAACCCTGAAATTTACTCGTCAGATTTCTTAACCCCACTCCCCAATGTTGTTGATGGTGTCATCCAGTCTTCCCCGATTGACGTGAGACGAGGTCTATATAAGAACATTGTCTTGTCCGGAGGATCGACCTTGTATAAGGATTTTGGTCGCCGCTTGCAACGCGATATCAGACATCTTGTCGATGCTCGTATCCGCGCTTCAGAAGCTCGTAGCGGCGGGGCCAAGAGCGGTGGATTAGAAGTCCAGGTTATTACCCACAAGAGACAGCGCCATGGACCCTGGTTCGGTGGAAGTCTCCTTGGCCAGACACCTGAATTCCGAAGCTATTGTCATACCAAGGTAGGTTGTCTTAATCTCCCCCTAAACACTTGCGGTGTAACTAAGACTTTTGACAGGCTGAATACGACGAGATTGGCCCGTCTATTGTGAGACGATTTGCGCTACTTGGAGGACCGGGGAGCACCTAGATAGCATCGCAATACAAGGCATAGGCCCTTCCAACTTGACATTCGCGCATATAATCTCTGTGTATACGATTAAATGGTTCAAAGCATCTAGGTAGAGGACCCAAAAGCTCACCCAACGTGTCGTGTGGGTGATAACCGAAATTGACATCCAGAATCATGTTGAATCAGATTTCATCACGGGTATTTCTAGTAAAAATTTTGACTTTTCTGGAGCTCAAAGGAATATTGTACAGGACCACGCCCTCACACTCACTCAACGTTGGCCACTCTATTCAAAACAGCCACACTCTCCACATGGCCGGTTTGTGGGAAGAAGTCAAAGCCCTTAATACTCTCAATCTCATACCTCACACTACTCTTCCCACTTCCATCACCCGTATCTCCCCGGACCATCACGCCAACATCTCTCGCTTGCGTATGAACGTTACAGCTCACATATACCACCCTCGCGGGGCCAAATGCCAACAGCTGCTTCAAAAAGTTCGTATCACACCCCTTTCTCGGGGGGTCAATAACCAATAACGTCTGATGCGGGGGATATGGTACATCCTGGAACAACTTCGCCGCGTCTGCGGCGGCAAAGCCCGTGTTTTTCAATTTGTTAAGACGGGCATTTTCACGGGCTGATTCGATGGAACCCGCTGCGACATCTACGCCGAGAGACGAACGGAAGACGGTAGAGAGGGCGATCGTGAAAAGACCGGAGCCGCAGTAGGCGTCGAGAAGATATTTTAGTTTGGGCTTTGAAGGGTCGGAATCGGCAGATGCTGGGACGGCACGTTCGCGCACGTATTGGGTGAAGGGAGAGAGGATTGAGTTATTATTTTGGAAGAACGTTCCGGCGACGTTGCGGAAGAGATAGTCGTCGATGTATTCGGATGAGATTCCTTTTTGGTCCGTGATATAGCTCTTTTCTTCGATGTAGTCCGGGTGGTCTATCCGAATCACACCCTTCTTCTCTGTTGCGTTTTCCTCAACTTTGTCTCTGGGTATTCGTCTCGTATTTTCCCGAACCAGCAGAGTTGCGCCGGCCTTGAATTGATGCACACTATCCAAGACTCTTTGCCGCTCGTTCTTCAGCCCTACTCTCACGATGTCTGTTCCGAGCGGGCAATCTTCGATATCCATAACCTTTCGTCGTCCTTTCATCATAAACCCAATATTTAAAGGCTCTGTCAAGTTATGAGCTGCCTTCTTCACTCGCCCGGGGAGCGAAAAGTGCGGGGTCAGTTTCGTCCTGTACCCATACTGCAACGGCGAACCCATTGTTTCCTCTATGCCAGGAACCTGCACCGAGTTCAGTCCCGAGAAGTTGATATATGCTTTTTCGATAATTCTCTTCTTATGCTTAAGCTGGTCTTCGTAAGGAAGCATTTGGAACTGGCAGCCACCACACTTCGCGAAATATTGACACTTGATTAACGAATCGTCCCGTTGCGGCGAAGGTTTCGTCACTTCAATGAAATCAGCAAGACTGTAGGATTCCCTTCCCATAGTCCTATATACCCTTATTTTTACCGTATCGCCAGGGAGAGTGAAAGGAACAGCGTAGACATGGTCGCGCGCGGGCGAGAGCGCAAGGCCGTCTCCGGTGGAAGAGAGTTCGGTTATTGTAACTTCTGTCTCCGGAAAATTCTCATCTTTTCCAGTATGAACAACAGTAGGAGATGCCTCTGTCTCAATAGTATCTGCTTCAGGCTTATTCCTCCGAAGAAGATCCCTGATATCAACCAGGAGTACATCATCTTCAGCCCCTCGGTCACGATTCTGCTTCTCACTGCCTCTCTTTCTCTTGCGCGAGCTTTGTCCGCGATCTCGGGAACCTCCTCGAGAGCTATGCTCCATTTTAAATGAAAGTTTCGTCTGGTTTAACCCTGACTGAGCAACGTAGGTACGTAACGGTAAAGGTGTCCAGCACCGGGATACGGGTGGTCGAGCAAACTGTCGCGCAGACCAAGCGAGTCGCTGGAAGAAGAAATGGGACATGGGCTAACAATCCAAGCAACCCATACGCTTCCAGCCCTGTCACCCTACTCTTCACGGCCCCGGTCGATATGAATGCGACTCTTTTGACCTCCAATCCTCCGGGAATTTTCCTCGTCCCAGCTGGTCGCATAACGGTCTTGATGCACCAAATTTTGGCGCAAAAAGGAAAAACGTTCCTCCGAGCAAAGCTTCTTCAATTCATCCCAAAACCTCTCTTCAACCAGCCCGAGTCGACGTCCAATTGACCAAAGTCCAGGGCCAATTCCCCCGGCCTCATACCCGTCGCCAAGATGAGCATCTCACGGCCTACAGCTCGTTGCCTTTTCTGCTCGTTTTCGCGACCAGCGACGACGCCGGTGCTATCTCGCCTGCCCCGACGCCAATTCCACCCATCTCCCGCTCAATCCAAAAACGACGAGAAAAAGCCCGAAATCCCAGAACCGACGCCCTCAACCTCAACTTCAACTTCAGCCTCAGAAGGAAAGACATGGCACGACCTTAAATCGTCCCACTTCAAATCATACACGGAATTAGAGAAATCGCGCTTTTACGAGGAGTACTCCAGCAAGCAAATCGCGGCCATCGAAGCCGGTGAAAAGAGCATCGACCCAGAAGACCTCGCCAAACAATTCCAACAGCGCGACGACCCCTGGGCCATGCAATATCTCGATGACTTCTCGACCATCGAGCCCGTGATTGATCATCACAAGCGCGCCCCAGTTACGAATTACGACCCCAATTCCCGTCTAAAGACCGAAGATGAAATCGTCGACGACCTTGCCGAGTATATAATGAATATGCCGGACGACGCAACAACCGCCGACTGGCTCCGATTCACGGACAACATGCGTCTAACGGTGGGTAAAGCCGAAGCCGAGCTCGACCCCCACAGCTCTCTCGTGCCCGACCTCTTTGAACCCGGCGAGAACCTGGAAAATATCGGCGAACATCAAAGAAAAGACTTGAAGAAAGCCGCGGCCGGAGAAGGAGGCGAAATCGCTCCTGCATTGCGGCAACTGATGCAGGTCACCGGCTACTCTCAGCAACAGATCAAGGGGCTGAGGGTCAAAGCCCTGGTGACGCACAGCGTCGTCAACCAAACTCGTTTGGGGAAAATCCGCAAGACCTACGTTCTCTCTGTGGCGGGAAATGGAAAGGGCTTGCTGGGTATCGGAGAAGGAAAATCAGAAGAACCCACCGAAGCGCGTGTCCAATCCCAATACCGTGCAATCCGCAATATGCAGCCTATCCTACGATATGAAGATCGAACCATCTTCGGAGACGTCAAGGGAAAAGTCGGCGCCGTTGAATTGCAACTCATGCATAGACCCCCAGGTAAAGTTTCATCTATCTCCCGGAGCAACTCTTGGAAAGAGAAATTACCACTGACACTTTCCCCCGCCAGGCTTCGGTCTCCGTTGCCAACAATACATCTGGGAAATGTGCCGCGCAGCAGGTATTCACGACCTCGCTGCCCGAGTCACCCGCTCCCGGAACCCCATGAACACCGTCAAAGCCGCTTACCAAGCTCTCCTGAGCCAGAAGCACCCAGAGGACATTGCCCGCGCGCGAGGCAAGAAATTAGTCGACGTGAGAAAGGTCTATTACGCCGGAAACGTATAGTTAATTGCACGGATTTCTTCGGGTCAGTGGCGGGGGGAAAGTTGTACCATCGTCTAGTGGAGATATCTCTTACTGAAGAAGGGGATGAAAGGATTTGTTTAACTACTATACACAGTTCTAGCGAGCTACAAGTCCCCAAAAGTGATATCCCGTGAGGTTGTACTTGTACTATACACGGAGGAGGGATTCTTTCCATGTATACATACACATCATTCTGGATAGAATCGTCTTTTTTACTTTTTTCTATTCGATTTCCGTTGGCAGCAAATGAGAGCAGATAAAATGTATTTTTAGTCTAACTTAGGCAAGGACTATTAACTAGATATCTAGGAAATCTCCTTTTGTGCTTTGCTCTTTTATTTCTCTTTCTCTCCCACGAAATCAAGAGGATCTCAAGACCCATTTATCTTTCAGTCCTCATATCTTCATTCCTAGCGGCTCTGTCTGCATCTTAGATCTAGAAAGGGGGTAAAAAAAGGGAGAAAAAAAAAAAAAAAAAAAAAAAAAACCAAAAAAAGGGAGAGAGAGAGAGAGAGAAAACATGCAAGCCATCAAAAATCGTCAAGACAAAACAGACAAAAAGGAGGGGGAAAAAACAGATCCTCCAAGCAAGACACACATCTTAAAATACGGCATACACATAGATAACGCCTCGGAACAAAAGACAAAGCGACACGCACATCAGCGCAAAGCCCTCCTTGAGTTGACAAAAATAAATAAGAAGGGGGGGGGTCCGATGAAGAACAAAACGCACATTTCTGCCAAGCCTTTGATTGAGGGAGGTTGAATGCAAACCAAGCGGGAATAATAGTTGGTGAACTTTCATAACGCAACAAAAAGGACAAAAAGCCACAGTATTGAACAGGGCAAATATGCATGTCAAAGACCTTGATGGGAACAACAGCACGAAAGATAAAAATCCCACCGCTTCCTCCCAAAGAGTAAAGAAAACACCGAATACTGCACTTGTGTAAATGAGAGACAGGAGTAGCCAATCACTTTGAGGGCAGGAAGTGATTGACATGTAGCGAGAGTCCGTTGTGATGTCCAGAAAACAGTGTCGTAAAGAAAGGTAAGAAATTGTAGAAAGAGCTCGACTTCATCTGGAGAAGTTATCCACGAAGCGAAAGGTGAGGAGGAACAGGCGAAATAAAAGAGTCGGCTCTGAAAAGGTCGGCACATTCTGGAGGAAAGGCAGATGGGTAATATTGGGGATTGATTGAAACAGAAACGGAGCCGTGCAGGGGCTAGAAACGGAACAATCACTCAAACCGCACTCCGAAAACGCCCACGAGCATATGTGGCAATGCAAATGAAAAGCAGAAAACAACAAGCAGTGCGTATCTTAGCGAAGAAGACAAGAAGAAAAAAAAGGAAAGTCAAAAAAAAAATCATGCTCTATACCCATTGAAGCTATCATCAGCCAGCTGTCCATGATAATCGCCGTCGTGGTGAAGAGTGACGCTATTGAAGTCCTCAAAAGGATCGGGTATCTGTTCTCCTGGCGTTGCAAGCCCCGAGTCCATCGGCACACCTTTCAATTTGCTTGTGCCACCGATATCAACACTCGCGCTCTCCTTCATGTTGCGGAAATTCACGGTATCAATAGCGCGGCCTTGGTGAGGAATCATCGGTGGTTTCATATGTCGAATGAGCGCCCACTGGGTGGTGCGGAAGAAAGGATGTGTCTTGACGTCCGACGCGCCGGCACGGGCACCTAGTCGTTTCGTTTCGTCTTTGATAAGGAGCTTGCGGATGAGGGATTTACAGAGGCTGGAGAGACTATAAGTAAGCCGCATGCTGAATTGGCTCAAAGCTGAAGAGAGAGGGAGAAAGCTACTTACTTCGATATTTGTTGGGCACCCGCATGGTCGGGGAACGGCACGTCGTTCCTCAAGATATTTGCGAACGTAGCGTTTCGATTCTTGCCCTTGAACGGCGTAATTCCGTAAAGCATCTCGTATATCAAAATGCCCAAGGTCCACCAATCAACAGCACTTGTGTGTCCATCGCCTTTAATAACCTCAGGCGCAATATATTCCTCTGTTCCGACGAAAGAATTTGTCCGGAAGTTGGCGATACATGACTTAGTGTCGATCGTGGGTAGAGAAGATGACGAAGTCCCGTTGCGACCAACTATCATCGTAGGGGCACCCCCGGGGCCAGATTGCTTGGAGAGGTCGAAGTCTGACAACATGATATGCCCTGATTGATGTAGCAATATATCTACAAAGTGTTAGAATGTGCCAAAAAGACAACCTCACCAATGACAAGGTATACTCACTTTCCGGTTTGAGATCCCGATATATGAATCCCATCAAATGAAGGTACTCCAAGGCAGCTGTCACCTCTGCAGCATAGAAACGGGCGTCATCTTCCGGAATACATTTTCCAGGTCGTGTTTGGAGGGCTAGTACAGTTTAGCAAGGCCATCCGCAACAGTTTGTTCGTAGCACATGGCATACCTCTAAAGAACTCCCCGCCACTGCAATACTCCATGCAAAGATAAAGATGCTCTTCAGACTGGAACGAGTGATACAGCGTAACGATGAACGGATGATTGCTCGTGGCCAGAATCTCTTGCTCCGCCAAGGCTCTCTTGATTTTATTCCGCTTTATCATCTCCTTCTTGCTCAAAACTAAGAAGTCGAGACGTTAGAAAAGAGAAAAAAAAAAGGTTTTGGGGGGGTGTCCGGGGACGTAGGGCGTCATGGGTTAACACCCACCTTTCATGGCATATAGTCTATTCGATTTCTTCTCGCGAACCAGGTAGACTTTGCCGACATCGCCTTTCCCAATCAACTTGATCTTATCAAAGCTTCCGGGGCCCACCTCCACATTGCGCACCTTGATCGAATTCGAGCTATACGTCCGTCGACAATTGACAAAACTCCGGGGAACCGATAGGGTTGAAGCACGTTCATCGGAGATCGAAGCGGCCTGGGATCCCGGCTGATCGACAAAGCTCAGCTTGGGCGAAGCTCCCCCGGAGGCAACCAACGGCTCCTTCCCCAGCTCTGCAGTCTTTGGTCGATCACCCGAGCCATCGCCGCTGAACAATCCCTGGGCATTGGGCGCCGACGCCACTCTTCTCAGCTTCCTAGCCAGCTCTTCTTTGCCGGCCGCGGTGGCCTGGTCTGATGCCGGGACGCCCTCCACCTGCAACTCCGGTGTATCCGGGGGCGAGGAAGGAGCACTGTCATCGTTCCGATGTCGTAAAGCCGGATAACCCTGATGATGGAAATACGGGTTCGCATCGGCGGTCGGAGAGGCAATTTCATCGAGCGGATTACCTTCGCTGGCAACTGTAGTAGACCGATTCCGACCAATCGTAGGGAGGAAGCGAGACTGTCTAAAAGTAGACTTGCTCTCAGGCTTAGTCGAGAGGTGTGCGTGACCGGAGGAGGTATGATGGGCACCACCGCTCCCGCTACCGCCGCCACTGTTGCTGACGGTCGGGGTATTCGATGAGGAGGAGCTGTTTATCCGGAAGAAATTCTTTAGTCTGGTTGGGAAATGGGATGGATCGCCGGAATGTTTTCTGCTGGGGAGCGAGAGGCCGGGGAATGGACGTTTCTCTGACCCAACACCAGACGAACCGGAGGAGGAGTTGAATAGCTGTGTCATTGCTCTTCACCGGCGTGTCGAGCGAAGTCGAGGTGAAAGGACAACACAGGAGACACACGCAGTGCCGAGGATCGTCAAACAAACGACGACGGTGAAACAGGATACGCGGGATCGTAATAACTGGACATGAAACTCAAGACGAAGAAACGATGACGCGATACCACTTTTGGCCGAAATTGAACTTCCGGCTCTAAACGAACGTCACTTTTTTTTTTCTTTTTCCTTTTAACCCTCTTCACTAGGAAATGTAATTATGTACCCGGCCGACGAGGACGAAGTAAGTGGCGACGACTCTCTCTCTTTTTTTTAAAAAAATTTAATATTTCAGGAGATGTGGGGATGTTAAGAAACTGGGGTTCCTGAGTTGTTGAGACAGGCTAGCGGAGGCGTTGTCCAAGGATCGAAGGGTTGCCGGCCATTGACGCCCAGAGGAGCACGCAAGATGTATGTAGGATGCCGCGGGACAAAGGAAAGAGTTGCAGGCGACCTAGACCGGATGGTAATCGAGTACGCGGTCAGCTAGAGCGTCCAGAGCAACAAGAGGGCTCGAGGACGGGGGTGAGCGAGAGAGAGGAGAGCAGAAGAGTTGTAGCGGATGGTGCAATCAGTGGCTTGGTTGACCCCGAGACCGCAGCATCGCCGGCGTGATCCTTTTTCCTTTTTATTTTTTGGCTCAGAGTTGGTTTTGACTCGCGCTTAGTTGGAGTCTTTGACTCTTTTGGGGGGGGGAGGAAGGGAAAAAAGGATGACATGCAGAGAGACACAAGTCGACAGGCCGCGCTTACAGGCACGATACGCTGGTTACGGCCCCCTACGCCCGCCTACGTCGTGAAAAATTGAAACGTTACGTTTTCGGATGCTGGGTCTGCGTCTGGAAGTGGAACCTGGGCGGAACCTTCTGCTCCATAAGACTCGTCACCAAGAACACAGTATCTGGCATGTATAACTGTCGTACCTCACCCATCAACTTTCAGCAACGCCGAAAACGACACACATTAAAAAATATATAAATAATGAAGAAAAAAGGAAAAAGAAAAAAGAAAACTCTCAAGGAATCCCCTGTGGCCCTATCGGAATGAAAAGATCTACTACTACAGTTGAACGCCTCGCCGTCCCAACGACCCATCCAGAGCGATTGCCACAACTCTTCCTCTTCGCCATCGTGGGAGTGTGAAGCATCCGGAATAGGACCTTCTCACCACGGTTGCTGTCGCTGGCAAACCCATGGAACGTAGCCGAGCCTCCTTGGAGCTTTGGGTGTCTTGATCAAACAATCGCTACAGCGCGCAGCCCTGATCCCTTCAGGCAAAAAAAAGCCTAGTCAAGGAAGCAGAACACCCGCAAGCAAGCAGGCTATATTAATTCTTCAATGCATATGGGAGCCACTCCAATATAAACCCTCCCACATAAACAATAGCAGAGAGCACAATCTATCCTACCGTCATCCTTTTCAGAGGGCAATGGGACAGAACTCCGAGCGAAAAAGCAGACCAGATCTCAATCTGATGCCTCCCATGTTTCTTCCCAAACACCCCAGCGAACCGTAACCCCCCGGAGTACTTACGGAGTACAGTGTGCCGAATCTACGGCTCCCAACTATATAACTAGGTACAAAAACACCTAAAATACTCCGTGCACGCAGTACCTCAAGAAGAACCACCAATAAATTCACCGCCCAAGCTTTACCAGAGACCAAAAAATTAACATTATTCCCCAGGAAAAGAATTGGTCGGACACGATGTTTTTCCTCCGCTCCGAGAAAAAAAGAGCAGATCCCTTTTTTTTAAAACTTAATGCACTTCGGAATGCTGACCTCTCTTCTCGCCACCACGATCCCCTTTCGCAGCTTGCGCCTGACGGGCCGCCCTTACGAAGATATCCGGAGACAAAAAAAAACACACCGTTTTGCAATGATAGTTTCTAGATGAGTATTGCTGACTTACAATCATGGCCAGTTCTAACCCCAATGGCCATATGTTCTGTACGCGCATACGGAGTACTATGCATGCATAGCTACGGAGTACATGTTCTCACAGTCGTCACTACGATTTCTTCCACCGGCCACATCGGCCAGATCCGGTCCGTTCAGCAGGCAGACCCAAACAAGCCGAGATCACAATATAGACAGAGGCTGCAGCAAGGCTTACGAAAAAACGAAAAAAAGAAAAGAAAAAAAAAAAAAAAAAAGGAAGGGAAGGTCGAATCCTCTGTATCCCAAGATGCGACCACCTAGTGAAAGACCCATGATGTCGCCGGACTTGATTCCATGTACTCCATAGTTATCATGGAAACTATTATATACGAAGCTCGCAAAGTGGTATCATCATTATATAAATCTATACCCAAAAAAAATAATAAAATAAAATAAAATAAATAATCAAACCATCAGCTTTTTCGAGGGAGGGAGGTAATTAGAAATTCGTCAGATATCATGTGCAGGGCCAAACAATCTTTTTTTTATCCGTCGTTTCAAAGAATGGGTCTCGTTTAAAAAAAAAAAAAAATAAAGATAAAAACCCCAGCTTATGAACTTTGCTGCTGCTGCTGCTGCTGCTGCTCCAATTGCCGCAGCTCGTCAACAGTCAACTCGCTCTTCGCCCGCGTAACACGCACCCTGAGCACCATGATCAAAAACGCAACCACAGAGCACCCAACCTGGTACCAAAATGCGACCTGGTAGCTCTGCTTCCGCCCCAGATGCTCCGTCTCCACCTGCGCGATGTCGCCGAATCCAAGGAAGAACGCAATGCTAAGATGCAGCACGGAGTTGATCAGCGCGCCCGCGAGGCCCTGGCGCTCGCTGGGTTGCTTCGTCGTGATGAAGATGTTCGTGATGTTGAAGATGATGTCGATCCCCATGGTCGCGCATATCATCGCCGGAAACACAAAGGCCCAGTATGAAGCGCCCTCTGGCATCAACGCGAATAAGAGGCCGGAACCCATCCATACGAGCGCAGAGATTCCGAGTAAGATATTGCCGGATATTAGGTGAAGGAAGATTCCGACGGCCATGGGGAAGATAAACCCGCCAACGACCATGGGGGTGCACCAGGCAACGACCTGCATGGGGCTTGCTCCCATTATATGGACCATGCTAAGGGACACTTTATCAGCATTTCTCTCATAAATTTTATTCAGCTGCGGGAATAGAGAAGGGTAAACGTACTATAATGTTCCGTACAGCAAGAACACACCAAACGATCCGTAAAAAAATAGAAGCGCAATGACCAGAGATTTCATGTGCGGCACCGCAAACAGGTCAAACGGCAGCAGAGGATGTTCCGCAACCCAGCCCTCCACGTAAAACGCCGCTCCTAAAAACAGCCATCCGAGAATGAAACAGACGCAGATATACGGCGTTTTCCAGCCATTAGCGGCATGTGCACTGTCGGTAATGGCGAAGACAATCAAGACCAGACCAGGGACGATGAGGGCCGCGCCCCAATAGTCCATCTTGACCCTTTGCTTCCTCCTCTGTTCAGAGTCCGACGGAATAAAGATATACGATGTCGTCGTGGTGATCGCAACGAGAATGGCTCCGATCCAGAAATACCACGACCAATTCAGGTACTGAGCACTGAGCCCCGAGAAAAAGATGCCGGCGAAGAATCCAATAACCGCACATGTCCCGTATATGCTAAACACGAGATTCTTCCGGGGTCCGGGTCGGTAGACATTAGCCAGAAGCATTAGGCTCGTTGGGAGATAGGCGGCCGGCCCCAATCCTTGCAACGCTCGACAGATGATGAGCATCAATCTGTTTTTCGAAAATCCAGCGATGAGGGACCAGATGCCCAGCCATGCCATTCCCCCAACATAAACGGGGAAGCCGCCGATCATGTCACCGAGCCGGCCAAAGAACAGCAAGACGGAGGCAATCACCAGCGAAAATGCACTGGCGGGCCAAACGGCCATCGCATCAGGGATATCAAACTCCTTCACCAGCGTGGGTATAATCACGTTGAATCCAGATATAAAATATTCCTGCGCACAGCATGAGTTAAGCCAAACATAAAGATAAAATAAAAAAAAAAAAAAAAAAAAAAAAAAAAAAAAAAAAGGAGGCAAATAACCTACCGACAGAACTTGCGACATGACAATCGAGAAACAGAAGGCAATCTCTGACCACGCATTGTTAAACACGTCGGGGCGGGCTCTTCCCAGCTTCTCGATATCCATCTCGCTGTAGTAAGGATCGGAAGACCCACTCCCATCCTTTTCACGCTGCTCTTGACCCGAGAGCTGCTCACAGTCTGTCTCGTATTTCTCTTGCTGGACATCTCCACCACCAGCTGCCCCCTGGCTCTGCGCAGATTTTATAGACATCGCGGGCAGTGTCGGTTCGCAAAAGCCCTAGAGTTGATCTTCTCCAAAGGGTATGTATGTAAAAAGAAAGAGAGATGGTGTATATGTCAGGTAGGTCAGGTATATATGTTATGTATGCAGGCAGATGATAACTATTATATATGAGGCGGAGGAACCACCACCCCCCTGCTCGATACAATCACGATCGGTGTTGGAAACGAAGGATTATATATCTGCTCAAAAGCGCGCGTCCATGCATCTATATATGCCAGAAGGAGTCATCATCTTCTCGCTTTTCCCCCCCGTTCGAGAATGATAAGCAATGAAGAAAACAAGAACTAGGGAAGTCGGAAGAAAAGAAAGGAACGAATAAAAAAAAATGAAATGAAATGAAATGAAAGAATCCCCCAGAGCAATGTGACTCAGTGCATTGCTGATAACCGCTAACTATCTTAAGCTATGGGCGGAAGCGAAAAAAATTATTATAAAATATTAAAGCGGATGTGGCTTCTCTTTTTAACGCGGTGGGAGCGGAAAAGCGGAGACCCACGGAGCGAACTGCTCTTGTTCGACTTGGGCGGAGAATTTTGCCAAGGGAAAAGGCTACAAATCTGGGAGGTTAGCATAACTTGATGTGTATTCTGTACGGACTACTCCGTAATTGTGCTCCGGATTAAAAATGCAGAGTTGGCTCTGGTTTCTTTTTTGTTTCTTTTCTTTTTCTTTTTTTTTTTTTTTTTTTTGCCTTTTTTAGAAAAATACATAGAGAGAGATAGACGCGGGACGGGTTCGCCACCCCAAGAAACGTGCTTTAGCAGCTTTATGCGCCAGAACATTTGCCCGTCTGGAACCGCCGGTCCGAGGCTTGACAGGCGGAAAAGCGCGCTTGCCTGGGCCCGCGTGGCTCTCCGTAACTCCCGCCCACAACAAACAAAAGCCACAAACGCGGTCTCGACTTGCCATTCACTAGCGCGCCGGAAAACGCGGAGTCGCCTTTTTTTTTTGGGGGGTGGGTATACTTTCCCTTTTGGGATATGCCTGCTGGCCCAGTCCAGTCAAGTCCGGCCAGGCCAGGCCAAAAACATGCTGTGGCGGACCTGGACTCTGCAGGCGTGATGTCATGTCCCACTGGCGCCCCCGAGCTTCGTATCACGTGACATCACCAGGAGATGTACATACATTGTGAAGGGGGCCTGAGGTGGATTTATCTTAATTGCGTTTGTTTTTGTCGGTTAACTGTTCAGAGATGCAAGCATCCAACTCCTCCTCCACCAATCCGTCGTTCGTGGGAGTGCAGCCTAAAATTAGCTACTACATAGCACCACTCGCAAATTCGGCAAATTCGGAGTACATATCACCCCGCACCACGCGAAAGTCAGATGCCACTCTACGGGGGTTGTATAGTCTCATTCCAAATGACCATTTGTCCCAACATCCCGCCCGGCGCCGTACCTGCGGCACAGAGCGTCACACAGCCGAGGCCACGAGGACGTAGTGTAACTGATGGAAATGCAATTATCTTCATGTCTTCCCACCACACCAGGCCGCCGCTACTGGGAAAATGCCGTATATATATATATATTGCCACGGGGGCTAGAAAACCACAACCCGCGGTTAATCAGTGCATTCTCGGGGAAAAATTGTTACAGCCGTTGTGGTGAGATATATAATCGGTACTGACAACATGATCCATAACGAAATCACGGAATATTCCTGTATTGCTGTACCGCTATTGATCTAAAAAGACTCTTAATTGCCTCCCCTTTACCTCCAACCTCCCAGCGAATTCGCTGCCCGCTCTTCCCACTTTCTTGAATTCAATTATCGTGACTTTCCATCGTGATTTCCTCCAATATCAAAGCTAATCGATTCACCATACCCTTCTAGAGAAAAATGCTGGCTGGCTGGCTGGCCCTTAGGCCAATGTATTCCAACAAAGAGTATAAACCACACTCAAACCATACGAATAGCATAAACCTGTTATAAAGTAGATTCAAAGTGGGGACCGTCGCAACATGTGTCTGTCAGAATGGTGGGTGGTCAAGGTCCTGTTTCCTGATTTCTGCTCTGTCTTCCTCTCGTAGCATCTGGAAGAAAGCGCGCACTTCCATGGCATTAGGATCTTTGCGCATCTGCCGCCGAAACCACGACGTCTTCCTTCCATTTGCCATATCTATGCGGTCATTGCCCTTAATCAAAGTAGCATCGGGTGTTACATCCGTTGTAGCCGTCGTGGGCTTCGACGTCTGGCCCGCTGAGTCGCCGGCTCCATCGAACGGCGGTAAAATACCCATTGAGCTAACCTGAAATGAGGCCCCTGATCCAACCCGTCGAGCGCCAGGGTTGTGTCCCGGAGCTTTCGAAGACGTTGAAAGGTTAGGGGGTGCAAGCGTCGCTGATTGAGATTCAGAGTATAATCCAGATCTAGCATTTCTGCTTCTGTTGCCAACCTTATCTCGGTTCTTTACGCAAGTGCATCGTTTTGGCTTTTGGTTCGATAAAAGGCTTAAGCTTTGCCTGTATAGAGTTAGGGTCTATTATGCATTAAAATGACGAAGCTCGATTTCCGGTACTTGCATTTGAGATTGCCCTTTAACGACCGTTTTCTGGAGGCTAGTCTCGTTCGCGGCACCTATATTGTTGCAGCTTGAGCTGTCCTCTATTCCCGGGACTTGACTATTATCGAAGGTCAGCGGAGATCGCCCATCAGATTTAGAAAGTTGAGACATACTGAGCGTTCTCATTTGACAGAGGAACCCCTAGCCTTGCTCCTGTCATCAAAGCAGAACTCTGTGCTCTGTCCTCCCTGGCATTGCTGGAAGAGGGTGCACCGTCTTGTAGCTGCACCGAGTCTCCAACAGAAGAATCAACCCTCATCGCATTCATTACTGCTGTAAGTCGGGAAAGCTTCCCAAAATAGGGCTCGAGAGGTTCTTTGCGTTTTGCTGCTTCTTCGATTCTGTGATAAAGTAAATCAAGCTCGGACGGAGGAACCGCACTCATTTTATCGGCCTGTCTCCCCTCAAATTTGGCTTTGCCCATATCCGCCCCTATGGTTCGGCAATATGCATTTTGAGCATTCAAATAGTTCTGTATGGCCAGGTCAGGGTTTATGCCCCAGTTCTGAGCGGCAGGTGTCCGATTAAGGTCTGCGGGAAGATGGAAATTCTGAGAGGGGGGATTGAAAGTGTCAAATTGAGCGTACGGTGCTGCAGCCATTGACCGCCCAGGAAGAACAGGACCAAAGGCATCGTTGGAAAAGAAATTTGACGCTGGAGTAAGTCCTGCTGGATTCAATCCCAGCTGCAGATGTGAACCCGCTTGAAAAAAAGTGGAATTATTGTTTGCTGGCTGAAAGGCTCCATATGCGCCTAAAAAAGGAAACTGGATGGCTTGGCCTGGGTTAATCATGTAGGTATGGTCAGAAACCTGACTGGTCCCTGGAGTTTCGAATTTTGAGGACTGGACAAGGCCCTCTAAGTGCTCCTTATGTACCCTTGCAGAATCTAATTTCCGGACTAGTTCGACACGCTGCTCTACAAGCAGCTTCTTAGTCGCAGAGTCAATATCCCAGGTGTGCAATGCCATATACCTATCCAAATTTGAAAGTTGGTTAGCGATGTTATCGTGCTCTTGGACAGCCGACTCTAAAAGGCTTTTCGCTCCTGTGTCGTGATCCCCTCCATTTAAAGCAGAACTGGTCCCATGGCCAATATAAGGATTAAAGGCAATGCTACCATTCACGGGCATAAACTGTGGAGATGGGTTGAGGGGAAAAGTGGTACCCAGCTGGTACATTCCAAACGTATTGCCAGCCTGGGGAACATACGGAAGTTGAAGCGGCTGCTGCACATTCTCTGGGAACTCCATAAGCTGTGGGACATATAGTTGCGGGTTCGGTGAAAACATTTCGAATTGGTCGCTTTCACCGACATTCGTTGGTACCGCTTGGGAAATTGAGATTCCGTCAAACGACATTGGGCCTAATTTCACGGACTGCCTGGCACCGATGGCAGTTGGGATATTAGTTTTTTGATTTGAAACTCTCGGTACATTTGTGATTGATGCCTTGTGAAGACCGGTCTGCCCTTCGGTTCCAGTAGTGATCTTCAGATTCGAGACGGCATGTGTTCCTTCGTGGCTGGATGGTGGTGCCTTGATGGGTATTGCTCGGCTATGTGATCCACTCGGTGCCTTCCCTTGCCTCACATTGCCGGCACAGGGTTTGGTTTCAACGCTCAAACCTTGCCTTTCTGCCTGGACCCCTTTGATTACGGCGTCAGTCTTCGCTTCAACGGCGGTCACGGGCAACTTGAATTCTGGTGCTGGGCCTTGCAAGGTCATTGGGACGATCCGTCCACCAGCCGTGACCCTATGATGTTTAGGCGAAGAATGCTCCTTGAGAAACCGTGCGAAACCTGCATGGCTCTGAGCAAGGGTCCCCTGAGGCGCATTGACAGGTTGTCGACGGGGATGCCGTAAAGACTCGTGACCATCATCGGTGGTAACAGAAACGGTAGAAGACTGACGCTGGTGGTTCACGGACCTTTCTCTTAGAATACGACTTCCAATGCCATTATTGGGCCTTGATCCCGCAGCATCTATTCAAGGTAAGTTATACGACAGCAACATAAGGACTATACCGGGCAAGTCTATGGATATTAAAATTGCTTCCGTACCATGAAATCCAGCACAGTCTGAACTCGGTCCTTGCATGGACTTTCCAGCTTCTAATTGAAGTCCAATATCAAGTAGAGTTGGGATGTCATATCTCTGGCCTCTTACTGTTTGTCGTCCGACACCCGGTCGATTAACCCTGCTTGACTTAGGAGGCTGTGTGGGTGGCCGGGCGGATTTGGGAGTTTGGGGAATCATCTTAGTAGAATCAATGGCCCTAGTCAACGCAGGAACGGCCTCGCTATCTTTGTTTGATGGCGAAGCGCCTATTGTAGGGAATCAACGTCAGCGCGTAGGAGTTCTGGATACATCTCAGAGCATACCTTGGCTCCTTAGCTTCGAGGCTGCGTGATCCTCTGACAACATGGAGTCTCGCCTTGTTCGTAGTCGTTCCGACCTATACTTAGCAACCCAGAGGGATATTCTGGAGGTTTCCAACTAAGGATGATTCAAGAGAGCGGTTATCAAAAGTTTAGGATAGAGAATAATCTGAAGATACGGGGAAGGGTAGAGACAGAGGGAGGTTCTTCCGGCTGCAGATGGCCCAGCTCCTCCGCTGTTCACGGAAGGAAATGGCCGCCTGCTTTAGGCTGGCCACTGGACAGTGGAAATAATGCTATTTTGGATGTACGTCTGATAGTTGTGGAAAGGATTTGGGGAGTTAGGACGGGAACAGTTCGCAAGGTGGGAAGCTTCTGATAGCAAGACAGACTCTTCTCGGAGCAGAGATGGAGCAGAGAGGGTGAAAACGGACGGGAGGAAAGGGGGTCGTGAAGGAATGTTTGTCGCAGAGAGTCAAACGACAACAACACAAGGCAGGAAGGTGGGCGAGGCAACGAAAGGGAAGGAATCAAGCAAGCCCCCTTGGAAACCGCAAAGGCTGTGGGCCATTTGACTGCCTCCTTCAATGCGTAGATCATTGCGCTCTGCTCTCTCTTCAGCGCCATTGTCCAGGGCCATTGGACTGGCTGGGTAGACGGGGCATTCACCGAGCGGGTGGCCATTCAATCAGGCGCAGTCTGCTCGTCACAGCAAACCAGCATCGTCAATCCCAGACAAAGGGACGATTCCACGACCGCGGTCAGGGCCTTTCCCACGGAAACAAACACAACAAACTTGCCGCGCACCCAGCAGCTCAGGGGGTGTGTTTCTCACAACTATGGAATAGTTACGGAGTCCTGAGTATCTGTTTCCGAATATACATTGCATGCACTCGATTAATATGCTAGGTACAGAGAACATTGGATGCCGTATTTTTTTTTGGAGAGGATATGTAAGGACCAATACTATTCATCATTCCATCAACACTTCATCTGATCATATATTAGGGGGGAGCACAGCTTTGAAGAAGGGAGAAAAAAAAAAGGATTCAAATAAAATAAATACATACAAATGGATGGTTGCATCACACCACAACAAGAACATAATAAAATCAAACAGCAATTTATACATGAACGTGTCAAAGTTTCAAAAACATCGAAGCACAGACATCCAACCCGGAACGAACATAACTTTCGTAAACACTTAGTCAACATCCCTCTCCGGATCCTTTCCTGCGTCGACCTTGGGCTTTCGCCACCCGAGGCAGTAAGAGACAAGCGCGATGATGCCTCCAACCACCATCATGAAAACAATGATAGCACCCACCACCATTAGGGCCTGCAATCGCCGTTGATCCTGTTTGTAGGACTTCTGGTCGACGTTGACGTGGTCATCGTTGTTTTCGTTGTCCTTCTGGTCGGCGACTGGTGGGCAGAATTCGGCCTCGCTGCCGCAAAACGAACACCACTGTGTGGTGGACATCGAGATGCTACCCATTTGACTGATAAATTCGTCGTAGGGTATCTCCACTTTCGATGCGAAGAGTGGATATGGAACGTAGCCGGCGTCAGCGTCCGCTGTGCTGGTCCCGTTGCGAATCAAGAATCTGACTTGCAGGTCGGTGGCCTTTTCCGGGTAATCAGTGGAGTTGTCCGATGGCCGGCTAAAAAGCTCGATGCTCATCGAGGCCCCGTGGTTTGGCATCCCTTGAAACTCTTGCTGGTGGCCGGAGACACCCGCAACCGAAGCGAACGCGATCATAGTGGAGACGTCACCAAACAGAAGCGACATCTTCTTGTTGGTGCCGCGAGATTCAACATTGCTCTCGAGAGCTCTTGTAATAGCAGGTGCCAGAGTTTTACCAGCGACCGCTCGTGTATACTGCCGGTCGGCCATTGTGAAAGGCTGACTGTTCAATGCAGAAGTCATGCGGCTCGCAAGATATCGTGCTCGCCCTAATTCTTCCGCTGAAATAAGATTGCGGGCAGTTTCATTGTTCGCGTATTGGTAGTCAAGATGCTCCCAAATAAGACGCGCGTTGAGAAGATGGAGTTTGTTTGGTTTGATAAGACCATCGAGGACACGAGCGTGCAATCCTCTGTAGAAAGCTTCCGCTCCGTCTTGAAGTGCGTCGAGGTCTTCGTTTTGCAGTAATGCCAGCCGTACTCCGTTTAGCAAGGGGCAATTCACGTTTCCGGCGAGTTCGATAACCGCAGGATTTGCTGCGGTTAAAGTCTCAAAGTTTGAGAGTGGAAAAGAAGCGTTGTCGCTTCTAGGGAGAGATGTCGGTGGATAGAGACCCTGCATGAATGCTTGGGCCGAAGCAGATGTCAGTTGGTCCGAAGTCACAACGACATCGATCTCTCCGTTGGTAAAGTTGCTTGGCGGGATTCCGTCGATTTGGTGGAACTCAACCGCGCCCTCAGGGAGGGGGGAGATGTAGCGATTTCGAACAGAAGCGCCAGCGTGGATAAGCTGCCTGGTTCCCAAAGGTGTCAACTCAGCATCGCTCAGACCCGGGTTGCCCTGCCCGACCGTGGTAAAGACGACGGTGCCCCAGATTTTTTCTTTGAGTTCGGTCTGAGCGTTGGCAGTGGCCGCAAACAAGGCAATGCCAATAGTGGTGGAGTGGAAGTGCATGTTGACAGGGAAGCAGATGTATTGAGCTTTGAAAATTGTTTTGATGCCAAGAAATAGGGCAGAATTGTTCTTGTTTTTGCTTTTGCTTTTTTAGCAGTGGTTATGCTTCAATCATAAGTGGAACAGCAGGGCCACAGGGAGGGAAAAGAAGGAAAAAAAAAAAAAAAAAAAAAAGAAGGAAAAAGGGCAAACGAACGCCCTTTTATAGTGAGCCTTTGAGTCATATTTTTGGCTATGAGCCATTCTACAGTCATGATACAGTCAGATATGTGCTCTGACGAGGAACAAGAACCGTGGATTGGCAAATATATCATCGAGGATAGTCATAGTCCAGACCCAGCGATGCGGTTGTCCGCACGGAGCGACACACCGAGTTGCACTCATCTTTGGAAGAGAACCGTTAGAGTCCATCATCTGAGAATGATATTTAGCTGAAGAGGCTATTTTGATATTGGAGTGCATAGAGCTTTAGAGAAATAGAGCTCTCTAGAGTTGGAGATAATTGGGAGTGTCCAATGCATGGTGCCACAGAAGCGAAGGGTGTGTGACACATATATATGAGTCCATCTTCTCAACACAAGAAGATGCTGATGTCAATGAAGCCGTAGAAGGGGCCAGAGTGCATGACACTGCGATGTCCAGCGTAGATGACTGGAGATGTTGACTGGGAGAGAGGTTGAGGACCGGGCCTCCTGACTGGCTGGACCGAAGAGTCGCTGACTAACGAAGATGACTAAGTCTCCGGCTGACCACGCAACGCAGGTTAGCAGAAGTTCGAAAAAGTGAAAAACAAATTGTGGGCGAAGAAAATCGGTGGTTGAAGATGTGAAATTGCTCTTTTTCCGTCTGACTTGCCCTTCTGTCTCGGAGGTTTCCATCGTGTTGATCTCTTTATCGCATGTTGCACGATTCTCGGCCTGCACTCTTGTCGGCCACTGGGCGGGGGAAACAGATCCCACGTTGAGCCCTATTCCTGCGCCCTATCCCTAAGCCCTCATTTCTTCTCCTGGAAATAGTTACCCCGTTTGTCATCTCGGCGGCCAACCATCATGGCCGTCGCTCAAGCTCCCAGCTCTCCTGTCCAAATAAAGACGGAGGGTCCCTCTTCCCCAGTCGACGATGCGACGTCGATCAACTGTAAGCTCTCGATCTCTCTACCACCGACAAAGACCTCTCTGCGGTGCTCCCGGCGAGACGTAGCTAGAGAAACTACTGACCTTTCCCGCGTTGTGGTAGCTACTCCCAAGGTGACACATGCCCGCGACGACGATGAGCCCCATGGCCTTTCTCCTGCCAATAAAAAACGGCGAACGGGTTCTGCCAGCGAGACCGCTTCGCCGAGCGCAGAGCAGGCTCCAGTTTTGAGCTCAGAACCGCGCCCAGACCAGAATGCTCCGGCTCAATCAGCACCGCCATCTCAACTACCGGAGCCGAAGGCCCATCCTGCCGACCAAAGTGGCCAACCTTCGGCAACAGATGCTTCCAATAAGAGCTCCTTCAGTGGGGATGTTTCTGCACCTCCCCCGACACAGGCTCCATCCGAGTCTAATGTCCTGGAAACGATATCGTTCATCATGGACCAGCCGGGGAGCATCGAAAACCAATCTTCTTTGAATAAGCGACTACAGGAGGCAAGCAAGTCAGCAAGCATCAATGCGGTTAAATCAAACCCCGATTGGAAGACAGAGAGTCTTCCCATTCTCGATAATTTGGTATGTACTATTGCAAATCCGACCCCGCCGTTTTTCCTCTCCTGACTTCCTTTAAAGGCAACCCAAATTCTCTCCTTGTTAGCACGGTCGAGTTATAAAGACATCACGTCCATAGTATCTGAGCCGAATTCAGAGAATGGCCATGCCTACTCTAGCATGCGGTCACTTTTCGATCATGCCAAAAAGGTCTACTCAACCAACGGCCCTTTCCTATCAGCAACACAACTAGGTTTCACCAAACCGGGCCAAATTGATATTATTCGAAAGGCGAATATGGCATCTTTCGTTTCGAGTATTTTCGGAACTCAGGGGATTGGGTTTTCTGAACTCCACGATCACTTCCTGGAGATATTCGTTCCTGAAGGAAGTCGACTTCTCAAAGGCCAAGGTGCTCTGTTCCTCGAGCTGAAGACACAGGCCTTTATTGCCTCCATGAACAACAGTGAGCAAGGTCGACGCGAGATCCTCCGCAATCTGTTCCCTGACGATCTTGGACTGAAGCTCCTGGCAAGAAGACCGGGAAACAAACAACTTGCGCCGAGCGAAACCGACTTTGTGAAGCGGGCATGGTCACGACGTGACATACTTCTGGCCGAAATAGATAATCCTGAGTCAGTCAGAACCTTGCCAGAAAGATACCGCTGGGAAGATTTCTTGAGAGATTTGAGTTCTTACGTTAGCAAACATTATGACTCTACAACCACTCAGGTAAGTGACTGCCCTCTCTTCAGTTCCATTCTGTGGGCTAAAATATTCACACTACTAGTGTAAAAAGGCAAGCAAAGGTCCCTCTGTAGAGAGCGGAGATGCTCCCTCACAGGCAGCGAATCCACCCCCCGAACCACGTAATATGCCTCTTGAAACACAATTCTCTATAACCCCTAATCCTCCCGAGGCCCCCATCGATCGTAGTGCTGGGCGAGTCGATCTTGTTGCAAGAGCTGCTCGTGCAGCGCAAATTGCCCTCCAGGGACAAGGGTTCCGACATACGCCTCGACCAGTGAGCAACCCGAACCCACAGGCACCACAACAACCACAACAACCTCAGCAACCGTTCAATCCACCTCCGCCCCATGTGCAGCATCAGCCAGCAACAGCCGCTCAACCGACTTTTCACTACACAACTGCTTCGCCGACACCCCGTCCTCCCCCGCAGCCGACGCAGGTCACCTTCCATCAGAACCAGTTTCATTTCCAACAGTATAATCCTCAGGCCGCATCCGCCTCCTCCAGAGCCAATGCCGCCGCGAATTATGGGTATATGCCTGGAATTCCACATTATTCCCAGTCCCAACCCACCCAGATTCTGTATGAGCGAGCAAGGATGGCGACAACTGCGAAATCATCTCCCACAAGCCGCCGAGCCGGGCTTCCTAGTCAGCGGCGTCCTTGGACCACTGAGGAAGAAAATGCATTGATGGCAGGACTTGATCGGGTGAAAGGCCCTCATTGGAGTCAAATTCTTGCCATGTTTGGGCCAGGGGGCACAATAAATGAAGCATTGAAAGATCGCAACCAGGTCCAGCTCAAGGACAAAGCACGCAATTTGAAATTGTTCTTTTTGAAAAGTGGGATTGAAGTGCCTTATTATCTAAAGTTCGTCACTGGAGAGCTCAAGACCCGTGCGCCAGCACAAGCCGCTAAGCAAGAAGCGAGAGAGCGAGAGCGGAGAAGAGGAGAAGAAGATAAAGCGCACGTGGAAGGACTAGAGGGTATGATGGCCCTTGCAGGGGCCCATCCTCCACATAACCAGGGCGAGGCTGCTGCAACACCTATGAATATAGCTACTCCACCGGCTTATCCTCAGACTCAAGGACAGCAGCAGGCGACACTTGACCAGACCACTGAACAAGCCTTAATTCAGAGACTCACACAGGAAACCAAAGCGGAGAGCTTGCAACCGCCTCCACAGCAAGGCCCAGTCGATCCGTCCCTGCAACATCGGGTTTAAAACAGTTGATTTTCCAGTTTTCTACCTCGCATTAACTCTTGGGAGAACAGACATTTTTATTTCTAGTTATTTATTATCTTCTTTTTGTCGAAATTTTGGGCAGGCCGGGTTTATTATAAATTTTATTTTATGCAACAAGTTGGGATGGTGGCAGCGTGGAGTTCGGGGAAGCTTTTAAAGGCATTGCTTCAAGGCTTGCAGAGTAGTCCGAGATACGTTGCGGTTTTACATACAGTTTGGAAATAGAGGAGGAGGAGAGTGAGGAGAAAATACCATTCTACTTAGATATTTCAACAGGATTTGGGTGAGCTTTTAACCTTGGTGGAGCTCTTAACGTTAAGCCTGTCTCGTATATTATCACCCAGAAAGGCCTTTAGAAAATTCATCTGGACCCAAGACTTGGATCCAAGGCAGCGACCACAAGAGCCATAGTTGCTGAGTCGTCGACCGACCTGAGCAATATCCGTTAATCCATTTGATACCTATACACTCCTGGCAGCATTTTTTGTGCGCTGGTGACGATTTCTCTCCGGCACTTTTACGCCTGCCCGAAAACCCGCCGTTGATAATCAATGATTTCACTGTGAAATCCATCAAATCTATCCCTAGCAGTGATATTCTGAAGAGGCCGTATTGAGTATTACAGAATCCCGTTTTCGACCCATCCCATCCCATCGCATTTTGCCTCCATTGTTCAGTGACTTGAAACATATAATAGCATGGCCGAATCAAAATCGCCGCCTTCCTCAGGCCAACAAACTGACGTCGCACAACAACCATCACACCCGGAACCACAGACTCAGGCGATACCAGAGTCGTCAGAGGCTCCTTCAGGATCTGCCACCCCAGCAAATAATCAACAGGTCACCGCAGAAGCAGCAGAGACTGCATCGGCACCACCATCGCTGCCGCAACCGTCACAGCCACAGCAGCCGCAGGAGCAGCAAAATCCCGTGCCTCAGGCATCAGAACCCGCGACCACACCAGACACAACCGGGTTGACACGACATGCTTCGGCTGGTGATGATGTTGAGATGAGCACGGATCCTAACGACAGTACACCGCACCAGCACCAGCACCAGCAACAACGCCAGCAGCAGCAGCAGGAAGACGTAGTCATGGGCGGAACTGAGACTGCCACTGGCTCTAGTGCCAGCGGCGGAGGGAACAACAATGCAGCGGCAAATGGAGCAACTGCCGGTGCGACTGCAACGTTGGAGGCTAATGGCCTTGGAGGGAATATGCTGAATGGAATAGATTCGATCGCACCGCCGACTAAAAAGCATACTAGCCTACGGGAGTTCCTGGGACAGATGGATGAATACGCTCCTATCGTACGTCTTATTGATACCCAAGCTTTCATAAGAGGGTGATGATTTTAATTCTGCGTTCTTCACCTACATGCTAACTTGAGTGCTCTCTCTCATCCTTTTAGATTCCCGACGCCGTAACAGCTCACTATCTCACTATCGCCGGTCTCCCACCTCCCGGCAACGGGCCCAACCAAACCCCACCCCATCTCGCCCGCCTCCTCGCCCTTGCAACTCAGAAATTCATCGCCGACATTGCTGCAGATGCATACCAATATTCTCGCATCAGAGCATCCAATAGCTCCTCATCAAATAACCCCATGGGCGCAATCAACGTGACTGCAGGCCTCAACGTGGCTGCTGGTCAGGGCGGCAATGTTGCTGGAGGCAGCGGACAAGGCGGATCGGGTGGTGGAGAACAGCAAGGCAAGGGAAAGAGCGGCGCAGCGGGTTTGCACCTGGGAGTTCAGAGAGCTGGTTTTGGCGGTGGTGGACAGGGAGGCGGACAGGGAAAGACCGTGCTTACGATGGAAGACCTCGGTATGGCGGTCGGAGAGTACGGGGTGAGTGTGAAGAGAGGAGAGTTCTATCGATGAGTCTGGCTGGAGGGGAGAGAGGAGCGTGGATACGTGTTGGTTTTATTCGAATTCCTTGCTCTTTCGGGGTGGTTTATGGCGTGCGGACGGATCGAGCATGGGCTAATGATTCTCCTTGTCCATTTCTATATTTTGTTCTGGTTGGTCGGGGAGTCTGACATGGAAACGGCGTTATTGCTGGCGTTGAAAAGGAAATTTAAGGCTAGTACTTGGCCACTGGAATATCCACGGTCTCCTTTTTATTTGGCCGATCTACTTTAATTTGCATATTATATGAAGACATGTATTATACACCAGGAAATGCATGCGTTGGAATTTCTCCATTCCACGATAACGTACGCCAGATATCAATACAATTCCACGAACATATTCTGTACAATAAGGGGTCCATTTTCTATAATACATTTAATCCCAGACAAATCTGCCATAAACTCCATGCGATGGCGCAAAGAGCAACCCTAGCGGGTATATCATCAATATATCCATCCAAGGAAAAATTCAGTTCCGCTCTCGCGGTCGCTCTTCCAAAAGAAGGAAACCAACATCAAGCTTTCTCGTTTGTGATAAGACGCCTGGCAAAACACAACGAACGATCTAACCACCAACCAACAGCTAAAAAAAGGGGAGGAAAATCAAGAATTTTTCGAAGGTTGATGCAAGAATCTCTTCCTCGTCCTATAGTCGTCCCAGTCTATATCAGCACCAGGTGCAAGCATCAAACGAAAGAGCGTCAGAATGGGATAGGAAGAAAACTCACGGCACAAACTCCCCCAGCTTCCTCCCCACCATCTCTTCCGTTATAAACACATCGACATGGTCCTTGCCATTATGCACCGCGAACCTTAGACCCACGAAATTAGGCAGGATGGTGGCGGACCGCGCATTCGTCTTGATGGCGGGTGTGCCTGGTGGTGGAGGTATAGTGCGCGGGAGAGGAAGACTACGGATATAATGTTTCTCGAGTCAGTATTAAAGCATTGCGTGGGGAATTTTTTTTTTCCCATTGTGTATGGCACAGATTAGGAGAAAAGAAATCCGGGCCAGAGGGTGGGGATGCGATTGCGAGTGCGAGAAGTTTCGGGGGGAAGAATTGGGTGGAGAGAACGTACGGGACGATATTCGGTCCTGGGTGACATGTTGGCGTTAGCAAAACCACAGTAGAACAAGGAATATAGTAAAGGAATATGCTGTACCTTTCCATACGGACCGTTTGCAAAGAGCGCGTGTGAAGAACATCTTGTACTGTTTCCTGACCGCCGTCGCTGCGTCCGAACGAGTGATAAACTCCGCTGCGGTCAAAATCAATGGGCTCCGAGTGGAGATCACGTGACCCTGAGCTTGGTGGCTCGACTGCCGGCTGTAATTGTTATGGAGTATTCAGAAGGATTATGCACACACATAGGTTAAGTGGTTGAAGAATACTGGTATATTAATGGCTCAACGTCCCTCGTTCACTACATAAATGCTGAATGTAAAATATACTGCTTTTGTTGATTTCTAGAGGGGTTAACCCTCCGCCAGCTCCTCCAGTATCTGAGCTAGGCTACGGAGACCTTGAAGAGCATTCTCATCGGGGCCTTGCCCAGGAGTCCATTGCGCGTGCGCAAAATCTATTAGACGGGCATCGTGTACCTTGTTAGGTTCCTCTTCATCCTCGTCGAGTTCTCCAAAGCTGGCAATATCCTCAGGTCCAATCTCTATGTTGATCGTGCTCTGAGCCGCTAATTTCTGTGCAGCTTGAGGATCTAGATCTGCCATTGAAGCTAAGTCCATGATTCCATCACCTTCCTCTCCAGCTTCAGTGCCGATCTCCGAAGAGCCTTCGGCCTTCTTCTTGTCCTCTTCAACCAGGGCTTGTTCGAGGGCTTTGGCGCTTCCCTCGTAGACAAGGAGGACACTAGCAGAGTACATCCGGCTCTCTTCATTTTCAAGCATGGACTGCATGCCTCGGATTTCCAACGCCAATCTTTTAGCAATTATTTTGGAGTAATCTGTGCCTTCGGTTTTGGCACTGCCAAGGAAAGCTTTAATTCCTAGCTTCACGTTCTGTTTGTTGAACGCTCGGCCATAGTACTTGTCGTAGCGTCTATACCCAGCAGACTCGGCGATATTCACTTTTTCTTTAACTTCATCGTCAATACTGGACGGAATATGGTTATCTACCGGGACGAGCGTGTCTTCTTCTTCACTCGGATAGTCATTTTCTCCCCCAATCCAGACTTTCATCCCAGCAATACGGAATCCCAAGCTTGAACTAGTGGTTTGCTTCGACACCTCGTCTAACTTTGCTCTTTTGCTCGGGGTCGCATCGTCAGCCCACAGCCTGGCACCGAGTTTCACGTCCAGTACACAGGGTCTTTTGAAGCCACTGGCGATGTTTTCCAGTACAATAGAGAGACCAGTGTCCAGCTTGCGGCCACCAGAGGGCACCCATTCCGGTTCCGGCTGTGACGTTGATTTGGTTATGGAAATAGCTTTGGGGTGTTGAGACAATTCGGGAGTCAGAGGAGTGTCAGTGCCAGATGCTTCCGTGGACGTAAGAGCAATGGATGTCTCGCCAATCTGCTGTACAGGCAAATTGAGAGACTCTTGAGGTGCAGCGGTCAGTGTGCCCATGAACGTTGGGATATAGCGGAGGAATTCAAGGTGGGTGGCGCAAGATTCGTAGAATGTAATCTCGTGTTGGGTGCAGGGTTTGGCGATAAGGGAGCCGTCGGCATGGCAAAGAACGCCGTCACTAAACACCATTGAAATTAGCTTGAGATATCCTAAGGTGTTTAGGGGTATCTAGCGGTGGTTCCCGAGGCGTAGACATTCGTGGGAGGTCACTTACTGTCCAGCGGCGGCATGATCAAAAGCAATAAAGCTGTCTTCATGCAGCCTCGCGGCCTTCTGGCCTCTGGGGTTTGATGATTCCGACATTATACGGCGCCTGCTATACAACGGATACCCGGGAGGATGAGTGGGAGTGTATGCGTGGACTGCTGGGGAGTGCGAGCGTGCAGGGACAGCGAGGCGGCGGGAGGCAGCGAAGGGGGGTTTGTACGTGACATGTTGTCCGTTACAGATAAAGCAGCCGCGGGACCCACAACGTTGCGGGCGCTTAAAAGTCTAACAGGCAAGCGAGGCAGTCACGACTCACTTGGGCGAAGCCGGGGAACTGGGAAGGCACAGGGGTGTTTCTGTGCGAGGCGTGCGTGAGTGGTGGTTGCCGTAATCTGCATGCAGCGAGAAGATCCGGTTCGGGAAGCCGTAGCTTACTTAGCCTTTATTAGTTATGCGTAACTTACGGAGTACAGTACTCCGTACAGAAGACAAAAACAGCCCCGAAGCGGCGGTGCAGGAGCTCACTTCATGAATCAAGCAACGTCTCGGCTAGGCTATGCCGGATCGAGTAGGTAGACACCAGCCACACCAGCCAACATGCCATTATCTTATCAATCTTATCAATATCTTCTGCCGTTGGCTGCCCTGTCGCCGTGTGGAGGAAGAGATCACGGACAAAAAATAAAAGCTCACAGAGAAGCCATCCCACTCTGTAGTTACAAGTTATGGGGGCCAAATAGGTCTAATTATTTGGTTTATTTCTTTATTATTTGAAATTCATGCTACAACGTCGCCAATAATAGCTATGCCTGTGGGTAATAGTTTATTATACCATGCAGCAATCAATCATCCAGACCGGTAAAGTCATAAAAAAAGGGGCTTGCATAGTTAGTTAGTTGGTTGATTGAAGGATCAGCTACAATTCTAACCTACCGTGAAGCATTCTGTCAAGTTTGTCTCCATTCACTTTTATCCTTTCAACAAGGAGGGAAGATGGCTCTTGTAGAGTGAAGCCTTGAACTCAGAATGCTCTGAATCAGTGCATCGACGCCTATTTCCTCTCTCTCTCTGTGTGTGTGTGTGGTGAAGCCTCATGCCTTCACTTCACCCTTCTTATTCTCTCTTTGTTTGACCATCCCGCAACTGCAGCTTACTAACTCTCTTTCTCTTCTCACAACGAGCAGTTCTCTCACATTCTAAATTTTGCATCCCAGCACATTTTCTGTAACCAGTCTTCAAGTTTGGTTGGTGTCGTCATTATGGCATCTGAATCTCCTTCTGGCAGCCCATCTATCGCAGAGACACTGTCTACTGCTGCGCCTATTGACTTGCCGTATCGCCCAAAACCGGGAGCCGCATTGGATAAACCTTCAGCTCTGAACGGGCCCAAAAGTGAGCCTGAGAATGATGCAGACGACGAGGAGAACGCCGGTGCGGGAGGTGAAGTCGCAGAGATGAAAAGGAAAAAGAAGAAAAAGAAAAGAAAGCCGGGCAAGTCTAAGGTCGAATATCGGGTTGTTCTATCTGTTGACTACAAAGCCTGACTTTCCGGTATAGAAGAAACCATCTGGGTATGAAGAATACTATGTCGATACTCCGATGACACCAGCTGAATATGAGGAGGAGAAGAAATTATATAATGAGTGTGTTGCTAGGACTCCCTAAAGATGATGTTAAATTACTGACAGAGCCATATTCAAGGTCCCTTTCCGCAATTCAGTGAGTCTCCCCTCTCTGCTGTTCACCATAGACATAGGAGTCTAATACACTGCTAGTCGTCTTGAAACCTGCATCCAGCGCTATGAGACCAAACGTCGAATGAACTCGGAGCGCAGAGATATCTTCTTGAAATATCTGTCATATGGAGGCGTCAATGTCGGTCCAAAAATGTTCGAAGGAAATGATCAAAAAGATCTTCAGCGTCTAGACTCGGAGGATATAGTCACGGCCACAGCCCAGACAAACATTCCTGAGGATCGCGCTCACTGGGATGTCGATTTTGAAGCCGTTGCCAAGGGATTCCTGTATGTTATTCGTTTCTACGTCATCCTGTGTCGCTTCAACTTAGTTTTTGCTAACCGTATCATCAGCTCCTCCGTCATCCCGCGATTCATCGGCCTTGAGACCGAACAACAAGTTGATCTAGTGACGAGCACGATCAAGAACTTTCTCAATTATGTTATATACCATGACGTCTGCCCCGAACATAGAGAAAACATCATGGCTGCACGCACAATCTGCGATAAAGCGAAGGACCAGCTCTGGAAAGCCCAACAGGCGAATACAGCCGCGCCGGGGGACTTCAACATGGCCTGCTCTACCTTGTTCGGTGGTTCATACTTTGGCGCCTACACAGGTGACCAGGAATGGAGCAAAGGCCTAGAATCCGCTGGCATGCCTGGAATGACGGCACGAAAAGTTGTCAAGTTTGGCATCGCGGGTGCCGGCACCTACGAACAAGCAGAGCGTTTCCGCGACCTTGTGCACGCCAGTAGAATCTCAGGAAAGCTTGTTCATGAAGATGGATTCGAAATATTATCGATTACCCCGGCCAGTCCAGAAATCAAACAGTTTTACCGTGAGTACGCACCGGATCTTAACCCACTCGCAAAAATGCGAGCTCGAGCCTGGCGTAATCCGGATCTACCAGCAGAAGACCTTCCAAAGGGAGAGTCTCCAAAGTATTTGACTGAAGATGGATCTGGAAATCCGGCTGAGTTTGAGTTTTTCATCGAGGACAACCTTCTCAAGTTTTATTTCGTGGGCATGAAAATTGAGGCGCATGTGCGTGAGCTTAATAGTGGCATTCATTACTTTGACAATGTCTTTGCGATGTACTGTGCGTTTCATACCGTCTTACCAAACGAAGCTATGATAGGGTGGAAAGAACCAAAAGATATCCGGCCTGATCACCTCTGCTGGGAGGCGCCCTATGATTCTAAGGAAGATATGGAAGAAACTGCGGTAGCGGAGGAGGAAGTGGAATAATGGGGCAACATTATTCCTGTTGTGTCACTCACCACATGTGGTTTCGATGAATGCTCCGGATATCGAGGAAGAGAGTCACCGGGAAAGAGAACATTCGAATTGCAGATGGCTTAAAACTTGAGTCATTTAGCCTATCGGTACGCCGTACTTAATACATACATCGGTATTATCAATCCTTTATGTATGCACCAGAATCATAAAGTGAATCAGTTTCCATTGAACTTGGTTCCATACGTTATTATTCTTTATTCTTTCTTTTTTTATTTTTTGCTTGCTTGTTAAGCACGCGGCCAAAATAACCATGGATTACGGCCTCAAGAGAAGTTTGCCGGTCGTTTTTCGGCCTTCGAGATCCTATTAATGCCGTTAGTCTTAGTTCATAGATTGCAAAACAAAACCGACTTGCACATACAATATGTGCTTGAGCAGCCTGCTCCAAGGGGTAGATCTTGTGAAGTCTAGTTTTCAACTTTCCGGATTTGACCATGTTGAAAAGCTCATTCGTATAATAGTCGAATTCCTCCTGGGTAGCGATGTAGCCGAATAGAGAGGTGCGGAGAACCTTGATATTCTTCGCAGAGAGGAGCCTGGGAGAAAAAGTCAGCGTGCCTCCAAGAGGATGAACATGCAACAAAACGCCTTGGACGTACTGGATATTTAATGGAGGAACAGGGCCACTCGCATTGCCAAAGAACACCATGGTTCCCTTGCGCTTAACGGCTTTGATGCTGTTCTCCCACGTATCCTTGCCCACCGAATCATAAACCGCCGCGACACCCTCACCACCAGTGACTTCCATGACTTTCTCAAGCCAATTAGCTCCCTCGGGAGACTTATAGTCAATCACCACATCCGCACCCAAGCTCTTCACCAGCTCCACTTTCTCCGGCCCGCCCGCCGTCCCAATGACCTTGGCCCCAATATCCTTCAGCATCTGCGTCATGAGAAATCCCGCACCCCCCGCCGCAGCATGCACCAAGATCCAATCACCCTTCTGCACAGGATATGCCTCCTTCACCAACGAAAGCGTTGTGATCCCGCTCAACAACACAGAGAGCGCCTGCTCATCGGAGATTCCCTCAGGGATCCTCACCACCCTCTTCTCCGCCTGAGCCACGGAGTACTCGGCATAGCCACCTGTGTTCAGCCAGGCAACGCGGTCGCCGACCTTGAAGCCCTGCGGGTTGGGTCCGGGACCGAGCGCCACGATGATCCCTGCTCCTTCGCGGCCGAGGATTTCGGGCTTGGGGGACTGGTAGAGCCCCGTGCGGAAGTATGTGTCAATGTAGTTTACGCCGGAGAGATTGTTTTTGATCAGGACTTCGCCTGGGCCAGGGGTGGGGACGGGCAGGGAGTTGTGGTATTCAAGGACTTCAGGCCCGCCCGTGCGGGAGATTTGGATGGCTGCTTGGGTGGTGGGGATGGTGATTCCGGCCATGGTGCGAAGATATCTAGATGCTTGGAGAAAGGATCCGGTCGTGGAGGGTGTTGGTGTTGCCCTGGGACAGATGCGGGAGAGCAGAGGGTTTTGTAGTCGCAGGATAGGCCCCGCTCGATGTGACAAATGGAGAATTGATGTCATGGTTGTCTATTTGCATCGGGATTGTGGAAGCGGGACGCACCGTTCCCAAGTTTCAGATTACTGTGGGAGAGGTGGTTTGCATCGTGGAGTTTGGATGGCGGTGTTAGCAACTCGTCCGGGAGTTGTCTTAACAATCACATCCCCGCGGGGGTTTGCGCCCTTTGGCTGCAGTCGATTCGAAATCATGGTGATCAAAACAAGCTTGCCAGTGGAGGCGAGGCATAATAGACTTCGTCGTGGCCGGGAAGACGAGGAAAGTTCGGCGGTAGTTTGTTGAACCGGCAGGCTGCATTTGTAAGTGGCGTGCGGGATCCTTGGCGGCCGTCTCTTCTTGGTTAGGCGTACGGGGAGCTTAACCGGGGGCAGCTTCGCCCCTGCAGCACAGTTGCTTAGGCGCCGTCATTAGGGGCCTGGGAACCCTCGTCGGCTTCAAATCCCCGTTCCATCACGAAAGATCATGATGAGCAAAAAAAAAAAAAAGGGAGAGGGGGGAAGAAAAGAAAAGAAAAAGAAACAAATGTTAAAGTCGAAACTGCTGCATTGCCAGCATCTCTGAGGAATTTCTCATTCTGGTCTCATTTCTCAATTGCTCTCTTCGACGTTGCTTGGTATCGGTGCTGGCAGGTATGTGAGAGGTAAACAGAACTTTTCCACAACTACTACCTTGCTGTTAAGAGACTAAAAATAACGTTCCACTGAAAGCATCCGCAGCGTGCGGGATTCTTCTCAATGAGGATCAACGTGGAGGTGCCTTTTAAGGCCATTTAGTTATACCAGTGTCGCTCAACAACATGTCCGCCCACATTCCGGATTTCCTCCCGCACGCTCAGGCATGATGCGACCCAACTAGCAAAGCGACTTTGTTCTAGTGGTTGAGAAGAGAGAAATGTGAACTCTGCGTCCATGATCATTTTGCAGCCTAATTCAACCATCGCGACGGAAAACGCGATCCAGGGAACTAGAGTTTAATTGCCCAATCGGTTGAGAAAGGTCCGCAACACATGCATCAGGACAGCACCAGCTTGAGCAATGCCTTCGCGAGAGCTGCTTGTAGAGGGTTGTGAAACCATACCTAGGACTGGAAACCCATATTTCTGCAGCGGTCAAGTTCCACAGGACAACGCAAGGTGGTGTGCGTCAGGACATCTCATGCAGAAAGCAGTATTCTCCTGCCGGCCAAAGTTATTGGGATCGATGCTCGGGTATGGAAATCCATACGTACAACTGAACGTATCTCTCACGGCAACGGCAGCTCACCCAACTTAGGGCAGCCTTTGGCGTCCACCCATAAGCGAAAAACAGGTGTTTCCAGGCCATCGGTCTTGCAAGGCGTGCATCAGTGCATCAGCAGGCCGTGACTGCCCTTGAGAAGCCAGCATTTTGTGCTTAGTATGCACACACTCGATACTACCCACTCCTATGGCCGCAAGAACAATCGCAGGCACCCATACAATACATGTGGTCCTGTTGCTCTGTCACTAGCTTTGTGTAGATTTGGCAGACAAGACTCGCTGGCGCAGGCTTGTTTCAGGCGCGGGGGTCAGATTGACTTTTGAATTGCGAAATGGTTTCATCGGCAATATCGAATCCATCCATCCAAGGGGGCCAGGCAGGAAACTCCGAATTGTCTGTCTTCTCCTCCATCTGCCGAGGATGGCATGCTGACCATGACCATCGAGTTACAAAACCGTTGTAAGGGGGACTCGGGCGAGCAGCAACGTGGAGTGAGGGCCTATCGTAATGCCATTAGGTGGTAAAGAGGGCAATCCTCGGTAAAAGCTCGAGATGAATGACGACTCCACGTCTCGTGGTGGAAGAGACATACGCATTCTTAGGTGACATCACAAGTGGATGCGGCATCCTTTCAAAAGAATGCCTCGATATGATGAGAAGCCTAGTTAGGATACGATCCCGTCCTCGGTTGTTGAGAGGGCTCTTCCTTGCAACCAGATCATGGGATTGGCAGGAGTCAAGCGGAACTCGTCAGTGTGGGATAGAAAAGGGTTCTCTGTCTGCTATTGTAATGCTCGATCGCATAAGAACTCTTCCCATCGAACGGCCATCTATCGTCCGGATTGGATAGACCATGCAAGCACAGCAGAAAAAGCAGCCATGAGCTGAGTGTTTATGGTCATTGCAGCTCGTGGAGAGGGTTGCTCTCGGGAAATGAATAACTCGCTGGGGAATCTGCAGCCTTACGCCCCGTTGACGTGCCCAAGCGATATTGGGCACGCAAAGCACCAACCAGCTGTCAGGCACCGCCAGTCCAGGGATCATCGCTGGATGCCGAGTACCTCGCGCGCTCCTTCAAAGGTGGACTTCTTCAAGAACCACATGCAGGCATGACGTCGTGGTTGCGCCTCTGCTGGGCGATCCACTCCAGCGAAGGAGTTTGAAACAATCACTGGATTGTTTCGTCCCCGTCGAGGTGGGCAAAATGCACGAGCAGTGGGCTTTTGTCGTCATCGGGCAAATTGAAGCGCCAGCAGAGGACGAAAATGTGTCGCATCTGTGCTGCCACCTTCGGGGCAAATCCATCGTGGTTATCCACATCGCTGCCCACGGCTGGTGAGGCGAGGAAGCATTGAATTTTTTTTCTCCTTACCCGCCCTCCAGCCTCCGCAGATTGCTGCAGATGGGTTTCAAATTCACGTTCCACAACGTCCAACCAATTTTGTGAACCATGCCGCATCAAGGAAACGGGCGCTGAAATTGGTTTGGTGCTTTGGCTTCATGATCCCGGCTTCATCCAATGAATAACCACAAGGCAAGCCCTTGCAGCCAATCCAGAGAAACGAAGCCAAAAGATCAAGAGTTTTTTCTGCGTTGCCAAGTCACAATGTCGCCCGCAAGTCGATGTTGCGCCTGTATGTGAGTATGTATGTTCTCTGCACCTTGAGTGACACTTCTCTACATTGGCCGAGGAACGGCACTCTGGCACGCTCAGAAACCCAATGGCTCCAATTGTCATTTACTGCCTGAATATCCGCCTCTGTGGGGATGAGGTTATTCTTCCTTTCCCGCCACAATTCCCTTTTCCTCTGCTTAAATACAAGTGATCGTTCCGGCCGGTCACCTCTTTCTCTTCTCCCTCCCCGAACCTACACAATGCTAAAATAACCAAGAAGATCACCGTTGGAAATTATATGGTTGAAGCCCCGGACTGAACGCCTTTCCCTAGGATCCTGATTTCCGTTCGCCTGCATTGCCCGCGACCACCCTGTGCTGCCGGAGCCCACCCCTAGGATATGTCTGTTTTGAAGAGATTGTTACGGGAAAATCTATCATGGATGCGTTCTAGCAGCTAATATTTCCCGGACGTTGCGCTGAGCATTTTTATTTTCTTTTTTTGCCGGACGGAATTGCCTTTCTTCCTACTGTTTCCATCAAACACCTTGCTGTTCCGCGATGCCTTCCACAGTGTCCGTTGCGCGGAGCTGGCCTCCTGCGCCTATTGTTGAAGACGAGGCAGAATCGGTTCTCCATGAGATTTTTGAGGATGGCTCTGCTGTTAATGTGAACAGAGATGATGTTTCCATAATATCCCGAGGATCTGTTGATCAGTATCCCATTCTTGTTCCTGTGGAGGTGCAGGAACCCTTCCCGGCGTTGGCCGACTCAAATGGGAATCACACTTGGAATGTCAAAGCAAGTCATACAACGCTGAATGCCGGGTCTGCAGCCCCTCGTTCTGGCTCTCTGAGTCGTGCCTCTTCTATTTCTGGACCACACTCAGCCAAGAAGAAGACGAACAAGGTCCGCTTTGCGGAGCCGGTTCATGATCGCCACAAGCCAAAAGTCCAGCCTGGTTGGAACCCATTACCTTTAGAACTCCTCGGATCTATGACTAATGTTCTTGAAGGAGTCGAGTATCTTTCAGTGCCAGCGAGTTATGCCAGAGAATCTTCTGGCGCACAGGATCATGACACCTACCAACGTCGCCCCTCTCGCTCCGAGGTGGATCAACTCACTCATAACTCTCGACGATACTCGCAACGGCCTGCCGAAAACTATAACAATCTTGATGATGTCCGGCAATCTACCCGACGGTTAAGCTGGAACACATGGGAGGAGGACCAGGATGGTAATGTTTCCTGGATCAAGGAGAGAAAATACGAATGGCACAGTGATGATGAAATCTCCTCTTACCGCGGGACCCATTACAAGCACTGGAGAGAATCTAGCCGGATTGTTACTGAGAGAATATCCACTGAGGTCTCGCCAGTCAGATCATCCTCACAACGATATATTGATGCCCCTGACCGCTCGGGAGACCGGGGTGCGATCAACGGTTCCAACGAGAGTGTTGCCAGTTCTACCGGTCGTCGAACTTCGACAATGAATGGGGCTGCTGCTTCAGCAGCTAAATACAATAACGCTGTATACTCTCAGAGAGGCAGAACAGGAAAAGATTCGTCGCGGAGAGAGCATTCTCGGCCTCCAACTTCTCGCGGTGGCTCGGAAGCATCTTCGGCGCGGCGAGGTCACTCAGTTTATCCTCAAGCATCCTCAAACTATGATGATGTCCGTGCGCCACAATCGCACGTATCCTCCCGGTCTCCTGCAGCCATTTCTGGCACAGTTTCTCGGCCTCGAAGCTCAAGCGATGGAATCCGACGCCCAGTAGATAGCCCGAAATTCTCTCTCTCACCTTGCCCAAGGTCGATTCCAATGGCTGGCTACCGCGAGTGGTACACGTTTATTGGCCTGACCCATCTTGATATCTGCCCTTCATGCGCGAGTCAAATTGAAGCAACTCGCTTCCGTGATTTGTTTATTCCCAGTCTTCCAAAGCCCGCCGATGCAAAAATTCGGTGCTCTTTCAGCCAGCCATGGGCTCGACTAGCATTTGTTCAGACAATGAAACTCGGACTCAATCATCTAGAGTTGTTATACCAAATTACTCGACCTCCAATCGGCGGCCAGCCTTGTACCGGCCGAGTACCTTCGCTACAATCTTGGTATCGCGTCTCAGATCTCGAGACGGGACGAACCATCTCAGACTTCAACGCATGCTCAGCCTGTTTCCGTAACCTATCGATCCTCATGCCATCCCTCCGCGATTCATTCCGACCCGGTCCCATCGGACAAGAACGTATCTGCGACCTTCGCACCGACAGCACTCGATTTATCCAGTATCTCGACCTGTTCGACGCCGCTGTGACACGCAGCTTCCATGATCCGCACCGCTACATCGACCTACGCGACTTCATCCGCTACGCCAAGCGCAAGAACAAGATGTACGACTGCCCACGAGACCATATCGTCGTTGGATCCTGGCATTATATCCCCGAACTCCCTGAATTTACCATCTGCGAAGACTGCTATGATGATGTGGTCTGGCCGATTGCCAACGGTCCCATCGCGAACAGGATCACCCGCACCCTGCAACGCCTCCCTGGCGGCGGAAAGCAGGCGAGTTGCTATCTGTATAGCCCACGTATGCGAGCCAAGTTTCGGGAAGCAGTGAAGCTGGGCGATTTTGGGTCCCTGAAAGCTGCAGTGCTAAAACGCTATGGTGTGGAGACGAAGTTCCGTGAGAGGAAGAAGCTACTGCTCGAAGACGTTGCGAGGGGCTACGATCGCGACAGAGACTTGAGACTTAATGCTGAGGGTTGGAAGAGGAACGAGTAGATGGGAGAATTTCTAAGTTTACCGCCATTTGTCACGATTGTGAATTGCGCGCTCTCTCTGGTCAGATTGTGCTGCAATGTATTTGGAGGGGCCTCACTATAAACATTTTCCAACGGTTGATCTTCAAGGTTATTCTCTTTTCTTTTCATTCTCGTTTGGGTTCGGCCTTAATGTTGCCCTTGACAATACTGGTTTGTTTGCTGTCTGCATTTCAGGAGTTACTGTGCTTTATATCTCTGACCGTGTGTTGCTCGCATAGGTGTATTCGTATTCAACTATTTGTTTTGTCTCTTTTCTGGGTTTCATATCTATTCCCTGTCATTTTATTTGTCTTTTAAGGTGACATTGCTGTTTGTATTGCTGTCTTCAGCTTTAACACCCTGTACTCTGTACATGTCACTCTTTTGATATATTATCACGAAATGGCTGTAATTCAGAGGTTGTGACGATATCTTAGGTAGAATGAGAATGTATAATAGGACTTTTTCCTGTGGGCCTAATAGATTCCTCGGTAGAATTTCATTTATTCGGCTTTCAAATGTTCTATTTATTATTCCTTCGAAATAGATGCATACCTTGTCCTGTTCATATAATCCTTCCCTAAACCTGGGTTTTTGTCCGCTGCCCTATTGTGCATAAGTATCATCTTCCACTCATCTAGATGCCCGCCAAATTCATTCTCTCGAAATGAAGTGAAATCATGGACTCTATCCGATCAGTCCTACCACCTCACCAGGCCATTTTCTCCCCCAGATCATCGCCCTATTCGGCACCCTGCCACCGACTGGCGCTAGCAGCCTTAACTTACCACCTTGGCCTTTCTTCTCGTCGACATCTGCAATGTATATGAAACCCATAATACTCGCATCGCGGACCTCGTCCAATGATGCGTTGGGAGCAGCATTGGTGATTGCTAACAACGTATTCGCTAGGGACATTGGTGCTGGGGAAGGAAGATTTGTAAACGGAGTAGTGGAACTTGTAGAAGCGGATGGGAGACCTGTGGTGGCACTTGGGAGTTCGGATCGGAGGCCTGGGAGAAGGCCAGATGGGGGTTGAAGAGAGGTTGTGCCCGTGAGAGAGGTATTATGATCGTTTTCTTCATGTCCGCCGGGCAGGAATGAATCGAATTTTGATGGGTCGTATTCATCTTCTTCACCTTCTGTGGCGATGGTGATGCTGTATATAGATAAGCTGTTAAAGTCGACCTGCGAGGTGTGTGGAGAAAGTGTCATCGTGGTGCCTGTGGTTGTGGAGGAGAGCGAGAGCGCTGAGGATGCAGTTGATGGTACAGGACTTCCAAAGAAGTACGACCGTATTTGAGATTCGCGAACATATTTCATGAATGTCGCATCACGGTCGACGCAACCGCCCGATTTGGTGAGTTTCACCACTGAGATTCGCTCATCAGAAGCAGCTGCTGTCGCTGACGTGGCGATTGGTTTGTTATCGTAGTTTTTGACCATGGTGCTGTAAAGGCGCTCTGAACCGATGATAAGGATGGTGGATACTAAAAGCGCCCTGTTAGCCGGTACCGTTTCGTGTGAAGCAAAAATAGGGGAGTAGCATTATCTTACTTGAGAATTCGGTCACAATATGATGTATAACGTCTTCAGAAGCACCTTTTCCTTGGCCAATGATGCCGGGCGTGTCAATAATGACACCAGCTTCCCTCGCATCCGAATCCTCTGCCATCCTGCCCGTCACAGCCAGTGCCAACCTGGATACAATCGCCTTATAGTAACTCCCATCCCCATCCAAGCAGGCCGGTAACCCATAAAAATACACCAGCGGCAGCTTCACGGGTATCGGACTAGGGCCAGACATCGGACTACTCCCCCACCCTTCTTCCACATCGATCATAGACCGAAACGCCGTTGCCGTCAACGCCCCGGGAACACTCAGCATGCCCTCCGACGGATCCAAATTCACAACCAAGGGCTGTCTCCCCATCTTCGTCGCATATCCGGTCAATATCTTCACTAGACTCGTCTTCCCCGCATCTTCCGGTCCGAGGATGAGCACCCGTGGCCCATCTCTCCCGGCGGCTTTGGCATCATGCCTCATCGTCTCCAGCGCGAAGTGCACATTCGCATATTCGGCCATGGGCGTCTCTTCGGCGATGTATTCGACCTGACATCCCCCGTTCCCGGGGCCAGGAGGTACAGGCGCACTTCCCACAGGCCCAATGGGAACGGGATCACCCGCCCCGACTTCCAGCGTACATCCGTGCCATGTGTATATCGCGGCTTTCGTTCCAGAGAAAGTGTAGGTTTGCGACGTAGCAAGTTCAGTGCCGAACAATTCTGCAGTGCCGGCGAGTAACTACACAGGCACCCCTCCAACGAAAAGGGCACCACTGTTAGCTTCTTTCGTAGCAAACTGAGCGGTTTGTCAGGCGTCGATGGAGCTCTCCCAGTAGGCCCAATTACTTTGAATCACGCCGGAAATCTTGACAGACAAAACGAAGAAAGAAAAGTATGTAAAGAAGGCGTGACGTTACCTTCACCCGGGTTGTATTCCCGAAAGCGACTTCAAATCTCCATTCCGATCCCTTGGGAAGACTGATCTGCGTCGGTTGCGGGGGAGGTCTTCGGGCTTCGATGGGCTGTTGTGAAAGCTCTAAACCGGGGAGAGACATTGCATTGCCCTCCACCGCCTAACTGCCAGCGCAAAAGGTGTTTGTATAGGATTTATAATTGGATTTAAGGCAATGAGTCCATAAAGTAAGCTGCTGGCGGTCGTGTGTAAGGTTGATTTGGGACAATTGAGGTTGTTAGTGCAGCTATCTGGAACAATGCTTGGGGTTCAGTTGCGGAGCAGCAGTGCAGCAACATAGCTTGTGCCACACCTTTGACTACAGAAATATGCGACGAATATCAACCTTACTACACAGCTATGTGCTACAAATACCTATTTTTATTAATAGTTGAAGATACATTCATTCTGATCAATCATTCACGTTAATAACCTGAGTTTTCAATCTTTGCATTGCCCTGTCTCACACTCCTAACCTTTTTAATCGGATTGCCACACTGTCCCATAACTCAGTCAAACAAAGCTCCAAACACTAGCTGACTTCAAAGCCACAAGCTCAAACAAAAGAGAGAGGGGGGGGGTGGTTTCTGAAATTTGCGGCAGACTTCAACACTCATGCCGTGTAAGCAACACGCGATAACAAAAGCAATTATCTTGGATGAAATCTTTCCCCTTTTGGTCCCAAAAGGAAATCGGAATTCAATTCACACGGAATGGTCCTGGGAAGAAGATAGGACCAAGCAATCAATGCGCAGGTCTGGCGCGTATTTCAGTCAAAATACTGACAGGATCGATTGAGGAATGAAATCTCCACCACTCAGTAGATGCCGAGGGAACAAATCGAAGTGAAGCCGACACTCATACCACGCTGGGTTTATTAAGAGGGTTAATAAGATATTAAGGGATTAACGAATGACGGGAAAATGTGATGGAGATGATGGTGCTTAGATTGAGAAGCAATAGAAGAGTCGACTGGAGAGAACGAGGGATAGCGAACGGGAAGAGTGGCCACATTTGTCGAGCTTCAGGCGAGTAGGGGGTCCTGGGACAAGTTAAGCGCGGTCTTGGGGAACGTATTGGCAATAGATTCAGTGTGTACAGCACAGAGGTATGGATTGTTGTTAGGGAGGGTTATGGGGAAAAAAAAAATAAAAATAAAATGCTAGAGCGTAAAGGGATGAAAAATCAATTGACATGATATACAAGATTCCTAACAAAACACACTGCAGAATAAACCATTTCAAGTAAGGGAATATCACTGGCCTGGACACCTCGTCGAGACGATGGAAAGGCGGGCGATGGGCTAAATTGTAAGATATAAGCTGGAGAGCGGTCTCTGACTGCCTATCCTATCAAATGTTTCGTGTGGTGTGTGTTTAGTGAGGCAACCAGCTGTTTCTGTTTAGCAATTTTGCTAAAAGAAATACGGAATTGTAGCGCTGTAGAGCAGTCATTAGCAATGCCTATTCTCAAGGGAAAAGATGGTCACCTACGCAATCGCCAATGTTGCTGTTACTCCGATAAGAGCCCGGTTTCGAACTCGCTCGCGTCTCAATCTCTCCTCGAGTAGTCTCGCCTTCTTAGCTGGTTGTGTCGGAATGTTTTCAGTATCTTCTTCGCCTTCTTCAATAGTTGCTTCCACTTTTCGCTTCCTGGAGGCCTTCGGGGACGGATTGCCAGTCCCTTCCTGCCCTTCCTGTAGTCTAACCGCTTCTTCGACCATTTCCTTCGCCTTTGCGATCATTTCCTCAGTGTCATTCGGCATGGGTAGTTCCGGCAGACCATCTGGCACTTCGACAGTAACATTTGTTCGTGATGTCTCCAAATCTTCCGTTGTATCGACAATCGTTTCCGACTCGACACTTACTTTAACATGGTCGGTGGATTTCTTTACCGGTATCGTCTCTCCTTCAGAATCGCCGACTTCTTGTTCTCCATTTACTTTAACGGGTTCTTCCTGCGCCTCTTCGGCATTCTCGCCGTCGCCTACAGCTTCCGTATGCGCAACAGAGGCAACAGCGTCAAGAGTGCTTTGCAAAGATTCACTAACTGCAGCAGCCGACGGTGTGCCAAGGTCCTTTTGAGCCCGCGTTTGCCTCTTGCGTGGAGTGGCTTTCTTAGCCGCAGATGACTTGGAGGGCGACGCCGATCGAAGCGTCCTGGTCCGAGCGGAGGGTGGTGGCGCGAAGCTTGAGCTATCGATCTTCGAAATATCAAACTTGGGGGGTGGGTTGATTATGTGTTCAGGTTTCGAAGGGGATTTAGAAGAGCTCTGGGGCATATCTGCTGGATCCAATAACGCGCGAACCCAATGGCTCATCCTGTATTCTTCCGCGAGTTCCAGTGCTGCACAGATGTCGTTAGCTTCAGCATGGATTGGGGGGCGAATGCATCGCATGATCATTCATACCGAGTTCGGGGGATATCCAGAGATTTCCAGCGACCTCATCCGGGCTGGTTTCGGGAAGGCCTCTCAGATATTCGCGCTCACTCTTTTCATCGGCTAGTTTGGCCCAGGGAAAAGCAATCTTAAACATGCCTGTCGCGCTCACATAACCGTCCTTGCTGCGTCGCTATTATATCAGACGAAACCAGTTAGAAAAAAGCGCAATCATTGAGCGGACGTATAGCCTAAGTGCGCTGTCAAACGAAGACGGAAATGTCTCACCATCAAAAAGTATGTGTCGGGGTGTTGATTTGTTGGAGAAAGCGGGAAGATCTCCGAGCCCTTGAGGTTCTTAGGGAGCGGCGCTCGCAGGTGCGCATACTCGAATATTCCAAGGTTCTCAGGCCTGGTGGCATTAGATGTCCCGACATGATCCGCACGAACGGTCAGGTTCGTCGACCCAAGACGACGACGCGCAAGAAGCTCCTCATCTGTAGAAAATCCAAAAGGAAAAAAAAAAAAAAGACGCGTTAGTCAAAAAACTACACTGAGGGCATCAGAAGAAGCGTGACACAATTGCCCCGGTCGCGGATCGAATCGCGGGCTGCAGCAAGGAAAAAAGAAAACGAGAGGAGCGAATAAGAGTCGTACTTACACGATGGGGAGACATCTGGTTGAATCATAGGATTATGTTTCGCTGGAAGTGGTCGCATGGCGAAAACGGGTAGATTGTCACTATTCAAAGGCACACGATGACTTGCGCCAAAGGAAAAGAGAGAAGAATTCTATCGATTGCGGATTAAGCGTGGGTTGGCAAGGGTGAATTTGTGCTGGGAGGGACGGGTGCCACGTTGCAGGCGCGTTCCTCAAATCGCAGGGAAGACTACAAAGATCCGGGTTTCGCGTGATGGAACACCCGCGCGATAAATAGCACCAAGAGATAAGATACGGTGACGCGATAGAGTTGCTTTGGGGCCAAGGCAGTGTGGGCCAACTGTCAGACGGGAAGGGAAAAGGAAAAAAAAACTTCTGAGGTAAAAGGGGGATGGTTGGGGGGTGAAGGAGAAGAGAGAGACGGTCAGCAAGAATCGTCGAGCCCGCGATGAGATCAACCAAGAGCCAAACAAGGGGCCCTCAACAAGCCAGCGCCGCCAGGGGATTAGTCACGCTGGCGATTTAGCGGGCCCTTATCCAATCAGGTCGGCCGCCGCCCTCGCCTCCTCCCAACAACCTCCCCAGAACTCGTGCTGAGTCATACAATTGGTGCCCCATCCGGCATCGACGACTTCAACGCCTGGTTCTATGCGCATGGACAGTTCAGCCCGACGGCTTCAGACGATTGAGATTGGCTACCTATACGGAGTACTTTAGCTAAGATCAAGTCCAGAATGTACGGTATCAATACACTGACACCCCAAGAGCGCTGCAACTCGAACTGCGCGTTTTATTCTGCAGACGCCGTCTCGGCGCCCAGAGCTGCATGTCCATCCGCATTCCTCAGTGAGATGTACCATTGACCTAAACCTGCAAAATGCCATGATACCAGCCCATGCAATGCTCATATGAATGACATTGTTTGTATATAAATACACGCGCCAGCCATATCTCGAAATCCCCGTCTAAAGTGACATCGACAGAGCCCAATTCGCTACCTTTAGACAATCGTAACAGACGTGGTTAGAAGAGATACTAGCCAGGAAGACGAAGTGTAGTTTTCGGTTCTGGTGCAGATGGAAATACTTAAATTCAGCCATGGAGACTTATCATCCCCCAGCCTGGTAACTCACCAGTCAGTACACAAACATCAATGAAAGATATCACTGACAATCATGCTGTGAGGGTCCTCGCGGACATAGATATTTTATGTCCTATTGACCTAGCGGATTGCCTTAAACGTACACCGAATTAGGCCCCAGTCCCAGCCTTGAATGTGCAGCAAGTTAGGTCCTCGTCCTCCAAGCACTCACAAAGTAGCACCCCCCCCCCCCCAAAAAACCTCCGTAACCAAGGTCTAATCAAGCCTAAACATCGAGTACTTGAATGTAGAGCTTGTTCGCATCCATATGTAAATTACTCAGAACCGAGATCTTGGTGCTTGCAGTTTGCCATACAAAACAGAGCGTAATCATCGGCTACAAAAAGCAGCCAACCGACGAGGGCAGCAGAAGCAAGCTTGTATGTGCTTTAATGATGTGATTCCCCCTGAAAGCGAATAACTGGGTGTCTGCGGCCCCAAAGGTATTAACTAACCAGGGGGAGATTCTTAGGTAATCTACTTTTGGGAGTGCCCAGCGGACGCCAAATGGGCTGGCCACTCTCGAGGCCAGAACCCCCACCATAGCTTCGCCGCGCCCGCCAGTCACGACTCACCGGCCAGCGTATCCAGGCAGTTTTTCCCACCCAATTCGACGACGACCCACGACGCTTAGTTACCCCTCGTTTCAGCCAACAAACATTGCGACATCTCCCCAACTTTTCCTTTCATTTCTCTGGGACTTATTCTCATCTGCTCATCTCCTTGCCGCCTGTCATCCGGTCCATACGCTTCAAAAGACTTATACATATATCCATAGAGCTTAATAAAAAGGCTCGCTTTTGATCCTTGGTACGCGTCTCGAGATATTACGTGATCTCTCCCCGCATGTTCACCGACACCTGTACAAGCGTGCAAGTCAAGCAAAACATTGAAGTTGGCAGCTGACAACACTCTTTGTTCTTGACAGGCTATTTTACCATGGCTGACCACGAGCATGACGATGACTTGAACCCAACCAAGACCGAGGGCTTTAAAGTTGGCGAGAAGAAGACAGTGGAAGAATATCAGAAGCTTGGTACGTCGGACCAGTACTTCCCCTTGCTTTGGGACGCAATGTCTACATTTTTTGCTGGAGATCAGCAGGGAATTTATATTTCTCCCGTTCGATTTTTTTTCTTTCACATCATTGCGGAGTGTCCTTGGCGCAATGGACGGGAATAATATGTGGTTTGGGACCATCACTGTACACTGGCTTCGGCTACGTAGAACCACTCCACCTACCCCAATCAACCACTCATATACACCCTCCCGGTATCTAAGAAAACAATCAAATCCCAAAACCCACCATGCTAACCCACAATTCACTCCATCCAGACGCAAACGATGAATCTCTCAACCGCTGGAAAGCCTCCCTTGGACTGGGCAGCGGCACCGCCATCTCCGACCCCAACGACCCCCGCAAATGCATCATCAAATCTCTCGCTTTGGAGGTCGACGGCAGACCAGATATCACAGTCGACCTCTCCGCACCTGGGTCAGTGGAGAAGCTAAAGGACAAGCCATTCACCATCAAGGAAGGCTGCAAATTCCGAATGAAGGCGACGTTCGTCGTTCAGCATGAAGTGCTGAGCGGATTGAAGTATGTCCAGGTGGTTAAGAGAAAGGGCGTGAGAGTGAGCAAGGACCAAGAGATGCTTGTAAGTTCGGTTTTCGTCATCCCTTCGACGAGCAGCCCTTTTTTTCCCTTTTTTTTTTTTTGCCGTCGAAAATGCGTCTAGGTTAAAAGTGTATCTGACGATATACCCCAGGGGAGTTACGCTCCAAACACCACAGACAAGCCGGTCTATGAGAAGAAGTGTAAGTCCCTGAAGCCGTGTTCGTTTAAATACTCGGTTTAACCGATACTCGCAGTCAACGAGGAACAAGCACCGTCGGGCATGCTTGCTCGGGGTCATTATACCGCCCTTTCCAGATTCGTGGATGACGACGACACCACCCATTTGCAGTTCGAGTGGTCTTTCGATTTCGCCAAGGATTGGTAATTTTTGGTCGAGTAGCAATTTGGCGTTCATGCAGTTGAAATATCATAGCGAACACGCGTCCTCTTTGTTTCTCCGAACATTGGGATCCTTTGCCATACCCTGATATTCTTTTGTTCTTTCATTTAAATCCAAAGCTCCATCTGCGTCGATCCTCATTCTTGAAACCGGTCTTTTACAGACAACTGGTGTATGCTCCCGTCTACCATCAGAAATATCGTGTTTGCTTTTTGTTACCAGAGACGAAGGGATCTATCCGATAACCAAAAGGAAGGAAAACGGAAGAGAATTAAAAAAAGAAAAGAAAAAAAAAAAAGGAGAAAACCTGTTCATGCTCATAGGTATCTTTGCACACATAACAAGAATCAAGGGTATCATAAAAAGTATTCAATTACAGGGCTCTGGCCATTCTTTCCCTGCTGAGCGTGTTGATCGCCACGATGAATGTCGTTGTTTTCCGGCGCCGCATCGAAGATGTTAAAATAACGCTCGCCCGTGTCGCTGACTTCCAAGACGCTGGCCAAGTTCCCGCACCGGTAACAGTAATTCGGGGCGCTCCAGACGGTGCTCAGCCGGTCATCATAAAGGATCTGGTATCCCTCCTGACACAGCTGATGCGCTCGTAATATGTGGGACATATTATTGATCTCAAGAAATTTCTTCACCACCTGCGCACCAAAGGTGTATCCCGCACCACGCGGGGATAAAGAGAACTCATCGCGTTCCGTATCCGGGTCGGACCAGACGAGATCTGCCATGGGTCCTTCGTGAGGGATCTCTCGAAACCGATCGATGATTTTGATCTGATCTATGGAGTGGATGGACGGGGAGAGGCCGCCGTGCACGCAGAAGATCTGGTCGTTGATCACTACGCTGAGAGTAAGGAAGTCGAACATGTCGGTGAAGTAGTGCCAGACGTTGGCATTGCCGTATTTGCGGGCACATTCGGTATAGAAGCCATATGATTGGGTGACGCCGCGGGATTCATGGTTGCCGCGGATAAGATGGACGCGCTGGGGATAGCGCAGTTTGAGGCAGACGAGGAGGGAGATTGTTTCGACGCTGAAGAGGCCGCGGTCGACGTAGTCTCCTATAAATGAAGTGAAAGGGTGAACATCAGTTCAAATCCAATTGGGAGAGGAAAGGGGGTGTCTTCGTACCGAGAAATAGGTAATTGGTATTAGGACAGAAGCCGCCAATCTTGAAAATCTCAATCAGGTCGTAGAACTGACCATGGATGTCACCGACCACGGTGACCGGAGCAGCGATGTGCACCACATTGCTCTCCCGCATTAATAGCTCTTTCGCTTTGGCGCATATTGCCTCGACTACGGAGTCGGCGAGCAATTCCTTTTTATACAGTCTTTCGATGCATTCATCTAAGTCGATGCTCGCTGCAGGAAAGAAACTCGAAATTAGCCTCAACCTCCCGGCGCCAGAGACGGGGAGCAACTAACCCGGTAGTCCAGGCATGACTGCAATGCAATGAGAAAATAATTAGGGAGAAAAAAAGATTGATCGTGATCTTCTCAAACAATAAGGATAGCCTGCAAAAACCCGAAAAGAATAGTACTCCTAAAGAAAACAGGAGGGGAACCAATGAGGGAGATCAGTCGCATCGTTGATGTTCATCACGTTGAACGGGGTGGAAAAGAAAAGGAACAGATCTAGAGTGCAAAGAACATGTTCACATCTACTTCAGCAGCTGGGCATGGTACACACATCAACATGAAATATCTGACAAGGCAATGCGGCTGCGAACCAAACCTTTTGAGAACCATCGGCCCGTGTAAGAGGAGCTTTCCACGAAGTCCATGCCCGACCTGATGACTAACAAGGTGCGATGCTTGGCTTGCCAAGGGTTCCAGACTAGGCCTAATTTGGCGGTGGTCCAACAGCCCCATGGAGTTCAACAAGGAACCTAATGCTTGCTCCAAGGATGGGATTTGCAAAGTGGATGGCAATATTTTCTTGTTATTTGAGGGTAGCACAAGATCGCTTGGGATCAAATTTTATAGTGTACTCTGTACATTCAATGAGTTTTCAATGCATCCCCAAAGATGCTCACACCAAAAGTTTATCATGCAGCACAGGCGGCTGAGAAACACGCACAAATCTAATGCCTACAGAGAAGGTGTTGAGGTTGCTGTACAGGGTAGCAACCAAAGAAAATGTCGCAACTGTGGCTTTCATGCTTATTCTTAACACAAGAGATGGCTTCATGAGTGCCAGTCTCCTGAGGAGCGCATGATCGCCAATGAATTGCTAAAAGGACATAGTCGATCCACCTCCTCTCATCTTCCAGAGTATCTCTCTAAAGCCGGATCGCGGCGGAGGCCCTGTACCAGCCTCAATCCCGATCACCCGGAAGGTGGAAGAAAGGCTGTTTCCAGGGTAGATAACCAGCTGCTAGACGAACCCCCTAAGCTCGCGCGTGAGACACCAGTTGCATTCACTTTTTCTACAACCACGCGAAGTACTATGTTGGCGGGCCCCCTCCCTTAGATAGGAGTTTTTGAGCTCCAGCATGGATTCTTCTAGACTTTTTTTCAAAGAATAGTGGAGTGAACAAACATGCATGTTTTATTTGGCTGATGAGCCTGCTATGTGTGTTTGTAAAGCCGCTGTTTTGGATGGTTGAGTTGGCTAAATGGACGAAGCACATGGGAGCTTTGTGATTCTGGGGTGTTCTGCTCGAACATTGTTTTCTTCGATAGATGAAATGACCTAGCATTGGACGAGTTACCATGATGCAGTTGCTTGGTTTCTAGGTCATCGTCCTGCGTAGGCGGGTGTGGTCGACACGGTGACATTGAACGAGAACCCTCGCCCAGGAAGTGATCCAAGGCGGCGGCCAGAGCTTGTGGCTAACTAGTTACGCAAATCAGGGCATAGCGGCAAGAATAGTTAGAGTGAAATCACTGTGATTGCTGTGTAAACAAGGCATGCTCAACAAACTGTCACAGTAACAGAAATAATCATCATCTCGATGTTTTGAATGCTTCCTGGGCCAATCAGCGCAGGACCATCGCGCCACCTTGTTCTGATCCTTTCCCAATAGCGTTAGACCGAAAGATAGCCACACGTGACAGAAGCTCTTCCAAAGGGGATTTTGCGTCCATGGGAACCATCCACCTTGACAGCATCACCTTCTCTCCTCCTCTTCCTCACCTCAACCTCACCTCCTCAGCTCCATTCCTGCATTCTTTTGTCGGCCTTTATCTTCAGGAAAGATAAAATAACACCATTTTTTTTTTTCGGCTAATCTCCTTTTTTTTTTCGGGCTTGATCATTGTTTGTTGTGCAGCATCCAGAACTTGAGGTTCTGCTCCGTATATATAGCAGTTTTGCAACGCACAGGCGGCTTCAGTCCTTTAGACACCTGCCGTAGTTTTGTGCTTGGGTTGCCCTGGCGAGTGCAACAACAACATCATCATCATCTGGATACCATATCTGACCAAATATTTTTTTGGATACTACAGAGTACATACCATCTATTTGCCTGTCCAAATCTGAGGGGAAAAAAAAAAAAAAAAAGGAAAAAAACAAGAAGAAAAAAAACTGGTTTCCATTTATTTGCATGATTTTGTCCCCGCTACCGGGTTGACTTCTGATGGTTGCGAGATAGTCGCTGCGATTGTTCCTCCCACTTCTGAGAAGCACATGATGCCAGCTTGTTAAGCCATCTCACTCCCCTCCTCATCCCTCTTTCTCTCACTTTCTATCCATCCCGGCCAACAAGTTGGGTTCATCTTCGAAGCCGGAAACGATGCCCAATCTAGCAGTGCCTGACGGAGGCTTGGATCCTCATCCACAGCCAGCTTCGACCTCCAAGGCACCGCCGCGAGGGCATAAAAATCATGGGAAACGGCAAAGGAAACACCAGCACTCCCATCCGCCGGGCCCTCCCGATGCAACAGGTCAGGGTCCTCCAGCCCATGTATGTTATAACTGTGGATCTCCCGACCATTTCATCCAGCACTGTCCCGAGAGGCGCCAGGATGGCTATTCGTAAGTCTGAACCATTTTGAGCCATGTGTCCTCGAAAGAAGGCAACTGATTGCGCTACCTTTAGCGGTTCTCATCGACATCCACATCCTCCAAAACGACAGAAAACGTCAGGATCACTGGAGTCGCATTACCGCGGGAGTTCGTCCTCTCACAAGCAACGCTCTCGTCCTCAACGGGGCTTCACCCATCCGCCTCCTCCCGACTATCACCAGATGCCCAATCAGGGCTTATATGAACCGCCTCCTGGGCCTTATCCTCCCCAACATCATGATCCTTGGCACCCGCCCCCTTCTCAGCCTTATGGGTATCCTTATGGACCCCACGAGCCGCCTTATCCTTCAAGTTCCTATGGCCCATCATACCCCAGCCCACGAGGCGCTCACGGGCCTATGCACGGACAACAAGATTATTTTCCCCCACCGTACGCCCGCCACTCTGGAGAAAGGGATCACCCTCCTTATCAGTCGGAGCGTCGACCGCCCCCGCCCAGGGAATCACGTCGTGGGCATGCTCGGGAATACTGGAGTCGTTACGACAATATTCGCCCAATCGCACCTACCGTCGAGCCCTGGATGGAAGATCTAGATATGGTGGAAATCCCAGAGCCCAGGCAAGATCCGAATCAGATTGGTAAGCTCGACATCATTACTTTCTTCATTCAATGCTCATTGTACGCCCAGTATGGAGGCCTCCCCAACCCGTTGCCCGACCTCTCCCGTCAACGTTAACGGACCGTGATGAGATTACAATGCCCCCGCCACTAGCATCCTTGCCCCGTGGGATGTCTATATCGAAATATATTCTCGACAAGAAAGCCGATGAGTTTACTTGTAACATCAGGGATACTGAAGATTGGCCTTTTATTATGGATGATCCAATTTTTATGGAAATCCCCGCGGATGGAAAGTTAATTTCGATCAAAGAACTCCTTGCCATTCAAAGCAAGGTCTACGAGACTCACCGGGTCGAACGCCCATCCACACCTGAACCAAAAGAAGATGAGAGCGAAGAGATCAACGAAGAAGACAACGGCCAAGTCGATGAAGAGGAAGCACATGACGATGATTCGTATGCAAGTGGCTCTGACAGACGTTACGATGATGACTCTAGATCGTACGCCTCCTCCGAAGTGCAGGATGAGCCCGCTTCACCCGTTTCTGGCAAAGCTATTGAGCTTAATGTCCATGAGCAGCTGCGAGATGAAGATGACAGCGAACATTCAGAAGAAAAGTAAGTTTGGACCTTTGGTCAATGCTCCCCTTCTTCTAGGGATTGTGACCGTGATTTATTTATTTTTTCTAAAGGTTTCATAGTGATACCCGAGAAAAGTCCAATGGCCGACCATGGCCTCGAGGCCGCAATAATTATGACCACGTAAGACATAACGATCCGGGACGCGATAGTGAATTTTCTAGTAGAAAACAACAGGCGTCCAACCGTCGTGTGAACAACAATAAACCCCAACCATGGTGGCGCCCAAGACCGCAGCATCAACACCAGCTTCCACCGCCACCTCCACCGCCAAATGACGAGCTACCTCCATCGAAAAAAGTGTCAATGGAGAGTAAAAGCCAAATTCTTAGCGGCCACTCTACTTCCACTGGTCATGACAACGACGAAAACGGCCAACGGCAAGGCACCAATATCAACAAAATCAAATCGGAGGCACGTCATGAGCACCGAGAGCCTCGAGGCCATGCACACGCCCATCGTAACAGCCATAAGCGGGTCAAAGCCGAAGATCCTGACAGCGACGGCAACGAGCCTCGTCGCCAAGTTGACGACGTTACGCCGAGAATGAAACGACGCCAGCCCCAGGTGGCTGATGCCTACAGGTAGCTTCCTATTTCCCCCGTACTGCCGCTTGCCTCTTACTGATTTAAAGCAGCCGTCGATGGTGAGCCGGCAAGACGTACGTAAACGACGACAGCCCATTTACTTTTTCTTTCTCCTTTTTCCTTCGATAACCCATACCCTTGAATATATTTAATATAAGCTTGTCCTAGTTAGGGCTACGGCTTATTCAACTCTCCTTCGCGAGGTCCTCTGAGGGTTCGTTTGATCGGCAAGAGATCATATATATCCAAAATGTCACTTTTGGATCAATGTCTCTGCTCCAAGTGGCCACGCTATTCGATGCCGTGTGGAGCCAACCGCGCTGTCACAGGTCTCCACAAAGCCAAAGGCGTCTCCGTGCGAGAAACCGGGGCGAGAAGATGTTTTTCCTTTCAATTACCATTCGGATGGGTTAAAAAAGAAACATTTCATCTCTATTACAAGAGCATTTTTAATTCGGAGTCTGTGATTACTCTTGCACTTTACCAAGTGCTGGTCATTTTTCCATATTATGGAGGCATTTCTATATCCATGCTTTCAGTTTCCTTCTGGAGCGTCTATGACTGTATCATCTATGAGAGCCCTTGTCTGTGCACAGAACAGAGTGTACCTTTACGAGGCTCTCCCAAAGTAAAAGGTGATATCTCTCAGGTAAGCGAATCTCATTGTAGATAAGAGAGATATTGGATCCATCAACCTCATTAACCACTCCTGCACAAAACGGCGGGGCCTCAGCGGAGGCAGCGGGTTTGGCCTCTGACCCTATGTGATACAAAGGAAATATGCATCAGGTAAAAAGACAAGGTGCAGTCAAGAGCTTTCAAGCCCTAGCCGGCTTCGCTTGGATTCTCTGCGCGACGTCCTGCGTTGAGAATTATTCATGGAGAGCCCGCTTTGCCCGTTCTGTGTGGCGCAGGGCGGGCTAACTTGCTGAATGCGAATGCAATGCAAGCAGATAGAGGATGTGTGTGTAAGGCCTTGTTACCCTTCTGCCGTTGGAAGAAATTTTGAGCCTCTCTGCTAGGGGGTTATTGATCCCTGGAACCGGATAAAACCGTAAAGCATGCATTAAGCATACTGGCCCTACAGATGAATAATGTCTCACCTGGGGCAAACCCTGTGGTTGCATGATCTGACTGAGGCTAAAAGTTGAAGAACGAGAGATATTTCGCTGCTTATGAATATTTCCTCGTTTTTGAAAGCGTGTGTGAAGCAGTGGTGCGCTCGCGACGTTCTCAGGAGCCTTACCCTTCTCTTTTTTTCTTTTTTTTTTTTTTTTTTTTTTTGCTAGATGGGAGAGGAGGTTGCAACGCTCCGTGCTGACCTCCTCACTATTTAATACGACGGTCAAAGCTATGCAGTGACTGGATGGTAGGTTGCTAGAGAGATAAAGGCAAAGTTAAAAAAGCTTAGAGGTAGAATCGGATTTTGTTTTCACGAAATTGGATACTTATTCCACTTGCTACGCTCCAGCTCTCAAGCCCATTTGACTCGCATGCAGGGGGTAAGTTCTGCTCTGCCCAAATACACCTCTATTGTCCGTAGTTAGATCTCGATCTCCGATGGAGGTGGCCCGCGTCGATGATCTAAGGTTGATGACACGAACGGGGTTCATGCGTCGCAAACATAAAAGGAGCTGATTGGGTTAAACTCTACGATCAGAAACATTCATCCTCGAGAGCGCCCGCACGGAGTTGAAACGAAAAAATATCTTGATCTCGACGGGGGGTGGGAGAAAATACGGGTGCTGCGGATCAGCAGGTCAGTCAACCATTCGATCAAGGCTGAATAGCTCGACAGCCAGCGCTGCTTTGATGGAAAACCTTCTCCATCTCATAAACCAACTGACTCCATGGGGATTCAAGAAGTTACACAGACCGACATGGTCTGATGCGGATCGATGAACCACGAAACGCTGGCTCCCGTTCAATAAATTTTTCTTGGTCAATAACCGTTCTCAACCATCAAAAGAAATACATGATTGACAGGGCCCGAGAGAAATATTCTCGTTTGTCCGGCTGCACAAATGTCGGGGCTTATCTTAGCCTCGTGTTCAGCCTATTTTAAGCCTCGTTTCGCGTGCGCGTGCAAATCGGATTCCTTGCTAGTGTCCTTCTCGGCCATGTCTGTCTCCGGCTAGTACAAAAGTTATCAGGGGAGGAAAGGGGGAGGATGTCCAGCAGAAAATATTAAGCCTCGACGAGGAATGCCGCCGTTTTCGATCTCGTCGTCCGTTCCTATTCATCGATATCGGTCCGGAAACTTCATGGCTGTCAACTCGTCGAGTGTTTATCGTCTAAAATTTGAAGCTGCCTGAGTATCGAGATCCTGTCGCGATCCTCTCCCGACAGAGAGGTGAAGTAAGTTCCCTTTTCCCCACCTCTCTGAGTTAAAATAGCATGACAAACGGCGTAATATGGAGACGTGGGATGGTTAATTATGCATAGAGATTTTTTTTTCTTAAAAAAAAAAAAAAAAGAGAAAAGAAAATTGTAGGACATACCAGTCGAGCACTGCAGAAGAGACACTCTGGACCAGAGACAATGCCACGATTCTTCCCGGCCAGAACCTGCCTTATTCTCCTAGTTCTCTTTGCCCTTGCTCACGGAGGCCCCGTTGGAGCTCCCGCTGGAGGCTCACCTGGAAATGGCCCTCTCGGCTCCTCTCCAGGCGGACCGCAAGGCCCAGTCCCCGTTGGCGCTGGCGGAGATTCCGACGGAGCCAAACCTGCTGCCAACCCCTTTCAGAACCTCTATCGAGGCGTGAATACCACTCTAGCTATCCTCAGTGCTGTGTTGATGACAATGACATACGCTGTGTTGATTGGACCCGGCACGAGGCTGTCAAGCACCAGTAAGATTCCACTGGGCGCCATCAGAACGAATATTGGCAATCTTCTCTCTCGTACCTGGCCTGATATGAGCACGTCTTCGGATACGACCGCCACGGGGAAGTCTGTTAAGTCGACGGACGGGGACTCTATCAGGCTGTTCTACGTCGGCAAGCTAGATAACGACGGCGGTGATGGAAGGACAGCTAGAGGAATAGAAGATTGCGAGGGCCTTCCCAAGACGAGGATCCAGACTCCGCCAATGTGGCTGACTGCCGGCTCGTCGCTAACGAAAAGCATTGTACAAGTAGCCATTTGGGAATGGGTCTGCTTGTGGATGGTCCTGGCCATGATTATCGCAACGCTGATGTATAACGGTTTCCTCACGAAACAGAAAACTCCGGATGCCTATCCCCGACTTGTCGTTGCGATTATCTACTTTACTGCCTTTGGCATTCATGCCTGGTATGTCTGGAAGACGTGCAGAAGCTTCTTCACGCTCCTGGGCGCCGGCGCGACCTGGAGTTTGCTGAATAAGGCTTCTTTTGCTTCGGTTGACCTCGGCCAGCTTAAAGCAGGGATTTCGGGAGGCACACCGCCTGTTTTCAGGAAGATCGGGAAACCTGACACTAGCCCTAACTTTCCTCCATATGAAAACTGTCGTTTGAAGGAGACCAGAGCTTTGAAAAGTGCCGATCCTACCGAGACCTCTGCGACTCCCGCTGAGGAAGACGAGGGCGCTGTGAATACCGTGACACGCTGGCAGAAGCAAGAAATTTCGTCTACCGTGCAAGCAGCTAGCGTCGCTCTAGAGAGAGTGATTACGAACGTCGTGTCAATCGTGGGTATCACCATCACGACTGGATTTGCGACATGGACAACGATTTCCGACGGCGGGGACAGTACTACACAGCTCGGTTCGCTGGCTCTCCTTGCTTCTCTCACAATCGGGTCTGGAGCGATGTTCAGCAGTGCCATCGAACTCAGCGTTATGGAAACATCCTTCCGAAATGTCCTCTTCTACAAGGAGGTCCTGATTAACAGGCAGGCTACAGCACACGTACAGAAACGAGCTAAAAAGAAGGATGTTGTTGGGTTCACGCATAATACGGTGGATATGAAAACGGTCGGAGTCCTAGAACTGGCTCGTTTCACGAAGCTATGGGCTTTGATCATATTTGGTCCTGCATACGCACTATTACCTAGTGAACAGGACCACTTCAGACAGTCTGTTGGCGCGGATTTCGAAGTTTGCAGCACCGTGAGGGACAAGCAGGTGTTGCTAACGACAGCAGCCACTACTGAACGCCAGGCACACACTGATGACGGTAATTTCGAGTCAATTAACGTCTGTTTCCTTGCGAACAGGGACTGGAGATCCCCCGGGAGTGCAACTTCATTGGAAACCACGGAACCCCACGTCCTCAGCAAGACGGTATAGGCGTGCCTCGTCCTTGGTTTCCTTCAAAAAAAAAAAGTCCCATGATGCGTATCCATACAGTATCCTCCTATAAATCCGCTTTCCGCTCCCCGTTCACGAGTTCCGTCTGTGAGCCGGTTTTCAAGAACAAAACGCTCATGCTAAGTCCATGCTTCGGCCACTCACGACGATACGACTGATATCGAAACGCGCCTTTTGGTTCCATGTCTGTCGAAGGATGGCGATCAACAATCGTTGATCCCCCGCTTTCCGTAATTTTTTGGTGGTTCACCCCATTGCGTTCAAGCTCACACACAGCCAATGTTGACAGCTTGAAAGATGTCCCGGGCGGAACCTCTTTGCCCAAAGCCAAGGCCAGCTCTTGTCGATCACTCTCCGTCATCTCGTGTCTTACAATCGAGTCGTTTAAAAGATCCTCACGCCCCGCCTGAATAAACACATCCCGGATGTGTGGTTCCATTTCGTCATCCCAATGAAACTGGGTGTACCGATCACCTATTCCCGGGCCTATATATGCAGAAATATCATTCCTGTCCGCTCCACATGCGACCATCGCATTGACCGTATTTGAAACCACTCCTCTGACCAGCGGTTTCCAACCAGCATGCGCGAGACCAATCACTCCCGATTCCGGCGCATATAGGAATATCGACGGGCAATCCGCGCCCTGCACTCCAAGCACAAACTGAGGCGACCTGGTAACTACCCCATCATAAGTCACCGCCTTCGGTTCGCTACTACTAGAACTCCTCTCGACGGGCATAATTCCTCCCGTACGCTTGTTGGAAATCCATTCAAAGTCTTCCGCTAAGATGGCGTGTCCAGAATGGGGCCAGCCTCCATTCGGCCACGTTAAGCGCCGAGAGTCAAATCCGAGCTGGGTCGCAAGACATTTCAAATTTTGCGCAAAATAATCCGAGTGGTCGCCGCCATCGCCTGTAGTTGGCGGTGGGCGAAAGGAAAAGCTGTGGTTTGCTTCAAGCGATGTTCCCTTACCCGTAAAGGCAGCGCAAATTCGACGGTGAGAGTCAAGCCCGGAGGCGTGGTATATTGGAGAAATCATGAGTATCGATGTAGCTCTCATTTGGCCTTTCTGGCATGTATAAAGGTTTAAGAAGAAAATAGGGTCGAGTTCGTATAAACGTTGCGGGGTAAAGTTGCCCTTCTTTTGCTTTGGCATTTGCGTTGGCTAGTTAAATGCGCAGATCAGTGGTTAGGGAGTTTGGTTCGCCATTTCAGTCGCTTTCACGCCCCTTAAGGCATCCCTGCAGCAATCCCCTGTTCCTGAAGCGTGCGGAAGCAGCGTGATGCATCATGGGCGGCAAAAAGTTCAAGGATGCGACCAACACAGACGTTAGAAGTTCTGAGTCAGGCAAGGAGTCATGTGACTGGGACCTGATGTCGAGATGCGCACGAGAAACATTCAAATGCAACTAGAATCGCTATGCCTCTATACGTAAAAAGCACCCATGCCTCCCCGGGGATGAAGATACACAAGTCTATGTTATTACGAGCCTGGCCTTCTCAGTCTGGGGTTCATCATCTTCATCATCCTCTTCCTCCTCGTCAGACTCCTCTTCATCATCCTCATCCGTGCTTTCTTCCTCTTCCTCTTCATCGGTTTCTTCCTCCGTGCTGCCTTCTTCTTCGTCATCTTCTTCCTCTTCCTCCTCGCTCTCAGCCAGCCAGTCATCCAGCGTCAAGTTTTTACTCCGACCGGCCACTGCGCCGCCATTCAGTTTACTTCCAGAAGCCGCAGCTCCATCATGCTCCTTCAATGCCCGGTCTAATCGCTCGCCAGCCGTGATGTAACCCTTCTCACCAGCCTCACCCCTGACTTCTTCCTCTCTGAGCCTTGGATCCGGTTCCTTGCCAGGTTCTACCCAGTCTGGTAAGGACTCATAACCCTTCAGACCATGGACACCCGCATCAGAACCTATGACAAGCGTGGCCGAGCCGAGAAGGAAGTCTTTTCTCGATTCAGAGGGCGAAGGGGTGTGAGGAACTGGTTTTGGTGCAAGAAGGAGCAGGCTGGCCAGCTCCGTGGATGCAGGATTTTCCAGAAGAGCCTTAAATAGTCGAGCTCGATCTCGAAGATCATAAGACGTATCGTAGCGAACCAGGAGAAGGATATATCGCCAGAGAGTTGTGATGGTGTCCTCCTGTGGGGCACTCTCTTCGGGGCTGTTGGCGGCTTCCGATTGTTCCTTAGGCTCTTCGCTTGACTGGGCAGGTTCTTGGGACTTTGCCTTATTTAAAAGATGATGGAGGTATACCTTAGCCCCTAGTAGGAGAATTTGTTGCTTCGCCGTTTCAGATTCGTCTGCAAACCCCTTGGCTAGGACCCTCAAAACGTCAGGTGCTATATTATTTTTAGAGTCCATCCCTGCAAATTCTCCGACTAACCATATGATCGTCGCTCGAGCCTCTGGACTCGTCGTCGTATCAAGCCGTTTTGCGAGCACCACAACGGTGCTCTTATGCGAAGCGGGATCCTGTTGAATAAGGTGTCTTATAACTGTCAGGGCTTCCGAGACTAGGTTCTCATCAACACTCGAGAGTTGTCTAAAGAGGATATTGAGGCATTTCCCGGATGTACTGGCGTCATTCTGAGCACATCGGCCAATGGCGCGAACACTTTCTCGGACCAGATCAGCGTCAAACCCATTTGAGAAGTGCTCCAATTCACTGAGAATAAGTCCCTTCATATGCATTCCGCAATGAGGGAATAAGATAGTCAAAAGCTCCAGCTTCAAAATCCATATTTGTGGCGGGTCTGTTGACTGAACCAGGAAATGGCTGATGTATTTCGTGAACGCCTTAGGAATAAGCAGTGCGATGGCGACAATGTTGTATAACGCGATCTGCCGGATATCCTGGGGGCTGCGGAGTAAGGCAACCATCGGCCCCACGGCGGATTCCAGCTGTTCGACGGTCCCTAAATACCGGAAACACCGCACAACGTCAAGGATAACTGCTGAGTTTCGGCTCTGGAGTAGTGGTTTGCAAGCTTTTAAAAACATATCGAGATCGGGGTCCACCACTTCTATTTCTTCTTCCCCTTCCTCGACCTCGCCACTGGCATCATGTTCATCATCATAGAATCCTTTCAGGGTAGACTTCTTGACCTTTTGCGTCCTTCGTGGAAAACACTTCCGTGCGTACACTGTCATGAGCCTTAGGGTTGCAAGCTGACCCCACTCGTCCATATCGACCAACTTCCTCACGATACTGCGGTAGTGCTTGTGAATCAAATCGATCCTCTCCGGGCAAACGTCCGTGAACGCAGCCACAGCCGGCCCAACCACAAAATACTGATGGTCGCCTAGTAGTGTTGAAAGATATTCTGTGAGCTGAGGCAACGTACTCGGATCCAAGCGGTAGCATTTTGGAATGGCCAACGCAGCAGCTTTGCGTACATGCGGACTCATGTCACCGCACCCGCGTTTGATCGCCAGGGAGACAATTTGACTTATCACTGGAACTCTAATTCCCGACATTGTCCGTAGGGCCAACGCACGTACTTGGGGGTTCTGGTCGGTGAGGGATTTCTGGATCGTATTGATTGATAGAAGTGCGAGATCCGGCTCTTCCTCCGCATACTTTAACAGATATATGTAAACAAGCTTCTTGACCTCAACATTCGGGTTTGCCACGTTCTTGACGACGGAGGAGAAGAAAGCTAGGCATGATTCCGACCTGTACATCATCTGAAATGTGGTCAATATCAGCTGTCTGCGTGCTTCAGGTCTGCGGGCGAGTGGCGAGTTGTTACCGAAATGACTTTTCGCAGGCCATCGAGGATCTCTCGATCAACCCTGCTATCCAGGAGCTTCTTAATTTGTGAGGAGGAGGCATTTCGAGGGGAATAGCTTGATCTCTGGGCTCTGACGCTGCTGGCGGAGTGGGCGGCTTCAAGGGTGAGTTCGCGGGCTGTATAACAACATGAGTAAACGCTGAATTTCCAGTCGGGGTACACATATATACCTGTTTCCAGCATGGACGAGATCCGCGATACTGTCTCCATCGTGGCTAGCGCTGGGCTTCACGCCCCGGAGTCTTTGGGCAAGAATTCAGGTGGCCGTTTGTAGAGTTAAACTTCGCACGGAGAACGTCTGACCCGCGCCCGTGTAGTCAGCATGACAACATCGGCCTCTTCCCCACAAATGCAACGTCGACTTCCACAACTTTTTCAATCACCAGCGGGTACGGAGGCAAATCGGGGCTATAAGTCTTCGAGAATACGCTGCGGATAACATAACAAATAAAATGGTATTAAAAATGCCTCTTGGATAATCTTCGGCTCCGTTGTATCTCGAAACTCAATGAACTCCCTTCCTACTCCGACAATCAAATCCTTCGACCTGGTAGCAGACTTCTTAGAGCACATTCTACATGGCAGTGCCTCGAGCACCACACTGATCGTTTGCTGGACAAGAGAAAAATTTATACAGAAGCTTATTTCTTCAATTCAGCTTCAATCTAGGCAAACTGAAGGCGAAGAGCACCCTACATCCGAGGAGGCTCCGATACTTTCCTCCACCCTTCTGTCGAACACAATTGACATTCTTGACAAGTCTCGGAGAGTGACTTTATCCTTTTGCCCCAGCCTGGAACATCTTCGCGCCTACCTAGGAACATCGAATAAATGGCCCGGCCCACGATTAAATCCAGAAAATGGCCCCGATGCAGAACAACCGCTCCTCGCCATACTCAGCCCTATTGCTCTGCATTTCCACACTTCTCAGTTTTCTGCCCAGGGTATTTCGAGAACCCTCGCTCTCGCTGTAGAAGCTGCCTCGAGGAAGAGCACCCGCTTGGTTTTATGTGAATGTCAGGACTTGAACGCTGGTGAAGAGGAACATGCGTTTTCAAACAATCCATGGGACATGGCTGTTCCTCTATTGAATTCATCAACCACATCAAGGCAACCGGTTGAAATATCAGCTGCACAGACTGTCCAAATCAGGAGGATTGCGAAAAAATGGTTCCATTTTGACCAAACAGAGAGAGAAGCAGCAGGACCTTGAGGATATAACTGCGGACCAAAAAAATTACCAACGCCGCCCACGGCGTTGTGCGTACACACATGCATCCATCCATAGACCCGGACTCCCATAATACCATACAGCAATAGGGTATCTTCAAAAATAAAAAGGTCAACTGAACTCCCAACGTGTACCATCCCAAATCCCATTCTTAAAGACACTTTTCCATCTCTGTAATATAAAGTTTAATGTGTGACTCCATCTTCAGATATTCATCATGCGCCCGATGAATCTCATTCTCAATATTCTCTTTGAGGTCGACCATCTGGATATGAGTTAATAAAATCAGACATTCAAACCTGCGACAAGGTGCTTAGGTAGATACCTTCTTCTCTGTTTGCTCAATCCTGATCCTCCTCCGCTCCATGTCGCGCTGCTTTTCAGCTCGCTCTTCACGAAGCTGCTTCTGTATGTTGTGCAACTCTTCCATTCTCGCTTGGGCTTGTTCGGCCTTTTCTCGGGCGCTTTTCCTGAGAGCTTCTGTCCGTTCATGCCATCGCCCTAGTTGTCTTTGCAGCATCCTTTCAGTCTGAGCCACTTCTCTCACCGTATTTCCTCTCTCAGCCAAGGCATCCTTATTTCGAATTGCCCGAGCATCTTCTTCCTCCTCTTTCTGCAGTTCTGCTGAAATATCCTCCAAAACCTTGATGCAGCTCTGTACGTCGTTGCTTATAACGCTAAAAGTGTCCATCGACATTTGCAATGCTCGCATTCGCCTCTCCATATTATCAATCTGGATTTTATCCCTTGTTAGATTTTCTGATAATTCTGTTAGTGCCGCTTGGAGGATCGCAGGGCTCTGTGACACATATGGCCGCAATTTCTCGCTTTCTTGTCGGGTTTTCAGCAGTTTTTCAGTTTTCTCCTCTAGCAAGGTTTGCGTTCGTGTCTTTTCTCCTTTCACCCTCTCGAACGTTTCCGCAACACGCTCTTGATTCCGCCTCAACTCCAACAGTCTCGCCTTCAGTTCATCGTTCCTCCTGACTTTCTCCTTAACCACCCCTTCCATTTCCCTCTGCTGTGTATGCATTTCTTCGAGACGCTGCTCCAGCTCCTGGTTTTCCGCGTATAACGACTCAATGCGAGATTTTGTGTTTTCGGATTTGTTAAAGTGCTCATCGATCACGGCCGTCTGCGATTCCCGAAATCGAACGAAATTGATCAGGTAGGAGAATATTTTAGCCATTCGGTCATATGTGGGCTTCGTGAGATCTGTAAACGTAAAATCTTGAACTCCGCACTACATTTCAGTGAAAGTGTGAGCTGTGAAGCGGAAAAACTTAAGCCAGTTAATTCGTCGTATCCGCGTACCTGTATCATCAGCTTACGCAGCGAGACGAAAAATCCCATGAGATTGCGCGAATCGGGTGGGATAATTCCAGCATGGTCACCGCAGATATCCTCTGCTGCCGCCAGCATGGCAGGCTCGACCGTTTCCCGGGTTGTGTTCATGAATAGCTCCGCAAACCACTCGAAGATGATCTGAATTTGTTGGGGATTGGGTTTCAGCAGATCCGCTACCGTAAAAGGAATCCCGATGTCATTGATACATCCCGCAATGACTTTGTCTGGCTGGAAGCTATATGTTAGAGTCGCCCAAACTTCAAGCTGGATTGGGAGCTGGGCGAGCTTACAAGGCGAAGGAACGCATCGGTGTCGTCTTCCTTGGGTTTCCGGTTTCGATTATGCTGCTGTTGACCGCCATGATGAAACTGCTGGCTCATTCGAGAGTTGTATGCCATTATCGCGAGGAGTAATGCTGCCTCGAAGCAGGGTGTCACGGATGGCGCTGGTGATGATGCCCCTCTGTTTGGTTTGTTTACATTGAGACCGGATGGAAGATGTGCGACTAGGCCAAATGCACACTAGCTCGTTGGAGGAGACATCTGGGCGCCGGACAAACAGTGCAAACATGCAGCTGTGACTCTTCCGTCCAGCATTATTGTTATCTGCGAGCGAACGGTCGCATCCAGGTCTTCAAGCCCGTATAAACCTGATAACCTTTCTCATTTTCTCTCTGGCGGATCATTCAATTCCAACTTCGACCCTGGAGCTATATTGACTACACACTCTCTCCCTCCCAAAGTCGTCCTCTGTTCTAACAAGATTCCACAAACCCCGCCAACCTTTTTCTGAGCTTTCGAATCTGCATTCTCCTATCGCAAACGAGCATTTTGGCATAATTATACAATACCATGGGGAACGAAACGGAACCCCAAAATGGAGAATCAAAGCCATTCGAGTGCGCCACCCTATAGCCCCAAGCTCTTTCTGTATCTCCTGCTAACCGACTCTTCATTTAGCATCATTTCCACATATAATGAGCTTCTAAGCTCCGATCCCGATCTCACAATGCCAATTGCCGCCATTGAGGCCTTAGTCCTACTACTAACTCACTCTCCTTCATCGACTATTTCCGAAACCCTCGACCTCCTAAAGACACACACGGAGCGCCTGAAGCGGGCAATCCCGAACCCCATCGGCCTTTCCGCCGGCACCGACCTTTTCCAACGATACATAATCAGCACCCTGCAGAGGCCGGGGAAGCTAGGGCCTGCGGGAGACTTCAACGCTATAAGAGCGCATCTGCTATCAAACGGTCGGCTGTTTATCAAACGGGCCAAGGAGAGCAGAGATAAGATCGCAGCTTTTGGCAGTGGATTTGTACGGGATGGGAGTACGGTGTTGACGAACGGTGGCTCTCGCGTGGTAGGCGCTCTGCTGAAAAAGGTTGCTGCGGAGGGTCATGAGTTTAGTTCTTCTCCCGTGCGGTTTCGCGTGATATATGTGCTCCATGATGGGCATGATAACGGCAATTCTCAGACCGATCGAGATACGGAAGGGATGGATATTGTTCTCTCACTTAGATCGAAAGGTGTTCCTGTTGCGACAATTCCAGAGTCCGCGGTCGCTTACTCCATGGGGATGGTGGACATGGTGATTGTGGGTGCTGAAGGGGTCGTCGAGAACGGAGGTATAATATCCCGACTGGGCACGTACCAGATGGGACTGTTGGCCAAATCGGTGGGCAAGCCATTCTACGTCGTCACCGAAAGCCATAAATTCGTCAGGTTATACCCGCTGGGCCAGTACGACTTGCCGATCAGTCAGCACATTATGGATTTCAAGACCAGTGATGATTCGATCAAAAAAGAGGTGCCGAAGGAGGAGACGCCGAAATCTGGCGCCCTGCCCAAGCGCGAGGCGGTGGATTTCACACCACCACATTTAATAACTGCTTTGATAACAGAAGGGGGAGTGCTTACGCCGAGTGCGGTCAGTGAGGAGCTGATCAAAATCTGGTTTTAATGAGATTGAAATGAAAGGGAAAAAAAAAAAATGAATGATGATTCTCTTTAAACAAAATCTGTTATAGAAGCTTCAAAATCTATGGCTCATGGAGTAAATGCTGTGCCTAATGAATGGGGAAATTCGCTTTGACCGTGCTTGCTGGTCTCCCCCGCAGTTGCAGAAGCAATGAGAGGATGAAAATTTAAGGATGAAGTTAAGAAAACCAGCTGGACTGATGTGGAAAAGTGTTGGCATTCACCCAGTCCTAATGAGCATTGCACGATGCCGGATACTGAGCTATGTGTTCGAAACTGTCGGGGGATTTGAGGTGATGGGCTTTATGTGATAAATCTTATCATCTCTACATTTACAAAAGTGGTGGCCAATATGTGTACATATCACCCAAAGAATACCAATCATAGCTTGCACCAATTTCTTCGGTAAAAAATGCCCTTAGCCATACTATGTGTATGTATTTGTATGTACAACTGCAATTTCGCCCCCGCCGAAAAAAAGAGATTCGCCAATCAATGCTCTTGTCTCTCTCTGCCCCCTGAATGAGACGACCTCCATACACATCACAAAAGGGATACCAAACGATCTATACATGGGTAGTTTTTAAGAATGTATCAAAGACGATAGCGAATCATTGGAATTCTCCAAAATCCTCATCGTCATCAAATCCTGAAGAACTGTGTTTCTGCTCGGTGACTTGCGTGGTGGGTTCCAAAGTTGACAGCGGTCTCCTGCGTCGATCCGTCCGGCTGTCTCTCGCTGCAGGGGGTGGAGGAATAAAGAACGAGCTTTGGTCAAGGCCATTACCGGAAGATGCAGCACCAGCAGCAGGAGGAGGAGGAGGCGGGGGTATAGGAAAGGGGGCATTCCGATCTTCTTGAGTAGGAGTATCTGAAAGTCGGGAGCTAGCAAATGGCCGTTCAGGCCGTTGCCGATCGCCCATGTCGATAGTGATAGTCTGTCCCGGTTTCAAACTGTAATCCTTGGGTTTGGCGTCGACAGGCCTTGGAGACGTTTGAGGCTTTGGCGGCTGCTGCCGTATCCCAGGCGACATACACACCCTACCTCTCGGCGGAGCAACCCCCGGCCTCCTCCCAACCGCAGCATGGGAGAGCATCGGGCCCTTCTGAGACTCGACATTCTTACCCCCATCGACGGGCTTAAAACCCAGAACCTTCCTCGCCTCCTGCAGCGAAACGCCAAAATCAAACGCTTCGCTCCGATCTTCAAACCCAATCCCCAACATCGCCTTCCTGCCTTCTCCAACGACCCGTAAGGCGAAAAATCGCGACGAATCAATGACGTGCTCGACGACGCCGGCGTCGGTGTACGGTGCAGCGGCGAATAGATCCCCGGTGCTCACATCCTCCAGCAATATGTCCGTTTTCACTTTTTCCTGCGGCTCTTCTGCACTGGTGGCCGGTCGTCCGGACCTGATGAGTGGACTGGCGGGGACGGGGATAGCGGTTTCGAGAATGCGCAGACGCGCGGTGAATATCTCCTTTGTTTTGCCGTCGTTGCGGGGGTCGGGAGTGGTCCAGTCGGCGGCGGTGTAGCCCTTCATGGACATTAAAGGCGGAATTGCGTAGACGTGGACCGGATGGCACACGTAGAGGACGCGCTGGATGGCGCCGGCGGGAAGGGGTTCGCCCGTTGCGGGATCGACGATGCCGGACATTTTGGGCGGCAAGGAAGGGGGGGGGAATTTGGAGGATCAAGAGGGGGAGAAGTGGTTTGGCGGATTTAGATGGATTTAGGCATCGGGAAGAGGTCGGGAAGTTCCATAGGCAAGAAAGATACAGGAGATTGAAAAGGACATGTTTGCTGCGAGGATATTGCACCACGTCGGAGGGAGGGTTGTTGCGCCTCAAAGAGCTTCCGCGTGTTATTCGTTCGCGATCGGGCGGATCATTGGGGAGGTAGGGGTTTGATGCCAAGTCCTCCGTTTCAGCCGTCGTGACGAGAGTTGACACGAGTCTGCAGGGCGACAGACTTGCATGCCAGTTCACATTTTCAAAAGGAAACAAAAAGCTGGAAGTATATCGATCTTACCAGCATCGTCACCCCCCTTTCGTTGGAGCATTGCCCCGGTCGCAGAGTAGTTGGTCACCACTATTTGACTAAGAGATGGAAGGTAAACGCTCTCTGCAAGTCAAGAGGACCCGTGGCGCAATGGTAGCGCAGCAGACTCCAGATCTGAAGGTTGTGCGTTCAATTCGCACCGGGTTCATCGCAGACAGTTCCACGGAACATTTTCTTTTTTTTTTTGTTTGCCTTTTTTTATTATTTCTCCATCTCGCTGAATCGGTTAAAAGGCAGCTTTTCCGTTTTCTTTTTTTTTCTTTTATTTTATTTCTTTTCTTTTCTTTTTTTTTTTTAAAGCTGTGTATGCGAATTACACATTTTGGAAATTGTAACATAATACTCCCAGTCTCGATATCAACGAGGTGAGCAGCGGCAGTTATCATCCCATCGCCGCAGGACGGACGGCCTCTCTCCAGACTACTTTTTGGAAGCAAAAACACTCAGATGGATGAATTGCTGTAACTGCACTTGTTACTATGATGCCAACGCATGCATTCTCTTTGATCATAAGCACAGAATCAGTGAAAGACCACAGTTCCTTGCACTACGTACCGAAACACTGACCTACGACCAGCAGGAAACTTCAAATAAGATACATGCACATCATACCAGACTGGAGGACGCTGGTCTGGGTTGTCCATCCTGACGAACTAATACCACAGCTCAATATATAACTAAGCGATGACTGGAAACTCGGTGTTCTTTCCAGAGAAGAGTGCCCGCGTACTAAAATGCTCGGGATCGGGCATAAATGAGTCGAAAGAGGATGGGCTTATATTATGTAGACCGGCTAAATTTAGGTCAAATGTTCTCAGACGAGGTAGCTTTTCCAACATTGCTGCTTGCAATGTTGGATAGTTCAAGCCACAGCTCTCCTCATTCACTCTTTGTTCGAGAGAATTAGAATCTTCTTGAATGCATTTGATCATCCCTCCTACACGCCTAACACCTACGAATCATCAAACCGAGCAATTAAGCGCTGCGTATCGGGAAATTCATCAGTGCGGAGAACCTCCCTGATTTCACCATCCAACCTGTCATTATTGGGTGGTAGGTGGTCTCGAATTCGCAGAACAAACTGCGCAGCGTTCCATTTCGACCGTTGACCGGAACCCCTGGTACACCTCTGGGGAGACTCGGCGGGGAGACTCGGCGCTGGACGCCACAGCGGGCAACACTAGATCGAGAAACGAACCAGCGAAGTCGTAGAGTCTGAGATCGTCGTACGAAGTGGTACCTTGCCTGGCGGGATGTTGTGCATACGGTTCCAGAGGTTGCCATGGTTGCGTGGTGTGATCGAAGTCGTTCCTGATGATGAGAGCATGTCCATCCCGTTTACTCTCCCTTTGCGGGGGTAATCCGGAATGAAATGGTTCTGAATATCCAGCAAACCATGGTCTTTTACGATCTAACGTGAATACAGAGTAGAGCTGGCAGTAAGCATCGGATACGTAGCTTACAGATGAACATATCACTTCCCACAAGCTCTTCGTGGGCTGGACGACTCCTTCACTCTCCCTTGGATAGGATATGACCAAGCTTTCACCACTAACACAAACTCGGCGGCTCGAGGCCCGAAGCGCGCCGCGGACTGCTTGGAGTCGAACCCGCAGGTTAGACACTGCACGGGAACCCGGGAAGCGGATTGGCACAGATCGATGGATGTACTCCGTAATCACACATGTATATGGCATTCGGTTCTCTTACTCCGTATTCGTGTCACTTCTCATGACTCAGAAGACGGGGATCGTGTCTCCTCTTTGATCTCCTCACCTCTGCCGTGTTATCCAGATCCAACGTCGGCGCGCGCAGCAAAAGGCATGCGATCCCAGTTACACAAGGCAATTTTCGAAGTGAATAAGGGGATTTCTACTCCGTACAGCACGGTATATATACATTTATTTCCCAGTAATTCGAGAGCAAGCTTGGTGCTAATTAACGCCCTTCCGGAGAATCATTTCGGAGGAATTTACGGAGTACAGCTAACTAAAATAGTTAGTTACAAAGTTCGCGTAGGGCGTGCAGCGGCCATTCGCATGATCCCTGTCACGATAGCATGTAACAACCGGCAACTGAGTGCCGACTAAACTACATTTCTAATTCTGAATGATGCTTGATGCTTGCTGCAGTCCATCCTCTGAAGCACCTCAGTCAAATGATGTTAATTTCGTCACCGATAGCGGATGATTCAGGAACCGGACAGATCTAAGCGGCAACAAACTTGTGGTTGCGGGAAAGTCAAAAGTCTCAAGCCTCCTTACACGCTTGAATCGTGATACATATTCCTCTGTACACGATCCATGTGGGGGAGTGCAGGCCGGTTTGTTTCGCTGGCGGGCAATCCCACAATGCTTCGTTGTTGTTCTGGAAGTGCTCGTGTTCTCCATCTCGGCCGGCTGTGGGGATTGTCGGGGTTTAAATAACTAGCTCCGTGCGATTCTTTTTTTTTTTTTGAGGGTTTTAGTTAAGCTTGCTCAGAACCTTAACCACCAGAGAGGAGGCAAGTAGAAAATCATGGATATGCGAGGGAATTTTCGTACGTCATTCCTTCCTGGGTTCAATATTTCATATGCGACTCTTTGCTATGAGTGAGCTACGGGATGACAAGGAGGCTGCCGATCCCATCGGATTCAGTGGCCGTGGATTGTCTCGCTTCGCCACCTTGGAACAATTCCACCTCTTTCGCGCTCCAAAGATACACCAAACGGCGTGGATGGATAGACTTTTCATCCTTTCTGGCGGAAAATTTCTCGCCTTGCTCTGTTGTTGACCCACATCGTGCCACCCTCAGAAACCGGAGAAAAAAAATGATCGGCCACACAATACGGAGCCATATTGGAGATTATTCTCCTCCTTCTTTCTTCCTCTCCTCCTGCTTCTGGAGGGCATTATTCAGCCTCGGGTCTGCTCGTGTGTTCTCTCCCTCAAGAGCACGCGCCCGTCTGGCCTCATATACGTCCGGCTCTCCTATAAAGCCCGGCCCCGCCCACTTTCGCCCCCCCCGGTTGAGCATCTTGCTTTTGCTCCCTTGTCTTGCACCGCCAGAATCGGTTGTGCATCTCGCAACAACCGGCCAATAATGGCGAAAGAGGACGGGTTTCCGCCGTCTCCTGAGATCTTCGAGAAGGAAACAAGCGAGCAGTTGACTAAGGCTGGTTCCGACGATGTGGAGCAGCATGGCGGCTCTAAGTTACCTGAGCTCAAGAGAAAGCTCAAAAGCCGACATTTGCAGATGATTGCTATCGGTACGGGCCCTGCTCTAGGTTTCATTTTGTCTACTCTTTCGTGTCTTTCCCGCCCTCAAGGACGCCTCGTGAGGGATAGATAACTTATACTTATTGAACTTTCTTTCCTCGATCTCTAGGCGGAACAATCGGGACGGGCTTGTTCATTGGTAGCGGTGGTGCAATCGCCAAATCTGGTCCCGCCGGTGCGTTGATTGCATATGCGTTTGTCGGCTCTATCGTCTTCTCAGTCGTCGTCTCGCTCGGCGAGATGGCAACATACATTCCTATAGCCGGTGCATTCACCTCCTATGCCACTCGATTCGTCGATCCCAGTCTCGGTTTTGCCATGGGCTGGATATACTGGTTTTCATGGGCCATCACCTTCGCACTTGAACTCACAGCAACTGGTCTTATCATCCAGTACTGGAAATCCAGTATCTCGATCGCCATCTTCATCGCCATCTTCTGGGTCGTCATCACTGTTATCAACTTGTTACCCGTCAGCTTCTATGGGGAAATCGAGTTCTGGTTTTCCACCATCAAAGTTCTCACCGTGATTGGTTTCATGATCTTTGGCATCTGCATGAACGCAGGAGTGGGTCAGCAGGGGTATCTAGGATTCACCTACTGGAAGAACCCGGGTGCCTTCGCTCCATATCTCCTTGATGTCATCGGTGAGGACAAAGTAGCCCTCGCGAGGTTCATCGGCTTCTGGGCTGTGCTCATCCAGGCCGGATTCTCTTATCAGGGAACCGAGTTGGTTGGTGTCGCCGTGGGAGAGACTAAGAATCCCCGCAAATCTGTGCCAGCAGCGATCAAGAAGACTTTCTACCGAATCCTATTCCTCTTCGTCCTCACCGTCTTTTTCATCGGCATCCTCATCCCTTACACAAACGAAGATCTCCTATCCGACGCTTCTGATGCTTCGGCTTCGCCATTTGTCATCGCAGTCAAACTTGCCGGCGTCAAGACGCTTCCCGGTCTCATCAACGCCGTGCTACTCACCGTCGTCCTCTCAGCGGCCAACTCCAATGTCTACTCTGGCAGTAGAATTGCCGTCGGCCTGGCCCAGGTCGGCTCAGCTCCGCGCTTTCTCGGGAAGACAACGTCCAGAGGTGTTCCGATCTGGAGCGTCCTGTTCACCTCCGCACTGGGGCTCCTAGGGTTCCTCAACCTCTCCAACGACGGCTCCGTCGTCTTCGAATGGTTCATGAACATCAGCAGCATTGCCGGGTTCATCTCCTGGTCGTGCATCAACGGCTGTCACATCCGCTTCATGAGCGTCCTCCGCTCCCGAAACATCAGCCGCGACTCCCTCCCTTACAAAGCGCCCTTCCAGCCGTATCTCGCGTGGTACGGCCTCTTCTTTAACATCCTCATCATCATCACGCAGGGTTTCACAGCTTTCATTCCATGGAACACGACCAACTTTTTCATTGCATATGTCAGCCTAATCCTCTTCGCCGTGCTATTCATCGGCCACAAGGTCATTTTCAGAACCAAGCCTGTCGAGCTGTTCGCAGTCGATATAGATACAGGTCGTTTGGAGCATGAGGTGGACGAATGGGAGAACAAGGCAGCTTTGACTTTCAAGCAGAGGGTTTGCCGTCGGTTATCAAGGATGTTTTGCTAACAGACTGCTCCCCACCCCCGAGTGCGTGTACGTCATTGTCTTGTTCCAATCTTCGCTGTTATATTACTTTCACAGATACCACATAAACGAAGGAAAAAAAAAAAAAGAAAAGAAAAGAAATTTTTTATGATTAGTCTGCTGCAAGAGTGAAGCAGCAGTATTTCCCACCTGCAGGGAACGCCTTCTTGCCTTGGCTGTGATTGAATATCTTACAAGTTCCGTCCTCACTTTCGACCAGGATGATTTTTCGAGACGCAGCGTACGTCCCACTTCCTGCTACTCATT